CCCTTCACCATCATGAAGGCACCATGATTTTTACTTTTTACATGAGCATGCGATGCGCCGATGCGCCATTGGGTTGCGGTCGCGGAGACTGAAATCGGCGACCAGAGTCAAAAACGATGGCGATGCTTATACGGTGGCAGATACGTTTAACAGTGTCCAGGCACCAAGTTCCTTTATGTTGGCTTTTGATTCAAAACCACCGAAACATTTGTAGACGCGATCGTGGCAATCGTGATTAGTTGCGATCATAGCGACATCGTAATTCTGCCCCGCGATCGCGGCAAAATCAATTATCAACCCCCGCAATAACGTCAACATGGGCACCACCCGCGATCGTGATTTTCTACGGTCCTATATAGACTACAGCAGGAAATTCGCTACTGTGATTTCCTACTTGACACTTCGACGTAACGTTATAGGAAACCAACGGTGCACAGGTGCCGGACACTCCATCTATGTATGGAGGTGATTATTCACAAATTGAAATGTGAGGTAAACTATCATTCTGAATTGTGTGGGCAACCAAATACACTTCAGTTCCTACTTTTGTATGTGTCATCGTTGTTTATATAAATATCAGCCCAGGGTAATAAGCTTGCTCTGACATGATTCACCTGGTATCCGATGTACAGTCATACATATAAACATGTATGTGCACATTTGGTAAACAGATATGGGATGATAAGTAATTGTCGGCTTCCTGCTTAGCTAAGCTGCAGAGGACAAACCTGCATAATACAGTTGTCCGATAATTCTCCATCGTTAATACACAAGTTAATTCAGGATTCGGATTTGTAAGCAAATTTTATGCGTTGAAATCAGTTAGATCTTTACTAGGCATACCGTATTGTTATTAACATTTTTGTTTTCGCTTATCATTGAATGATGTTGTTTTCACTGAAATATTTACCTCTCTGACTACATTTAATGCGATTTATGTTAAAGAATTTCAATAACCAAACTGTGGATATTTTGCTGGTGGAGGAATACATTGTACCTACATGTAGACAATTGTAACTGCTTATAATTATTGCAATAGGTACTAAAACAGCAACTACACATAGTGTAAGACAATAATTTACAAAGACATTTAGAAAATTTACGTTTTTTAATTATCTAGCTCACGGATGGTAGAATAAGTAAAAAATAGCTGTCATTTGGATAAAAAAATTCTGCAATATAAAAGTTGTTAATTACATCACGGGTGGAATATGTGTATTTCCGGATCTCACTAAAAACATTCTAAACATACGCGTGCATATACAAAATAAATTACTACACCTTATCAACAGTTTGCTGGATGGGTCTAGATCCAAAAATAAAGCAGTGTTGGGGCAAAGGGGTTCTGAATTTAGTGCTCTTATGCTTATCAGTAGTCTACAAGCTACTTATACTTTATTATCTTTACTATACTAACCCGCCATGACCAACCCCACCCTTGAATATTGTACATCGCAAGCCAAACCGAGCAAATGCTAAGTATTTCATTTTTATTGGTGATGTTTTTATTGTTATTGAGTTAAATGTCTCTTTTCTGTGCCTTTGTTACAGGTACTTTAAACTTTTCTGGGGAGGGGTGGGGTCAAAAATTACCCAGCAGTAAACGAACATTTTGACTGCTTAAAACTGCTATTTCGTGTATTCTAAATAAATAGAAATATCCCTTATGTATGGAGTTCGTTTTCTAACTAAATAGGGCCATGGGAGTAATCTTTAGAGGAGCTTTTAACTCTAATCACCTTTTCAATAATGAAGAGTCTGGTTTTAATTTATTATAGCCCCACTTTTCACTACTCTCAAAGTCATTATGATCTTTTCTACACTTAGGAACCCATTTGAAGTTAAGGAGAAAGTAACTCGAAGTATAGACAACATACAATTTCACAGTGCTCACCCAGATTGAATTTGCCAACAATTTTGAATTCAGCAAATCCTTAAGGATGATAAATCTATTAAGGAATAAAAGATGGAAACAAGGAAAGATAAATCATCAAGTCACTATAAAATAATCAAATAATAATGATGCTATCAGGGATTATCTTTAAACTTTAAATCTATGGTAAGTAAAAAAAGTATGGTATAGATATTGTTGAAAATATACTATACTCAACGACTGGAACCTTGTTTTACTCCTCGTACTCTATGGAGGCCTTTAACCTTTATATTCTGAGTTTGACCTTCGTAATTCTCTTTGAAGGTCACTTTCGCTGTCGTCTGTCGGCTTCTAAATCTTCTCTACCATTTTGACATATATTTTGTAAGTAAAATCGATTTATTTTCATTATTGCTGCCATACAAGTGCTTATAAACTCAAGACTTACTCCTACCATTCGTTTATTTATTCATACAGTTCATTACACAAGTTCAATTAATAAATTTTTGGTGTACTGTTTATTTAGGTTAGGATCGTTGGTTCTTTACATGTCTGAATGACAATTAATTTCATGTAATTGCATCATAAAACACATGGCGTTTGAAGCGAGATTATAACAAAATAATATATTACAAACTTAAAGCAACCCCTATAATTCTACAATTTTTTTGTCTTGTTCGATCTAGGGTGTGGTTAGACAACTTTAAAGATAGGCCTACAAAGACAGTTCTGACAGTTGGCTCAGTGAGCCAGTATAAACAGGTCTTTGTCCATAAAGAGTAAAGACTTCGTCCAATCAGAAGTCAGGACAACCAATTGGTTTCATCACCAACACCAACTAAACAGTTGATTATTTTCTTTTCAAGTCGGTTGTTTTGGTGGAACAATGTAATTAATTGAATACATAGGTCTGTTCAATGAAATCAAACTTTGCTTAGGTATTTTATTTGTTCTGCACATAGGCCCTAACTTACAATAAAAGAATTATAACCAAACAAAAAAAGCCTATTAAGCCATAACCACACCGGAGTTTGGAACAAAATGTTTGGATCTTTTTGATGGTAACTTACTTAAGTTAACACTTGTCTCTACACTATAACTAAAGTTTCTGTAAAACAAAAAAAAAACAGCAGATAGGCCTAGGCCTAAATGTACTTTTCTTTGATTTGGTTGTAAACAATTTAATCAGCGCGGGAGATGGACTGGTGCCGAGGGCAGAGCGCGTAGTCATGTGGTGGAGGGTAGGCGCGGGTAAGTGTTGTTAACAGTGTAAAAGTACAGAAACATTTGTTCCAAAATAAATTGCCCAAATAGAGGTAGGCATATTCCATCTTGTATCTCTTGAAGAGGGTAGAGCGTTTTTTTTTTGTTAAGTAATCCTTAAGTCGTTTTTTAAAAGCCTTCGGGTTCAGGTCCTTCACCTCATCCGGTAGAGCATTAAAAATCTTCAGGGCTGACTGAGGATAGGCTCGCTGTGTCATACCAAGACGACATAGGGGTATGTCCAACTCTTCAGCTCTTCTAGTACCGTGGTCATGATGGCTCCCTCTTTTCCTAAAATCTTCGAGGTTTTCTTTTAACATAGTTAAGGTGCTGTAGATGTACTGACTGAAAACAGTGAGGATCTTCAAGTCAATGAATAAAGGCCTACAGTGGTCCAATTGGCCAGAATTGGACACAATCCTAACTGCCCTCTTCTGAGCGTGCGGTAGACAGTTACCAAATGTGACTTAGTCAACACAGATTTGAGCTCTCTGAGAAGATAACACACTCTAGGCAACTTTATATTAATTTCGGGTCAATCCAAAAACCCAATAGCTTAACAGCACTTTCCTCCCTTGCGTCAGTCTTCAGAGTACACAGAATCAACTTGGTTTTCTCGTCATTAAGCTTGAGTTTGTTCATATTGAACCACACTTTGGCTTCAGTTCGTAATCAAAACCGTCAGTGTTGTACCGGCTAACACTAAAAAACTGTTTCCAACATCAAAATTATTCTGTTAAAAGAGCAACTTAGTGTTTCTCAGTTTTTATGATATTAATTGTAAACTCCATTGTTTTAACTAATTGATGACCATTTACATTTAATTAATTGTTCCTAACTCCAGTGTAAACTGGGCTCAGCGGAAAAATCATCTTTTAACATTGCTTAAAAACTTGAATAGGCCCTCCTTAACTGTTTGTTGCAAATGATTTGAGAGGAGCTGCAGATTTAATAGAATCAGGTGAAGGTTAGTAAAACTTAACACCAGAAAATAGTAGGAAGAAGATTCAAAAGTTGATTTGTGTTTGGGGTAAGCCTATACGAAAGACAAATTTTAACAGTTTCTTGCCACTAACCAACGTAATTAGTTCCACTGATAGAAAGCAAGCTTATATAGACCTAATTAAAAAATTAATCATTACCGTACATGCGGAATTGTAGACACGACTAAAATTAACAAGGATGTAGTTGAAGGGAACCACCAACAGATTTTAATGATATAAATAAAGGATTTATTTTGAAAAAGCAGACTTTTAAAACAAGTCAAACTGATAAGACGACTTATGTAAAGCCGTAGGGTTCACATGAAGCCAGTTGGAGTGCAGCTACTTAAATACTACTTTTAGGTAACTTTAATACATTATAGACAAGTAACGTGCCTGCTAAATGCTGTAAAAGCCTGGAGCCGCCCCTGCTACCATCTCATGTCTTACTACTTTATACTCTACTGTGCTTTTAAGTCACTAACCATATAAAAACCCCAAAACTGGGCACCTGGCACATGTGTATGGGTCCTATATTCTTTTGTAGGACTGGTACTCTTTTTCTTATTTTTATCAATCTTTATAGATTCCCATTTTATGGGTACGTAAAGTTTTAAATTTGTGGGGCAAAACTTTGGTACATTTGTGATATATTTTACAAGATTTTAGGTAATCGTACAAATCCCGGTCACTGTATAACTCTGAATATAGAGAACAAGAAGTGTTCTATTTATATATTTTTGTGATGGTAAGAATTTATAGGTTAAATCTTAAAAAAATAAGTGAATGATAGGCTCTAGTTACATTGTAAGATTTATGACTTGTAGTCAAAGGTATAGTAGGGAATTGTTTCAACAAAGATAGAGCTATGGGTATCTAGTGTTGGCAGGCTTTTTGGCATCTACAAGATGTTTAAATAAGTTGGCATCAATCTCAATTTGCAGCTCATTCTGTTCTGAGTGATTGACAAGGGTAAATTATCTTATTAAGTGAGTATAAAGGTGATTTAAATCTATTTACATTAAGGCTTAATCCCTGAACTATTTTAAAATATAATAGGCTATTTCAATTTTAAAAAAAGGAGTCTGTGTCCATCCTAAATTTTTTCTAACATAACTCCAAAATAAGATACTGTAGTTCTAAGGTAGTGCTGCGAATTAGGTAGCTGTTTGAAAGTGTACTTCACTAAAATAGGCGTACTAACTTTACATTCAATTTAGCTCCTACAACTTTAAAATATTGAAAAACTAAACATCAAAGTTATATTTTTTTTAGTTCGTAGGTCTTATGGTTTCATAAGGTTTTGGAAATGGCATTATTGATCTCTAGAATTTCTACAAATTTTCTGATTATTATTATTATTTTTTTTTTACATGGAAGAATGAATTACTTCATGTGAAGTATTGCCATTGGGTTTGACTTATATTTTCATTATACAAATCTTGAAAACTTCATTTCCTACAGCACTGATAGATCTTAATTTAAAAATCCTAAAGTTCTCTATTTTTACATATTTTATTTGGTAGGCATACCATACATCATTTATATTTACACAATTCAATTATTAAAACAATGTTCCAAAGAGTCACTCTGAAAAACAAAACAAAATTTATATTTCCAAAATGCCAGGATTGTGACTACAACCCCTGCTACAACCCTACAATTGCCAAAAGTGCAGTATGAGTAAGTTTTACAGGAGTTCAATGACTGCTGTCTAAAAAAGATTTATCAAAATATAAATCAAGATTGCATCGGAAGTTATCAGTGCTATCTACTATCACTTACACCAATCAGCCCATCATCCCAGCTTTACACTGGGGTTTCTCACCTTTTCTCTTAAAAAAGCTACTTTTATATCGGCTAACGTGAAGATAGTAATATTTTAAAATGCTTTCAAGGAACCAGTTAATTTGTGTGTATTGCATTCTTGTTTTGTACGTATTTAATTTCCTATAATTCTAACTATTTATACCTCTGGATTAAGTAACTTAACTTTTGCAATTAAATTAAAATGTTAAAGTTTTACTACTCAAGGATTATTAAACTAAGTTTATTGACTTTCAATAGTCAAGTGCATTAATCTATTTTTTTCATTATTTATCAGTGTTCAGACCTTGTACAGTGTTGAAACATTGACTTTGTAGATAACTAATCTTTAAATAACCTTGAAAGTGCTTTTTCTCTCCCTCTTTACCAAAAGCTCGCTCTAATGTAGGTAGTGTTTTAGTGTTCCCTCTTAACATAAACTTATTAAATCAATCCTTCGATCATGCTTTGTACACTTAAATTCTGTGCTTTTACTAAAAGGAAGATTGAAACACTTTTCAATAAGACTTTAACTTATTTTGTGGTTTTACAAGATTCATACAAATTCACTTTATATTAGTTTTCACTCAAGTTGTGGTATGTTAAGAAAATTTATTATAGACTATATTTTTCGAATTGAAAATAAGGAGTTACCGGTACTCAGTTAATCCAGGTGTTTTCCTACGGTACTTTATCAGGGTTTTTTAAGTAGGCCCTAAAGTTTTTTTCTGTTTGAACTAAATTCTGATTGTTCCCCGAAAGTAAATAAGCGTAAATAAGAATAGATTTCCTTTTAGTGAACCTATTCCAAATAAACCAAAAAGTGTATTGAAGACAATATATAGTTGAAGTTTGTGTGATTTTCAGGCGAAGTTCAGTAGCTGAAGTTCTTCGACGTTCATTCAGCTCAGCTTCACATTCCAAAATGCCGATCCAGAAAATTCACGCCAGACAGATCTTCGACTCCCGTGGCAACCCCACGGTTGAGGTAGGTCAAAGTGTACCTTATTTTATACGTTAAGTTTGAATTGTAATTTTGATCGACATAATGTTTAAATGCGTTATTTAGTTAGATTTTACTTTAGAAACATAAAATCTGAAACCTTAGATTTAAAGGAAACTAAAATAAAATTCATAAAAGTCTTAGCAATGTTGTGTAGCAATACTTATCTACACATTTTAATATTTTTTTGATACTTAAAATTTTACAAGCAACATATAGCAGTAACATCCGGAAATTTAACATTCTATTTTGAAAAACTCCATCATTTCACAATTATTTATGTCCATGGGTGAAATCACTTTCCTTAGTTGAAGAAGCCAATACAAGCAATGAAATTGTAAGATTCACTAACTCAATTTTTTTACAGAGTAGAAAATACTGAAATAATAGTTGAAATACTTAAATAAGCTTATTTCACAATTATAAAAGCTAGTTTAGGTCCTTATACAAACCATTAGTAGTTAGCCTATTTGTACCAGGAGACCATTTAATTTGTTTAGGAGGTTCTAACAAATTAAAATGTCTAACAATAGAAAGCTTAGGCCTACATATTTATGATTTCAAACAGATTTTGGTTTTCATTCAAAACAGTTATAAAATACTGAATAACCATGACGCTAACTTACTTAGCAACTCATAAGGCTAATGTTTTTTGGTTGGGGGGGGGGGGGCAAGTTTACCCAGAACAGAGTCTAGCATGGATATTATTTTAATGTTTTTTATTTGATATTGATATTTCTTACAATTTAAGAGAAAATTGTCAGAGCCGTTTTTGAATCGAGCGGGCAAACATTCCTCATATTATAGTGTGATTCTAATTTATTAACATAACCCTGGAACTACAATATTTAATAATATCAACTTAAATAATACTGGTAGCCTATATTATATTATGCTAGAGGTTGTCCAGTAGTCGAAAACTCAACCAAAAATAATTATGTAATGTAAAGACTTCTCTATTTTCACCCCACACTGTAAATTAAACATGTGATTGGACTTTCTTCCAATTGTTTTGATTTTCTGTTTGTATATCGTCACCAGCATAGCATGGCAACCCAATAAGGACCACATTAATGGTTTAATTTTAAATTCATTTTTGTGTTTATTTGTGAGCCTACTTTAATTTATAGGCCTAAATGAATTCTGCACATCTACAGGAAAATATATTTTTAACAGTATGCGTAGATTTTCCCTGCGATGTACTCAAGCTGAGAAAAAAGGTTTTCAAGAAACATGCTTGCCTATTAATATATAGAATGATTTAAAAATTAAGTTGTACAATGTGTATGATGTTAGGTGGACCTGGTGACAGAGTTGGGGCTGTTCAGAGCTGCTGTACCTTCCGGTGCCTCCACGGGTATCTACGAGGCTCTGGAGATGAGAGACAATGACAAGGGTAGCTACCATGGCAAGGGAGTTCTCAAGGCAGTGGCCAACATCAATGAGCAGATCGCTCCAGCTCTCCTCAAGGCCGTGAGTATGACATGTGTTTTAAAATGTTCTAATGTTCTTCATTTAACATGTGCCATTTTTTACGATGGGGAAATTATGTACTGTAAAGGTTTAAGGTTGATTTTACCTTGGTGGGAAGGACTCTGACCTGCTGAAAACCTATTTAGTCAGTGGTAGTCTCTTGAAAACACTGTTTGCAACACTCAAATTATAATGCCTTTTTACGCCAGGGCATTCTAACCGCGATGCCCCACCAGATTTGTGAAATCGTTTCAAAATACCGAAGTGTATTCAATCGAAAACTCAATCGTTAATATTGCAAAGAAATACAAAAGGTACCAACTAACCCAATGACAATTTACGGGTGTAGTCTGTCACCGCATTTGTCATACTGCTAATCCACTGGCCCTCAAGAGAGAACAACCCAATCTGCTCAAGAAGCACCTGACAACATGGCTTATGGACCGGCCGTTCTACTCTGAGGATGAATTCTTAAACAATAAGCTACCATGAAAAAAAGAAGAAATAGAAGAAAAAAAATTCTAATTGTAATTGCAAATTACTGTAATAGTTTACGTACATACTGTAAATTTTATGTACCTGACGCATGAATGTTCTCTAGGAATATTTCAATAAAGATTTTGTCTATTGTCTATTGTCTATTGTCTATTGTCAATTAGCACATTCAATCTAACCTACAAGCGCTAGTGTCGTCGTGTGCATATACTTGCAATCGGACCGCTCGTTAAGCCAGTGCACTGTCAAATCTAGGTTTTCTAATTGAGCAGGTTCGAATCCCCTACATGTGCAATCCATATTGAGCTTTTGTAATGTGTGATATGTGACTTAAATAAAGGGCTTTATTGAGTGGAGGGCCCAACTTAAATAAACGGTGTCCGGCTTAGATGCAAGTTGACTGCAATAGTGAGTTTAATAAGGATTGCACACAACACCTTTTTTGCATCTTTTTACGTATAGAGGAGATTTTTTATTTTCTTTTATTTTGGTTAATAATGGACATATGTGTTGAAATGTGAGTAAAATAAAAAAAAAAACATAATAGGACATTACTTAAACAAATTATTGAAAGAGAAATAAATAAATACTATTGTCAATGGGTTAATCTGATGATTGATGAAACTGGTTATTTATATGCACATAATATAAATTTTACCTCATCTTAGGTTTATACTGATCCCCCTTTAATCCGTCGATCTCACGAATTTTGCTCTACCTGATCCCAAAAACAAGAATAATTTGTCAACTAGGTAATAGAGCAAATCCAAACGTATCAAGAATGCTAAATATAAAAATTAAAAATATTTAATCAGAGTCTCAGCGAGAATGCCTATCTAAATACGTTTGATTTTGTTTGTATAGGGCCTTGAAGTGACCCAGCAGAAGGAGATTGACCAGTTCATGTTGAAGCTGGACGGAACAGAGAACAAGAGCAAGTTCGGAGCCAACGCCATCCTGGGAGTGTCTCTGGCCGTGTGCAAGGCTGGGGCTGCCAAGAAGGGGATCCCTCTGTACAAGTGAGAACAAACCATAACTTAACAACCTACCTTATTGGCCACTCAAACCTAAGAAGGTTTTTAGCCTCGCCAACAAGATGCCTCCAAACTTAACAACTAAATTTGAAAAAAAATAAATAACATACGGTTTTCATGTTAATGGTGCTTGAATGACAATTTTTAGTTATGTAACAAACTAATTGCAGTGTGGTGATTTGCCAAGTACAGTAGAACTCCAATATCCAAACACCAACTAGGTCTATCCTAAAAGCTGACTTTTTGAATCGGAAAGAATTTTTAAAACTAAAACCTACAGTAATAAGATGTGCAACATGAAAAAGAATCGTTATTTAGGAAGACAGAAACTGTGATACGGCAAAATCATAAACATATCCCATGGTCGTGTAGACATCACTTAGGCCTTTCGTCTCTCGCAGTCACAGAAACATCATCATCGTCTTCCAAGATCGCAGCAAAATCATGAATACATTCCTCGGTTGTGTAGACATCATCATCGTCTACTGTGGTCAAGAAAACATTATGATCATCCTCAGCAATCTCGGAAAACCGTTAATTTTTCAATTGTAAAATCTTCACAGATGAAGATTTAGGGAAAACAATGAGTTCAAGTAGCCTATCTCAGTTTTGAAGCTTTTATGTACACACAAAGAAATCACAGATTGCAACTAATATTTTGTCCTCATTCAGGAATTTTTCGGAGAGTAAAAAGACTGATTAGTAATGATTTGACCTTTATTGTGTTGCAGGTACATTGCTGAGCTTGCTGGTAACAGCAACATTGTTCTGCCTGTCCCAGCATTCAACGTCATCAATGGCGGCTCTCACGCTGGCAACAAGCTGGCCATGCAGGAGTTCATGATCCTCCCTACAGGTTAGATACTAGGACAAAAATGATTTCGTTAGCACTTTGATTATTAAAAATGAGGCTTTTCTATATCCTAATGTATTTGTTTGATATTTGTTTGCCACAATTATGTCACTTAAACAGTATACACAACCTGTTTGTTGGACCTCTGTATGATGAAATAAATTCCTAACCCATTGAAATTGAGTCACGTTTGTACCATATTTTACAACAAGGTAGCCCACTGGGGCTTGTTAGTGGAATCTAACTTGCAAGCGCTACTGACGTTTGCTTGTATGGAGTTTGTCCTGGTTGGCCGACATTAGTATGGTAGTTCAGTTAGGTAGCTAAGCCGTTACTTTGACGAGTATAGCGTTAAAGGCCTTTATACTTGTGCAGCTTTGAAATCCGTATAGGTGCAATCCATACTATTACTAAGCTTACTAATGTGTGGGAGGTTATTTAGCTGGATGGGAAGGCCCATCTGGGTGTCCGGCTTGTGTTTTTATTAGGGATCGGACAAAACATTTTTTCCTTTTTACATTAGTTTAGAGAAGACAGATTTTTTGGTTTTATTTTGGTTAAAGATAGTGTTGGAATACACAGTTGATCAAATACATAAAACGACAAAATCTTTAGAAAATACCAAAAAATGTATCTAGTGAAATATGTTAGCCCCCACATTTTTATTTAATTGAGATAGGTTTTGTGTTGTGTTTGCTAGGTTTAGCAGCATATATACAACATAATTCGTAGATAATCACATTAAAGCTGTCATTGTACCTATCTTACAGGAGCAACTTCCTTCACCGAGGCCATGAAGATGGGCTCCGAGGTGTACCATCACCTCAAGAAGGTGATCCACACCAAGTTCGGTCTGGACGCGACAGCCGTGGGAGACGAGGGAGGTTTCGCACCTAACATCCTGGACAACCACGAGGGTCTGGCTTTGATCCAGGAGGCCATTGAGAAGGCCGGCTACAAGGGCAAGATTGACATCGGTATGGACGTCGCTGCATCAGAGTTCTACAAGTGGGTTGCAATTTTGATAAGGTTTCTCTTATGTAGGAATTTGTAAGGAAATGAGATACTGTAGATTGTTGTTGCTGTACAAAGTTTTCATTGCAGGCCAAGCTACTTACTAGCGTGTATTGATTTTTACGCATAAACTATAGCCTAGGTCATAATTTTGATTCCCCTATTTGAAAAAAATTTATTGTGATCTTAAATAACTGGGTGATTTATGTATTGAAATAGAAAGCAACAAAAATGTCCATTTAAAGTCATAAGTGATTACTTCCTTGAACCATTTAATTATACTACTGTATTAGTCTGATTTTGTAAATGGAACTTATAACCTGGAGGATAACTAAAACAACTCAAGTATTTAGTTATAAAATCTGTAAAACGATATAAATGCTAACTATTCTAATAATGAACCTCATGTGATTCAATTAACTAGATTAGAAAGCTGTTATTTGAAGGTAAAAATGAATCCTATAGTTACAGTAGAGGGTAAAAAATCCAAACTTCATAAATTGGAGATGTAAAATATCTTGGGTAATTCACGTTACAATTAATTGCGCAGCAGAATTATTACTTTGTGACTAAACTGGTACAGTACCTTCCCATTCTGAAGATTTTACAAGTTGAGAGACAGTAATGTCTTGGTATGATGTACAACAGAATGAACTCAACTCCAGCTTTTGCTACTGAAGCAGACGAAGGAGTTAGCTGTCAGAAAACAAAACACAAGGCTGAAGTAGCCACAAATTTGCCAGTTTTATCAAAGGTGTCAGTGGTCAGTTTTTTAGTGAATGTGTGTGTATTGAAAATAACAAGTGTAGGCCAGGGTGCCTTGGTGTGTGATGATTGCCAAGTCCTTAACAGTGTTTCAATGAAGGTTACAAAATTCAAACATCGATAATCCGAACTACGTCTGATTCTGATTTTTTGCTCTCTACTCTAAGTGCATTTGTTATCTCTTTCACACCAGCTTACGGTTGGTTTGTGTTGTAGGGATGGCAAGTACGATCTGGACTTCAAGAACCCCAGCTCTGACAAGAGCAAGTGGATTGACGCCGCAGAGCTGACTGGGATCTACCAGGGATTCATCAAGGACTTCCCCATCGTCAGTATTGAGGACCCCTTTGACCAGGACCACTGGGAAGCCTGGAGCAACATCACAGCCCAGACCAACATCCAGGTGAGTTCTGTGGAATATCATCTAATATTTAGATTGCAGTACATAAGTAGGCATATATTTGATAATTTAAGGGGTTTTAGGCCTATGAAGTTTCATGACAGATTTTTATTGGATATTGAGTGTACTAATCATAATCTTTCAAGTAAGTAAGTTGTAGTTAAGTTGAAGATGTTTTTTCTTATAAGAAAATATATATAATTTAAAAAATTAATAACTTTCTACAAGATTGCAATGTCATGGTTATTTTAGTAAATTCTACAAGACGGAGAAGACCTTAGCTATCAACTAAACATTTTTCCAAAATTAAATTTTTTGTATAAGATTCAAGATCATACTAAATTCAGTTAATAGTAGATCTATTTAAAAGGCCTATTTTGACCCTGAGTAAAAAAATGTTAATTTCAAAACTAGATACACTAGAACTCAAATTATTCATACACCAACCATCCAAACCTTATATTTTAAGGATGACATCTCCTGGGATCAAAAGAAAGAAGGAAAACAAAATAAAATTTTCAGACAATTTTAGCCCAATCTGGTTTTTGCAGGTTGCCGTAATCCTTAAAATATTTGAGTGTTTTCATCATGCAGCAAGTCTATTGTAGTGTCGTATCTGTTCGTGGGTAATAATTCATCTTCCTATTACCATAGTCTTCCAGTCATAACTTTGTCCCATAGAATTCAACTATTATAATTTTTTTTATCATTCGGGTGGGGTCTGGTCTCAATTTATCCACACAATTGGAGTTTTACTGTGATAACATGACATCCTACTTATGGTGGTAACTGTTGACAGATTGTCGGTGACGACTTGACAGTGACCAACCCCAAACGTATCCAGACGGCCATTGAGAAGAAGGCCTGCAACTGTCTGCTACTCAAGGTCAATCAGATCGGCTCTGTCACCGAGAGTATCGAGGCTCACCTATTGGCCAAGAAGAACGGCTGGGGCACCATGGTGTCACACAGGTCTGGCGAGACTGAGGACTCCTTCATCGCTGACCTGGTCGTCGGGCTCAGCACTGGACAGGTATGGTCTCAATAGTTGGACAGTTTGTAAGCTAAAGGTGTGTAAAACTATCGTTTTATTACATTAACAGAAATTTATTGAATGAAGTCATTCAAAACTGAACAAAATTAACTATCAAAATCTGTTGTCATCTTACACAAAATCACTGTAAACCATAATTCAACGCATTTGTCACTTTTATTACACTTTCACCATTGTCAAACTTTACAAAGCCCCTAATTTTATCCTAGTTTGTAATAAAATAAGACACCATTTTGGTTTTGCCCAAACCCAGAAACTCAGGCCCGCAGTTTGTGTGTGACGCACTGTGAGCTCGATAGATTATTCCGCCTCCCTCCCTTGTTTCATGCAGGAGAATATTTCCCTTTCGCCCCAACATACCTAAAACCTCTTACGCCCCTGAGCCCATTTACTAAAGCTACCCTTTTCCAACCTGTTAAAAACACAAGTATGTAATGACTATGCAATTCAGAAAATAAAATCACGCACATCTTATGATCAGTGAACAATAGCAAAAGAATATAAAATGTGTTAAGTGTCTAAAGTGAACTGACCTGACCTTCTTACTGTGATGGGTGGGAAGGGTAAGTTATTTTTAGGAAAGACGGTAACGCAAGTTTCCAAAATCAGTAAGCGGAAAAAGGACACTTTTGGTGACTGCTACTGTCATGTTTTGCCGTCAAGACATTTCGAGTTGTTGCTTTAACTTAAGAGCAATATATTTTGAGTCCATATGAGCAACACTCCTGCTTTATTTTCAAACGGTGGAATAGTATGACTCGTTCTTTTTGTTTGTGAAAATTTTCATTACGACCTTGTTTTTCTTATTTCTAACTGTTCAAACTTAATTTTTACTCAATCTTTTTTCCAGATCAAGACCGGAGCTCCGTGCCGTTCTGAGCGTCTGGCCAAGTACAACCAGATCCTTCGTATCGAGGAGGAGCTCGGTGCCGCAGCTAAGTACGCTGGCAAGAACTACCGCCAGCCTTCGTAGACGACTCACAACTGAGCACAACTCATACGCAACCGTATGAATCCACTGCCAGCGTGGTATATTATCTTTTTTTTATTTGCACAGGGTCGTCAAATAACTGAACAATTATTTTTTATCAGCTACATAAGTTTAAAATTTTTGTTTAAAGAAAGACAATAACTTTAGAGACTTCAAACCGACAGCTTTGTTTAATCTAAGTCCTAGTTACTCGTATGATTTCGTGAAAAAAATGTATTAGATGTATATCTTGAAGTTGTATGTATGTTGAATCGTGTGAATAAAGTTTTGAATGTTGTTAAACCTAAGGTGAAAAACCCTTCTACCCTAATATAATAGAGTAATAATAATATAAGAATAATAAATAATAAAGCACAAATAGTGATGAACATAAACCAGCTGTTTTACCTGCATGGGTAAACTATTGAGAAGTAAAATAAATTCATCACCAATGAAATAGACCTATAGGTGTAAATATTGGGGATTATTATCAAACTATTGAAGTAAAGTGCCAATTAAATGGTTTACTTGCCTACTGTCAAGAGTTATTCTGGCTGTATTTGACAACCACAGTTCTGATAACTTCTGGATTTTTAATTTTTATTTATAAGAAGCAATTTGTAGTTTTTTTGTTATTTGAGGATTGCTTCTTTTTCTGTGCCCTTTTTTGCTTTAGGATCCTGTTTAGAAGCTTCAGTATGATTATGTCATGAAGATCTTAATTTGGTAAATGCTATTCATCAGTCTATTTTTATTTTTTTTTTATCTGCCAACCCTACTAAAAATTTGTTGGTGGTGTTAGATCTTTTTTCTTTAACTTTATACTCAAGGTACAGCTGATGTAGATGAAAACTCCTGACTTTTTTTAGATGTCAAAGACAAATTTTATGCCAAGTTTCATTTTACCTATAATAGTTGTATTCAAACTGATGGACCATACCTATAAATTAACAAGATTTTGGTGGTTTATGATTTTGACCTGATTTTAGTTTCATGCAGGAATTAAAAGCCAATGATTTAATCTAATATGTGCTAGAATGATCACTTTTTTATACATTTCTTGTTTAGTATTGCTTGTAGTATCACTTGGCATTATTGCTTGGTATTATTTAGTTAATGTCTTGCAATCATTCCATGAGCACACTTGATTTTTTTTTTAAGGACAAACAATTAATGTTCTCTAGTCTATGCAAAAAGTGCAAGCTAATATGTTTTGCTGCAAATGTTAGTGTGTTTACCTATCACCTGTTTTTGGTCAGTTAAGCTTCAACATTTTTAAATTTGAAATAAAGACAAATATTTCATAGAAGCTGTTTTCCAAGTTGTAATTTTGTTAGTCATCTTTCTGTTTCTGAGGACATGGGATTTCTTTACAACGCAAACTAGTTTATCAAACTATGCTCACATCGGGAACTAGGGCACTGACTTCTTAGAAGTTCGAAGATAGCGAAAACGGAGGAAGCAGTTTATCTGGACCCGTACTGACCCACATAACACTAGGGACGGTCCCACATGTGTGCCTTATCACAGAGAGATGCTGGGAAAGTTGTGTTCGTCAAAGTGATAAGAGAAGCAGCGATTTTGGACGAGTGTGGGCAGTATCTGGTATAGATAAGTAATTAGGTTTTTAGCAATAATAATTTAATAACCTAATATTCTTGAGAACAATTTGGTCAAGTTTGTTTGGCAATCCAACACAATATTAAAACAAGAAAGAAGAATTAAAGTTTTCCTCACAAGTTTTTACTAAAAGGAGATGGAACCAGTTATCATGATAATAAATAACTCCGATAAAGTACCGGAAATAATTATGTGCAATGAAAAATCAACCACATTTTGTAATCTACGTGATAGTCATTTTTGTTTTACTCTCATTTTTACTCATAAAATGTTTAAGATTTTGATAATATCACTCTAAACTGAGCTAGATGAACTGTCTACCTAATCGTAAATCTTGAAATAAACCGTTGATTTACACGGGTTTTACCTAGTAAAAACAAGAAGGAAGAATGAAAGTTTCCCCCGCAAGTTCAATGCTTATAGGATATTGTATTTGTTTATTTCCCAGTTCATATTATGAATTAGGGGTCGTGTAAAATAACTGCAATTCAGATAGATTTTGATTGAAATTGCTTAAATACTAGCATTTAATTGTTTTGGTATAGAGACTAAATCAATCACAAATGAAATGCCACGAGTTGCTTAAGTGCTTACGAGTCCTGATTATTGGAATTGCTGAGGTTTGTCAAATAGTGATTGGAATTGGTATTCATACAGAGTGGCTAGGTACTGCTTCCACTGTTAATTGTGTTTACACCAGAAAGATGTGTAAACATAGGATGGTTGGAATCAACAGTCTGTCACAATCTTCAAGAAATCGTCTCCATCTTCAACCCATCTGTCCTCCACTATAATCCCCTCTAACTTACAACATGCAGACTTCCCTGAAGCAGTCCCTCTAATTAGACTCTTATCCAAGTGTATAAAAGCAAAGTTTTGCTTCACATTGTTTTGGTTTACGATGACCGTAATCATCGCATAAGGGTGGGAACCGGTAAGTACTTCAGTGGATGAAGTAAAGAACTAAGTTCTCAGATTAGAACTGACTTGCTTGGATGCAACAGAGCTTAATGACCTCAATTTATGGACAAACCTCGTATATAATTATATTGCAATTGAACAAGAATTGTGGCTTTCAGACACTCCAATGAATTTTAAGTGTTTAATTTTGAAATTATTTGTTGGGGAGGAACCTAAGCTGCCCCCTGAGACGAAGCTATTCAACCTCTTGTGGAAAGATTTCTGCGCCCTTGTGTTGTCTCAAACGATAAAAAGTGTTTGTTAACCAAGTTTCCCTGGATCAAAAAATGTTAAGAACACATACCTTCATCTTAGCAATACTTGATTCTTCATTGCAACATGTAAAGACCTTGAAACTGAACATCATAAAATACCAATTTAATTTAAATGAATTACACTTGACATATTTTAGTCCATAATACCATTGACTATTGAATACTGAAGTTAAGTTGTATCAAAAGTCAAAGATAACAAAGTATATAACAGAGGGGTAAAGTACTATAATTAATTCGGCTGAATTATAAAAAAATGTTTTAATAATAGTTGGTAAATCAAAATTCTTGACTGAATTCAACAGTGACTCTTCACAATGTCCAGTTGGATATTGTGCTAAAAATTCCTGTCCTTGAAGAAAAGCCTCTCGCAAAGGCAATGAGGCTTCCCCTTCCTCAAAACCCTGTGTATTATTCTGCAAACAGTCTTCATTGGCAGCAACTTGACCTCTTCATGGTATGGGAATACAAAGCAAACTTCAGAGTCTTGAACCTTGTTCGTCAGGTCCGTTTCTCCTTAGGAAAAGGTAAGGAGGGGCCAAGGAGCACCTTACATATGACTTATTATTTGTCAATACATAGTGTCAAGTTCAAACTTCTACTGTGAAAAGATCTCTAAATCAAGTCAGTTTTTAACCTCACCAGTCACCAGTGCCCTTGGAATGCCCCTCATATTAGAGGATCTGTGGGTATAGAATACTAAATGGAATATGCAATGTTGGAAACGTACAAAGCCTTTATCTCAAGGTGCTGATTTGTAATTTTTTTTCAAAAGGTATTTTTCCTTTACTTTCTTTAATTTCTTCACCTCTTGTTTAATTTGGGGAGAATATGAAGACTAGAGGAGAATTGGGATTGTCAGGCTGCTATAAGGGGAGAGGTGGTAGGGGAAGCAAATTTATGTTGCGTTGGTCAATATCTCGGCACCCTCAATCAAATCCTCGAACTCAGATAAGAAAATAGCTGTGTGCTCTGTAAGTACCACACAGCCTTTTGTCATACCATACATACATCGGTGGCAAGCAATAAATATCCTGTCATTTTCCACCCTCATTTTCTGTATTTTTATAATTTTGCTTTACCAGCTGATCATTATTTTATTATGATTGTTTATGTTTTGAAATAACAGTGTTGTCTTGTGATTACATTTTCAATAAAATGAGTTCATTAGGTTATTTGAATCTATTATTTTATTAAAACACAACAAATGGCAACAAGTGATGAAAGAAATGATAACGGAAGACTGAAATATCAAAGGGGAGCATTCAAAGGCCAAATTAAAAGAGCTCTACATCTTTTAAGAAGCAGGGTTTCATCAGTCTATGATGCTCCTGGCAGATTAACTGTAGCAGAGGAAGCTTGGCATTCATGTTACTACATGAAGATGTGTTGAAGATTGTAGTGAAAATGATTTTGAACAAGAAGAGGACTACAGAGCTGATGTAGAAGAGGTCATATTTAGAGATAAGAGCATTATTACAACCATTCTTAACACAGAACAAAATTACAGATGAACGCAAACTTCTATGTCAGTTGAACACAGTAGTCAGGTACCTAACATAAACTTTACGGATAAAAAGACTAAAATGTGTTTGTTTATCAGTACACTCTCTCCAGAAATGCACCAAACATTGTGTGATACAATAGCTTCTGAGTTACTCTTGACATATGTCCAATCTTATTACATTTTCTATAGAATTTGATCTTAAATCTGCAAAAATTAGCGTTATGCATTTCACTCCCACATCTGTAATACTTGTCTTTCAAATTTGTAAAAGAAACTATGGTTGTACTTCCCTTGATTGCACTTTGTTTGTCTTGGTAACCAGATTGCAGTCGGTTAATGTTAACTGCGTCTTTTAGAATTGAATCTTGGTTTTTCAAATTAATTTCATAACTTTCCGATGTTTTGAATTTACAGTTTTGTCTTGTGTTTACATTTTCAATATGAAGTGCAAATAAAACTCATTATGAATAGACCTAATGATAGGTTTTAATAAACTCTGAAGTCAACATACAAATACAAAATGTAAATAGTAAACAAAGAACAACTGTGAGACAATAAATAAATTCATAAATACAGTAAGGAATAATAACAGTTCATATGTATAAAAATATTATCACATTCTTCCCACCCTAAAACGAGACGTAGTCTTTTAGATAGTAAGGTCTTTGCCGTATACGCTGTGGATGCGTTTTGGAAGGCACTGAACTTGAGTCTTTGCAAGAACTGTTTGCATGTTCAACTGGTACATTCGTGTCACTTAATGTCCCACTAGAATCATTTTCAACTTGTTCTTGATCAAATGAAACCTCCGGTTCTTGAATAACTTGTTCATTTCCACATGTTTCTGGCAATTGGTAGTCTGTTTCTAAAGATGGTTGTCCAGGTGCTGGGGCCAGATCTCTTATGGATACTGTCTTCTCTTGTCCATTTGGGAGTTTCACATGAGCATAACCTGGATTTGCTTGAATAAGTTCTACCTCTTCTACAAGTGAGTCATACTTGCTGGGTCTGTTGTGCTTTCTCAACAGAACTGGGCCGGGTTGTGACAGCCAGCTTGGAACTGAACCTCCATAATACGATCTTCTGGGGTGCTTAAACATCAGTTCATGAGGTGTTGTATTGGTTGATGTACATAATAATGATCTTATTGAGTGAAGTGCTTCAGGAAGAACTGATTCCCAATACTTTACGGGTAGGTCTTGGGTTCTGAGGGCAAGCATAACAGTCTTCCATATAGTGCCATTGAATCTCTCTACTTGGCCATTCCCTCTAGGATTATAAGCAGAAGAGTGGCTTGACGCAACACCATGAGTTTGTAAGAAAGACTTTAATTCGTCTGACATTAATGACGTTCCTCGGTCTGAATGAATGAATGAAGGCATACCAAAAATTGTAAACATTTCTTTCAGTTTCTCAATCACGGTACTGGAAGTCATGTCTCTACAGGGGAAAGCAAATGGATATCGTGGATACTCGTCTACAACAGTTAGTATGTATTTATTTTGCGTGGCACTTGGAATTGGTCCTTTAAAGTCTAAGTTTAGTCGCTCAAAAGGTGCTGTAGCTTTGATTAACGTACCTTCATATTTACAAAACCTAGGCTTAAGTTCAGCACAAATTCGACATTGAGCTGTAGTACGACGAACTTCTTCCAGTGAAAAAGGTAAGTTTTTCGATCTAATCCAGTGGTAAAATCTTGTCACTCCCGGGTGACACAGGCTCGTGTGGATATCATTTAAGTTTGGACGACCACAAATCGTTCCACACAATCGTGACATGGTGTCTGCAACTCCATTTTCCTTGCCTGGTCGATATACGATATCATACTTGAAACAAGACAGTTCTAAACGCCAACGTTGTATCTTTTCATTCTTTATTTTTCCAAATCTTTTATTGTCAAACATGAAAGAAACTGATCTTTGGTCTGTAATGAGTAGGAATGGCCGGCCAATAAGATAGTGTCTCCACTTCTTAAGAGATTCTACGATTGCTTGAGCTTCTTTTTCAACAGAAGAATGGTTCTTTTCAGATTTTGATAATGTTTTCGAATAAAAAGCTACTGGACGTCCTGCTTGTGACAAGGTTGAGCCGATTGCAAACTCAGATGCATCGGTCTCAACTGTAAATGGTATGTCATTTTGGATTGGGGCTTTCCGAACTATCAGTATCAACTAATGCATCACTTTCTGGCTCTACATCAAATCGGTCAGGCTTGAGGAGTTTGTCCATGACTTGTGAAAAGAGTTTATTAAATTGAAGTGCAAATAAAACTCATTATGAATAGACCTAATGATAGGTTTTAATAAACTCTGAAGTCAACATACAAATACAAAATGTAAATAGTAAACAAAGAACAACTGTGAGACAATAAATAGGCCTAAATTCATAAATACAGTAAGGAATAATAACAGTTCATATGTATAAAAATATTATCACACAATAACATGAGTTCATTAAGTTATTTGAATCTATTCTTTTATTAAAACACAACCAATTTGTTTTAACATTCAAGTTTTGATGCCCCTAAATCCTATTTTTGACCCTAGGAATAAGCCTAGCGTGTCCAACCATGGATATTATCCTACTCTAAATGTGAATGTATCCAAGGAGAACTAAGTTATTCCCTTCTTTATGTCTTCATCTATGATCATTTACAGAAGAAATTGTTCATTTTCTAGCCAGCCAAATATGATAGAAAATGGAAAAATTTGGCTAATCCTCGACCTCTTGGTAAAAGTCAAGTGGTCATGTTTTTTATTCCTGTTAACAGAATTAACTCTCCTGAGTCAGCTCATAAACTAGTGTTTTTGATCTCATACTAATAAGTTAAATATCTTTGTCGCTCAAGTTTGTTTCTAAATGTTGTGTTTGTACTCAAATTTAAGGTTTGTAATAATAACATGCTTGCAGACAATCTTCAGCCTGTACTTGACACATCTGAAGATAAAGGTAAGAAAAATGTCCTGTGGATTCACAACACACAAGGAAGAGAAATGTTAAGTTTATAAAATCACGAAAGGCTTGCCTTATCCTGAAGATTTCTACAAAAGCGTTAAATATGATTGAGCAAGAATTACTTTGTCCTAGAGTATAATCAATGGTGATGAATAGAGCAGAATGGAAGACCAAAATTATAAAGAAATAACCATTTAAGTTCTCCATTGAATTAAATTGCAACAGGAGACACTACCAGTTTGACCAGATGACCTTGGTGGTGATAACGGCAGCTGGTTTGATATCAGTGTCCAACTGACCAGAGGCTCCATTATTGGTCCTGCAGTTGCCAGGACAACATGTCTGATTCTGCGGCTGCTGCGGTAGCTCTTGTGATAGTCTGCTGCAGTTCTGTCTGCGGCTTCAATTACGCAGCTCAAGATCGACCAGAGGAGGTCCATGAGGAAAGCTTTCATCATGTCATCGAGCAGAGGTGTGTTTTGTATTTTTTTTTATTTTAATTACAGTTAGCACTGAGATTTTTTTTATCTTAATAGATTTTTTGAATGCTACTTGTAATATGATACACAAATTTAAATTATTAGATTAAAATACTGTACTGCCTTAAAATAGTTAAAATAGAAAATAGTGCTTTCAATTATTTTTTTTATAATTTAAGAAATGGAATTCTACTTAGATATAGAACTAAACCAAGTGAGGAATCGGTAAAGAAAGATGAATATCATAACTAACCTGTATAAGAAATGACACCTTTTCGTTGAAAATATAAATCAAAATCAAGACTATTGTAGCAAGGTAATTTATGATTACATGAAAGCATTCACATTCACACTCACGTTCTGCATTGTTCATAGAATAGAATATAAATCTTTACTCCCTGTTGACACTAAACATGTATTAGCAAAAGTCCAGAATATACTTACTTACTCTTACTCCTGTGGCCATTGAAAACCAAGGCGGTCTTTGGCCTTGCCAACAATGTGCCTCCAGGATCCTCTGTCCTCTGCCAGCTCCAGGGCTGCTCCCATACTCCTTAGGTCCTTTGTAACTTCGTCAATCCATCTCATCCTTGGCCTTCCCAATGGTCTCCTTCCCTCTGGCGTACCTCTTATATGTTTTGTCATCTCTCTCTCACCTCTGCGTTGAATGTGGCCCAGCCACCTCAACCTTCTACTCCTAACCACTCCCACAATATCTGGTTCCTTATATAACTCCCTCAATTCCCTGTTTTTTTCTTATTCTCTACGAGTCTCCGTCTTTTATTGGTCCAAAAATGTAATATTAAGTCCAGAATATAACTTAACTAAAAATCATAAAACATATTCATAAATTCAGATAGGCTTACAAACTAAAAAACAATGTTCTCCTCGAAAAACTCTTGAGAGGAAATAAAAAGTATTTTTAATAGTCAATTGAAGAATTGGTTTTTAAATACCGGTTGAGTTGGATATAACCATTGACTTTGTATCTACACGTGTAGATATAAAGTCAATGATATAACTGAACAATTTTACTGATTTGTTATACATTTTCTGTGTGACATCACAACATGGCTGTTTGGACTCAAACTTAATATGAACTAAATTCTTCAATATTCAAGTTGTTTCTGGATTTGTGACTAAGACTATATAGATCTCATTACATAATGTTTAAAAGGGTAAGTTACAAAATATAAACCAGCAAGTCGAAGCCTGTTCAGTAGCCACAGATTGTATTGCTATTGTTGTATTACTTTATTGTATATTGCCTGTAGAACACGCTACTTTTTTCACAAGTTAATTAATTAAAAGCTATAAAATTAGCCATTTTAACTTTGTGAAAGAATAAGTTCAACAATATAATTTAGTCCTGTCCTGATTCTGACAAACTGTTGACTCAAAAAAATTATTGAGCTATTGAAAGATTTACAATGCGTTGTGAATAAAATTAACTTTTCAACAGTGTTGGAGGATTGTCGCCAAAAGAGATGATAAAAGGATTCATTCCTGACCTGTCTCTTGGACACCAATACATGGAGTAAGTTATGTTGTCTTTGTAATATTTCATTTCCCATAGAGAATGACTAATTAGTCTATTTACTATTCAGGATTAACTTCTGACTTCTGATAATGTTTTCACTCCGTGTTTAAAAATTGTGTCACTGATTTTCCTGGTGTTTTTTTTGTTTTTTTTGTTGTGATGTTGGCCTATGATCGGTTGGTTGGATAGCTGTCAAGTTCAACCAATCAGATGGGGAAACTTTTGACAAGTCCAACCAACCGACACAGACCAACAAAGCACGCAACAAGCGGCAATCTTTGATGGCACACTTTTCTCTAATGTTTAACCAGAGAGTAATCTTATCTTACTAATATTATAAATGTGAAAGTTTATGTGTTTGTTTGTTTTTTTGTTTGTTTGTGTGTTTGAAGTTCAATCACGCATAAACCACTGGACGGATTGGGCTGAAATTTGGCATGATGATAGCTTACATTCCCGATTAACATATAGGCATATTCTTATCTCGGGCTCCGCCCCAGTGGCTCTGTAATTCCCCATGTTAACCTTATGAGTATTCATATTTAAAGGGAATTAAAGAATTTAGTCAGATGTTTCAACTAAAAAAGTTGGTTCCATGATATGGAAAACCATTAAAAAGTTATAATATTTACCAACAGGGTGCAGCACTATATTTTTTTTGCATTTTTGAAAACAGCTAATTTGAACTAAGCAGCAACAAAAAACTGTGATTCTCAATGAGAACTGTCACAGTAGGATTGTTTACAGTTATGTTTATGTTTTTCATTTCATGAATAATTTGTGATATTTTGCGAATTGTTGATAATTTATTTTTCTCTATTGTTTAGGTGAAGTGGTAGAACATTATGGCTATGATAGATGTGTAATACTATAGAATACTGTAAATTTTAAAAAGCAAATTTTATCAAACTGTGTCCTCCCTTATTGCAAACGTAAAGCTTGGGTTTAACTGCAATAAGCATTTTATACTTATATTCCAACCCCGTACGAAGGACGTGTACTCTGCTAGTTTATTCATAATTTATAATTTATTCATCTCAAATGGTTAAAAAATGTTTACAATACTGCTAAAATAGCTTATTCACTAATGATCTTAGTCAACATGCAGTAAAAAAAGATTGTCCCTGCAATAAACAAGTAGAGTAAACAAACAAAAACAATTTGAAATATTTACGTGGTCAGTATTTTTTTTGTTTAGCCACAAATTTGTGTACAAATAATTATACATTAAATGAATTTATAGGGAAATAAATTTCAATATGGACCAAAACACCATCTTTCGTCAAGTGAGTTACAAAACCTCTGAAAAAAAGATGTAGTTTTTCAGAAGCAATGGTTGCTTAGAAGCTCCCCTGGTCTATGTAGTTGAGAAAGAGTGATTTAAAAATGAAAGAAATTGAATGATTCCTCACTAGACATACAGAACAATTTGTTTAGCAACCCGTCTTAGCCTATTTTAAAAATGTCTTATTTAATGTAGTAAAATACCTAATGTATGTATTCTTGCAAAAAGTTATGATAAGTAGCTCTCAGTCAATAGTAAATAAACTGAACATGACAGAATGAAACTACAAAAATATCCTTTATGGAAAACTTATAAATAAAATACCTCAGAAACAATTTTGATTATGCAGGGTTAACAAATGAAATAAGTGTTTGAACAGCTTGTACTGTACTTTTTAAAAGCGTAATTATGATTGAGGGAGAGCTCTTGAACTCATCTTTCTCCAAATTATTATATTTTTTGTGCTATAAAAGAATTCTAAACACTTCTACATAAATTAATTTTACTTAAAAGCATTTGTTTATTCTTAGTTTTTTTTTTTTAATACAAAAATATTCTCCTAGATGGGCGTAAGAGTGTAAAAAAATGTTCATTAAACAAATGTTGCTTCTTATTTTTAGTTGAGAATTGTAGGTTTTAATATTGTTATGTGTTTTTAGACATGAAATGGAATCATACGAGGGGCAACAGTCGGATTTGCCTCACGAGATACAAGCTGATCCTCATTATGTCAGGTATGGTGCATACAAAAATATTGATTCTTTTTTTGACATCTTTGTTGTCAGGATTTTTAAGCCCAAGCCTGTTCCAAAATAAAAATAATTAGTACTGAAAATTAATAAAATATACAATTTTAGTACTGGTTATTTTGGCACATACAGTAAATATCGTGAGCTTAGGCTATCTTACCTCAGCAGTTGTATTATCTGTTTTGGTTTTTAACTTGAAGCTAAAAGCACACATAAGATGGATTAACATGTTCATACCTTTACCCAGAATTTGTAGAACATTTACAAATGAGTTTGTTGTAAAGAGAAATTACAGCTGTTTCATTGTTTTGCTTTTAACACTTCACTCAGAAGCTATTTTCATGTACAACACTAGTTGTGTATAGAAGATTTCCATAGAGTAATAAAAGAATCACATAGAAATTGGTGAAAATACAGTACATAGAAAAAAAACATTGCCACAAACAAATTGAGAACCTCCTCCTTTTGTTGGTAGTGGGGAAGTCGGTTGAAAACTAAATAAATAAATAAATAAATATTTCTTTATTGTCACATAACATTTTTTTACATAGCATAGCTAAAAAACAGGTGACATTGTCAAATTATGTAATAATAACATTAAATAGTAAATATAAATATGAATAGCTAGAATTAAAGATTAATCTAATAATTACAAACCATCAAAATGTCTTAGAATAGAAATAAAATTACAATAAAAGGAGATTAAGTGGAAAGTTAAAGATTAAAATAATTGAAGAATCAAGCTGTCCATTAAAAATTCATTAATGCTGTAATAAGTTTTACCTAGTAAAAAGTTGGCAAGGCTGCTTTTAAAAGAATTAGTATTTATTAATATTTTTAATTTTGGGTCTAATTTATTAAAAATTTTTTCCCCATGTAGGAAGGTGTTTTTTCAACAAGTTTGAGATTGTGTCTAGGATACTGAAAATTATTTTTGAATCTCGTATTATACGAATGCTCAAAGTTTCCGCTGCAAAATTGAGGGTAGTTGGATTGTACAGTTAGCAAGGTTTTATAAATAATCCAATTTGGAACCGTCATTATATTTAACTGTTTATAAATTGGTTTACATGAAGCTTTCCATGGTGAAAAAGTTATGATTCGCAAAAACCTTTTTTGGACTTTGAAAATTCTATTTATATCTGTTGAGTAGCCCCAAAATTCAATACCATATTGAAGTATGGAGTAAAAATAAGCGTAATACATCATCACTGAAGTTTTTAAGTCTATTGTATCCCTTAAACATAAAATTTGGAAACAAGCTGAGTTGAGTTTGCCCAAAACATATTCAACACACCTATCCCACGCCAAATGCTTGTCAATGTACAGGCCTAAAAATTTAACCTTTTCATCAATTGAAAGCTGTGTGAAAGCATTTACATTTTGTCTATTTTGGGGTGTAAAAAATCTAACCAATTGAGTTTTATCTTGATTCATTTTCAATCCATTTTTATCAAACCAGTTCCCTAGCTCATCAAGACACTCAGTAACTTTGACAACTAATTCCTCATAATTTTTTGATTTGACAACTGCAGTAGTGTCATCTGCGTACAGAATAAGACTATTGGAAACATTTTTAGGTAAATCATTTATGTATATAAGAAACAGAAGTGGCCCCAGAATGGATCCTTGAGGCACCCCGACTTTAATTTCCTCCCAATTAGATTTTATTTCTTGTTTATTTTTAGTTATTTTTGTCCTTTGGAAGCGAGCATTTAAGTAGGATCCAAGCCAAGATATCGATTTAGTAGAAAATTTATATAATGCTAATTTCTTCAGAAGAAGGTTGTGGTTAACACAATCAAATGCCTTGGACAAGTCACAGAACACACTCATTGTGCTCTGCGACCCATCCACGGCCCATGTCACCTCATCGATGAACTCAGCTAAAGCATTCGTTGTGCCAAGGCCTTTTCGAAAACCAAACTGTTTTTCAGAAAATATATTAATTTAAAAGCTTCCATAAAATTTGTGATTTGGTTACAAGCAATCTTTTCAAACACCTTGGAGAATGTAGGCAGGAGTGAAATTGGTCTGTAATTGTCTGGGTTATGTTTTTCTCCCTTTTTAAAAAGAGGTTTAAGCTCTGCAAATTTTAAATGATTTGGGAAAATATTGGTTTGAAAAGATTGGTTTATGATAATTGAAAGAGGTTCAGCTATAGAATTGGAAACAGTTTTTATAATGTCAAGAGGAATTTCATCCCAGCCTGCTGATCTTTTATTACTGAAAGATTTAATAACTTTAATTACATCTGTCTTATTTATTGTTTGAAAATCAAACTTTTGATATTGAGAATCTGCAATTGAATTTTGTGTAAGCCTTAATGCCTCACATTCAGAAGGAGATAACCCGATTTCTTTTGAGATATTAACAAATTTTGTATTGAAAAATTCTGCAATATCGTTAGCATTGCTGAGTGTTTTATTGTTTACCTTAATGTCGGGGAAATCATAATCTGCCTTAACCAGACCCAGTTCAGATTTGATTACGGACCAAGCAGCCTTACTCTTGTTTTCAGATTCTCTAATGAATTTAGCATTACACAATTTTTTTGATCTATTACATATTTGCTTGAAAATTACCTTATACTTTTTAACATAATTAATAAAATCAACATCATTAGATGTTTTAGCTAGTTGACTCAACTCTCGTTTCCTTAAGCTAGATATTCTAATACCTTTAGTAACCCATGGCTTTTTTTTATGTCGAACTTTGTTATTGTAAAACTTGAGAGGGAAAGCCTCCTCAAATATGTTTTGAAAATTTTGGAAAAAATTTACACAGTTTTCATCAAAGCAGTTTTTGGCATTTACATTCCATGTGGTCACTCTCAATTTACCTACAAACTTGTTAATATTGTTCTCAGAGAATAGCCGTTTTTTACTTTTGAATTTTTTGTTTTGTTTGTTATCGGTATCAGAAATACTACAAATATTTATAAATATTGCCCTATGGTCAGAAAGACCTAACTCCATATTCATTGTTAAAACTGAGTTTTGTGACTTCATTTTATGTGTTAAGACATTGTCAATGCAAGACTTAGTAGATTTGGTGATTCTTGTGGGAGAAGTAAAGTTGAGTATGAAACCGTACTGTTTTAACAAGGACATAAAGTCTAACCTTTGTTTGGGAAGGCTACAATCTTCTAACACATCTACATTAAAATCGCCTGCTATAAATATATTTTTGGTTTTTGAAGATTAACACAACATTTTAAGTAAACTTTCCATCTTATATAAAAAAGATTTGAAATTTTCAAAATATGGAGTCCTATAAATTGAGATTACGATAACATCCAGAGTTACAATTTCGATACACGAGGCTTCAAAAACTGAGTCTTTGTTTAGGACACATAAGTCATCTCTTACAATATATTCTAAATTATTTTTTAATAAAATACAGGAACCGCCATGAGTACCTGCATCCCTACAATAACAATGAGCCAGATTGTAGTTAGAAATGCTATTTAATACTAACATATTATTCTTTTCAATCCAATGTTCATTCAAGCAAAGTACAGAAATATTTGAATTTTCCAAGATAATTTCCAAATCATTTTTTTTGCTTATAAAACCTCCTTCAATGTTCAAGTGCATCAACCATAGAATATTTTCATTTTGTTTACAATCTGGCCATATCAAATTATTTCTTACAGCTATTTCACAATTAATTTCAGACTTGCTAAAGAGTTTTTTTGTTGTTGAGAAGCTACTGAAGCAGCAGTAGTCTCTACCAATGTTGCCGGCGAGGATGTGGTTGGCTCAGGTGTTGAGTTAACTAACTATTCTTGTTTGGAAAACATTCCATTTGTAAAGCTAGATACTTCAACTTTGAACTGAAATTAAAATATTGGAAGGGCATAAGTTCAAAACCGCCCTTTATGCTTGGCTGGTTCAGAGTTGACCTTACGATCTCAATATACTGCAAAAAAGCTCCCTGATCCTTGTTAACCCCCTCTCATGGGGGAAAATTTTACATTTTGTTTACACTATTTTACGATGGAAGTGCATGTATATGTATTTCTGACGATAAGGTTGGTTTGATTTGAGGTTTAGAATAAATAAATTGTGTCGACAACTGGTTAAGATTTGCCTCATTGTGTATATTTTAACATAATGTAAAGGGAAAAGTCAGTGCAGTGCTTTTTTCAAAGAACCTATATAATATTGGTAAGTGACCCGTAGTTTTCCGTGACAATGGTAAGTGTTTCCGCACTAGAAAATTTACAACTACACCATTGGGAACAGCTGTACATGAATTACCAATCTCCTGCAACTTTCCTAGTGAAATATCCTAAGATTTATATCAAGCTTACAAAGCAATGTTTGTAGTTATATACTATTTTTTTCACAGTGGTACTTTTGGGCAGAGCTGGACAAAACTGAAATCCATGAAGCAGTTCACTATGGGTAAGTAAGTTCACTAGGCCTCTCCATCTTCTTCTGTCCCTCCACAATCCCTCTTCCTCCACGTACTGCCACTGCACTCCTCTTGCTTCCACATCTCTCACCTCGTCAATCCACCTTCTTCTAAGTTTTCCTCTTGGTCTTCTTCCGTTGTGAACCTCAACTCTATTGTTTTGGGGATTCTAAGATTTTCCATTCTTTTTAAGTGGCCGAACCATCTCAATCTCCATTTCTCTACTCTTTCTCTCAGACTTTCTTCATCTATTCCTCTTCTTAATTCTTCATTCCTAATTGTATCCAATCTTGTTTTCCCTTTGTTAGATTGTACCAAAAACCAAATAGTTTTTGATTTAAAAAAGTGTGAAATAAATGAACTATTTCAAGTTATAATTTTTTTAGCTCTCAAAAATAACAATAAAAACAAACAAGTTTTGTAATACTAAAATTTGAGCCAGATATCCTTGAATGGCGTTTATCACCACATCCTATGATAAGACAGGAACTGTTCTAAATGTTTGCAAATCTGTGGTCAACAAGTTAGTGATAAAGTTACTGATATAATTTCCCCACACTGCAGTAGACCACCGTATTTTAATTGTTTAATTTGTTTTGTCACAAAACATTAAGCAACATTTTCATTGTTTAATTTATAGAATTTGAAAAAACCAGGAGCTAAAACCTACCATAAGCTGAAGCGGAAGCCCTATCCTCATTTTCACCTACCATTCCTCGAATTCCCTCTTTATAGAGAAAACAGCTTGCTTAGTACAACAACGGAATTATTTGCTGTCAAATTACACACAGCCTCATTATTTCTTAGGAAATATGTATAAACCAGTTTCTAACTTTAAATCCTGTAGCCAGCGTGTTCTCGGAACATAGTTTCACTTTAACATGTCGTTCAAGTTTTATTGTGTTTTAAAATTTTACTTAAAGTTATTTGAGCTCTTTTTGAATTGCAATTATGTCCTACGTTAATTATATATTTTGTGTATTGATAGCTCAGACACTATAACATATTTTAAAATATTGCCCAAACCTCTGACTTAATCCCGGGAAGTTTTAGAAAATACCAATAATGGTAATATTACTCAAAACTTTACCGGATTCATAGATTGGCAGTGTTAATATTTTGAACATGAAGTTAACCTGTATATAAAAAAAATTCTTAAAAAAAGGAATATTATGATCCCATTCACTATAGTATAAACAAAATTTTTACTAAATAAAAAAAAGTGTAACACTAAATTTAATCTTACTGGTTTCCTATTTGGGGAGCGAGCTGGCGTAGTGGTTAGAGCGCGGGACTTCAGTCCCTGAGGTCCCGGGTTCGATCCCCGCCAAGTCACCAATGGATTTTATCCAAGTGATAATGCCGCAACCCCTAGGTCTAGCCTGAAGTAATGTGAAAAACAATCCCAGGTTCGTGCCTAGCGTCTTAGGAAAAAAAAAAAAAAAAAAAAAAAACTGGTTTCCTATTTTGCAGGATCCTGCTCCACAAGACTGGTGACACCCATGAATTCAGCCTTGAAATGTTCATCCTACAGGTAAGCAAGCCTAAATACAGTACCACCAAGAACCAACAAAACCTTTTGGTATTATAGATTGTTTTATTTATACTAATATTGTGATAAAATCGTTGACGAAGCTGTTGTTGTCTATCCATTGTTGTTTGTTCTAACATAACGGAGGGCTTGGACATAGTTATAGACGTTAAAAATGGTTGTAGAAAGTCATCAAAGTGCTTAAAAAAAAACAAAATTTCTGGAGGAAAGTTCCAGGACAACCTTCCTTCCTTTAGGGGTGTCCCCCTTTAAAAAGGTCCTGAAACCACCACTGGTCAAAACAAATCTGAAATAACAAACAGTGGATTGACAGTGACGACAACCTATTTTTAGATTAGATTATTTTTAGAGATTTTTAGATTATTTTTAGATTTGTGTTGCATTAATCTTTTTTAAACAAATAAATATATGAACTGAGTTAAGACTAATATCAACTTAAAGAGAAAAATGTTTCCACGAGCTTTTGGGTTATTATAATTCTATATTTTAAACATATTTTTGTAATTTGACAAAATTATCTTTACATCAACTGATTGTTACAGCGGATGTCAGGCTACTTGCAAACGAGGCTACACATTCCCCAGTGGCGAGACACAGATCTACTTTGTCTGTGACAACGGCAAATGGAGAGTAAAAGGCTCAACAGACGACACGATACCTCAGTGCAAACGTAAGACAACTCAATAGACATACTTAAACATTCTTGCCACCAAGACTGATGATCCGAATAAATGTTAGGTTTTTAAGATATTTTGTGAGGATAGCAGGCTTACTTGAATGGGAAAGAGTCCAAACTGGCACAAGAAACAACAAAACTTTACAATATATATACACAAAATTAGAATATTTCACTGTCACTGACAGCATTTTGAACTAAGGAAGAAATGGGTTTCTTTAGGCCATATTGGACCTAAAGAAAACTCTCTCTTCCTTAGTTGAAAATGCTGTCAGTGAAAGTGAATTATTATAATTTTGTGTGTATATAGTGTAAAGTTTTTTGTATCCTGTGCGAGTTTGGACTCTTTCCCATTCAAGTAAGCCTGCTATCCTCCCAAAATATCCTAAAAACATAGGCCCTTGTGCTCTATGTTACTTCCTTAACCTCGAACAAATGATAGGTTAGAAACCTTGGTCCGTCTTTAGATTGTATATTATTCCAAGGATTATCGGTTTGGGTCATAAAACTCTTTGTCAAATTTTATGTCTATAAACACACATGGAAACATAACGTTAACATTTACAAACTGAAAAAACATTTTAATAAACACTAGGCCGTCCACACTTAAATCACAAAACAATCTGACACGACGCAAGTAACGAGTGCAGCCTCACGAATTCAAACACATTTCACTAAATAACACACTTTGGTACGTTTCCTGCAGCAGCAAACCTAATTACTTACTACCTAAGTACTACAGTGACCTATGTACATCATTGAAATAGAACAAATAGAATAAATATAGACTGTCAAAGGAAGGTTCCGGCACCCATCGCTAGGAGTGCCGTGTAGTTACAGCGCACAACGCTGCAGGCGACGAGCGCAGGAGCAGTATGCGACCAGCAGACGCTGCAGCAGTGTGCGCCGTAACTACACGGCAAACCTAGCGGTGGACGCCAGAACTTATGCTAACCGCAGCACAGCTGACGGGTCTATATTTACTCTATTTGACTATGGTGATATTGTCCAAAGAATGCCCAGCATTCTCCAAAACAAATGCTATTTCTTAGCCAATAACTGCAACCAACTCTTCACTGTTGTAGCCACTTGTATTCCGCCGTGCCAACATGGAGGAACGTGTGTCTCACCTAACACTTGTGATTGTCCCGAGTCATTCTCCGGTCCGTATTGTCAGTACGAACACAAGCGATGCCTCGGCTTCCCTCCCATCCCCAACAACGCCAGACAAGTCTGCAACTCCGAGTGAGTAGATAATGTTTAACGAACCAAAGAGCAATGATAGTGGTACTGGTAAATCATTAATGTAAATTAATTTTATTCATCCTTCATTCAAACTGATGGGCATAATCAGGCTAGCAAACCTTTTTTGCTAGTTTTTTTTTTGTTGCAATTTTGGATCTGATTGATCAGAACAAAATGAGACTCTGGTATATATTTCTTACATGTATTTATTATAATTGTAGAGTTTAAAGCTTGTAGCGTGTTCGATACGTCTGGACATTAACAGAGAAGGAGAGAAGTAAGGTACGGAGGAAATGTTCAATGGTATACTTAAGTGGTGTCTAGGGCAAAGTCCTCACCCTCATGTATTACAACACGGCGGAGGAATATGTTACTCAAACTTAATACTTAATTTAAGGTAGCAGGTACAGTCCCCAATTTTATTGACACCTTGAGGAAAGAACCCAAACCAAAATTCAACCTGAGAAATTTATTTAGAACCATCAAGATACAAAATATTTAACCGAGGGTTAAAATGTTACAAACTGTTGCTTCTTCTGCTACAGGAGCTGTACTGTGACATGTCTAGACAAGCATCAGTTTCCAGATGGATCAGGCATTGCCAATGTGTTCTGCAAAGAAGGTACTTGGACGCCCGGCCGGCCCGACTGGTTGTCTATACCTGACTGCAAACGTGAGTAATCAGCTGTAGCATTGTTACAATTAATTACTGTTCCTATTAGGAAGTAGTGTAAAATATTTATTTCCAATTTTCTCCTCTGCTCTTTCTAGCATTTTGAAAGCTCATCACTACCATTACATTCATAATATTGTGTTGTATTTCGTTTTACAATATTACTCTGTTGTTTTCAGCTGTATGCATCCCAGAGTGTCAAAATGGAGGCAGCTGCCTAGCATTCAACATGTGCAATTGTCCCCAGCAGTTCAGAGGGCCTTACTGCCAGTACTGTAAGTATCGTTGGAAATTGTGGTGGTTAATTTATGTCATAAAATAATATAATTCATTAATAGTGCCAACACTGATTTTTGACAAATTATTGATTAAGAAAATAGTCTAAGTTTTATACTTTGGTTTAACAATAAAATACTATAAACCATAATACTCTACTAACACAATCCTGAAATAATCAATTAATTCTAAAAATTCTCTTAAAATATTTTTGGAATCCATGTTTTAACCGTAATTACTTTTTGTTGTGGCTTGAAAAATGTATATACATTTGTCCATGTGCATTCACATAAACCATTGGGCATCTACAGGTAAAAAGAAGAGCTCTTAGGATTACTTTAAAGCTGGGGAAACAGGAGGGAAAATATACAACCCTTTAGTTATTGTTTTAAAGTCAACCTATTCAAGTAATTGAAAGTTAAAATTTGCACCAAATAGAAAAAGAAACTTATCCAACAAAATTTGGTAAATCATTGAAAGATCATATCAATGGCAAATTCAACCATTTATTATGAAGAATTCTCCCTAGAGTACTTTAATAATTTAGATAAGATGCTATGCCAACTACCTAATATACAACTACATAGACAAATTGTGTTATGTCTCTAGTTTCCATTATTAATTCTTAATTCAATTATATAATTTCCTCTCAATGATCAATTTACATTTACCGTAGATGTGGATGTAATAAAACAATGTTTCCAGCTGTGGATGCTTGTGACTTCCGCAAGCTCAACTTTAACGGCAACTACAACTGCTCGGAGAGCGGAGGCATGTACTCGTGCAGTCTCAGTTGTCCGGGAGGGATGGACTTTGACACTCCCCCCTCCCCTCAGTACTCTTGTCTCTACAGTGAAGGCGTCTTCAGTCCAGCCTCGGTGCCTCAGTGTGTCTTCAGTGAGTCACTGATTAGTTGGTTTGAACCTTTAGTTTTTCACAGAATTACAGAATCGAAAAATTTGAAGAGTGTTTACACGACCCTAAATAACACTACAAATTTAATTACAAGTGCGCTTTGCAAAACTCCTTGATTAAGCCACGTAACACTTAATGTTAAATTAACCTCTATAACTTATATATATTATATCTTATGTATATATTATAACCTCAGAGAGAATATCAGCTGATCGTTTTTCCCTCTCTCTAATTAGAGCTTGGGTAACAACTATTTTTTATATATCAGCTGTTATCGAAAATAGCTACTTTCGGTATAAAGTGTTGAAAATATAATTTTAGGCTGTAGCACACTCTGTTTTTCTTAATTAAAAATAGGCGAGAGCTGGTCCATAAAGATTGGGTTTCTACTTCATTATCCAAAGGACAATGTTATAAGATGGCATGGGCAGAAATGCCTTGTAATCATGCACATTTATTCTTATTGTGTCAAGTCTATTATTCAATTGACTTTAAATATTTTTGAAAATTGTTTTCATAATTTTTTTAGGTGGTGAGCAAGAAAGCTCCAACCTAGAGCTGTTGTTTGCTCATGGCAAGGGACACATGATCAGTGAGATGGATATCAAGACCAAACACCGAGGTCGCAAGTTCAAGACCTCGGACCTCTCAGTTGGCTACTCTGACCTGGTCAAACATCTGTTTGTGTTGGAGACTAAACCACCCACTCCTGGCACTTGTTTCTCCTGGGCTGGTTATCACTATAAAACCTTTGATGGCAGAGTCATTAGGTATGTGCTTACAAGACAATAGACAATAGACTTTATTTACAGGTTCATTGAGAACTGTACAGCGTCATAGGATATTTACTGGTGGTTTGTTGGTTACGAAAATAGATAATATTTTTTGAGGTTCTGTTTGGGTGAATTTTTTTTAGCGTTAAAAGGGTTTAGTAGTCTGCATGTTTGTTTTTGAATGTGGTTGAATTATATTTGCTTGGTGTTCTGGAAGAAGGTTGAAGTATGCAGCTCCTTTATAGGAAAGTTTTCTTTCTGCAAGTGATAGCTTATGGATTTGAAGGGTAAAATCTTATGCATATCTGGCGTTGTGATTGTGTAGGTCCCTATGTTTAGTTTGTTGGGTGGCAATTCCTTGAAAAATGGTTTGAATAGCAAAAATAGTTTCAACAAAAGATTACAGTAATCCATAGAACAACGGGTTTATGTTAAAAACTTGTCAATGTTTTTCAGTGTTTATAACAAAAATTTGTTTTTCATAAAAAGTTGTCAACTTACAGCATTTGGAGCCGTGTTTACGAGGTGCTAACAGCTGTACTCTTTAGATGAGTTTTTATCTTTGGTTAGAACTTAACAAATTCCACCTTCAGTGTTTCATTTAATTGGCTCCCAAATCTCTCATAGTGTTTTCATTTGTCTTAACCCTTTCAGTGCTAGGCCAATAATTCATATTTTGTAAGACTTTTTTGTTTGCCTTTTAATTCCATTACCCGTTGTTGAATTTTAACTGTCATGTTGTCACTATTTCATTAATTAGGCTAATTTTGAATATAAACACAATAAGAAAATATATAAGAAAGATAAATCCCGGTATTTGTAGTAAACATCAAATAAAACTTAGTTTTTGTTGTAATTTTCCTGGTTTTCCTATAAATTTTTATGTTCTGATAGCATTATTTGAAACCGAAATCTCACAAAATCAAAAGACATATAGTTTACAATGTAATATTGAATTTAACCCTGATTTAGTTGGACGAGGTTATTGTAATATAGCAATTTTAGGGAAACTAATGTTTTGCAGCAAAGTCACAGGAACACATTTACTACTACTAATTATATTATATAACTAAAAGATTGCATCTAAATAGTCCGTGACTAGCTGGTGCTGCTTCCTAGTAACGCATTGAACAACTATCTGCAGCGCCATCTGTTCGCAATCGGTGGCGACAGCTTAAATACCGGGTTTTGACTCCCCAGTCTTCAAGCACAGATAGCCGAGAAGGCTAGGGCGTGTGTCACTTGGCCAGTGGCATTCGTCTGCTCGGGTTTGAATCCCGTCCTGTGTGGCAAATAATTGGTGACCTGTGTGTTTGTAGCGATATACTACAACCACTGGGGCATAGTGAGGTGTTCATAATCCTTGGTTTAGACATACACCTCGAAATCATCGGATTGGGCGAATCTTTTAGCTAAGTGGTTGGTAGTGTATCCTATGAACATGCAGGTCACCAATGGCCGTTTTGCTACTTTTTGTTAAAATAACCTTCCTCTCTATATCCCTTAGACCTGTTAAACACATATTAAACATTTTAAACTATATCCCTTAGAGTTTTTTTAAAACAACGATATATCGTTTCATAGCACTGAAAGGGTTAAATCAGCTGATTAAAAGTACAGTAATATAATTACCCATAAAATCTCACAATATTAATCCTACTTCCCTGAATTAAGTCATATAAGGCACTACAACATGGTATTGGCAAGAGAAAGAGATTGGCTCATTTATTTATTTTCTACCTAATCATTAACATCACGTTAAACTATACAGTCAATAGAATTAAATACTACTAACGACTCCTGGATAAGTAATGCTTGGTATCTGCCACAGCTTCAAGAGTGGTTGCACTTACACATTGGCCAGTGATGTGGTGGACAACACCTTCCAGATACAAACCACGGCCCACAACTGCTCAGCTACGTCTTGTACCCTCGGCATCAACGTGTACGTCAACGACAAGAACTACCAGCTCGCACTTGACGGTAATGTTGGAGAATCGAGTAGAGATGTTACAGTATAAATTGGAGTTTGAATGTTTGACTGAGAAAAGAGGGTGGAAACCTGTTTTATCTTACATTGGGCCATAGAGGCCTATGCGTATTTATTTAGCAAAGCAAGGGATGAAGTTTACTGTAGTAGTGGATACTAGGGATGTGAATCCAAGACATTGGGTTCAAAGGCTGTGGCATTACCGACTGAGCCACCGACTCACAAAACTATGTTAAACAATTCTCAAACTACCCTTTAATTTATTTTGAAAAAATCTCTAACATTTATATTTCATTTAAATTGCTAGAAATGTGGTAAGAAAAACATTTTCAAGTGTGGTTTAGCTTTCGGATTACTAAGCTAGTTCCATAGACCGAAGGTTAGTACAAAAGAAGGTAACTTAAAAATTAATATTCCTAAGCTTTTGCTACTAGGAAAGTAAGTAAAAATGTGTGTAGACTATTCATTTGACTACCTTAATAATTACTAACCGCTATTTGTGGGTTCAGAAGGAGGACTGCCAACAGTGAGGTACAACTCGCGTCAGTGGCCGGCTCCTAGTCAGTTGGCAGACCTGAGGACCGAGATTGTTGGTTACTCTGTTGTGGCAACACTGCCGAATCTTGGTGTGTCACTGCGTTGGAATTTACAGGTTTGTCACTTGATTTTTGTTTAGAGTTTCTCTTTTCTCAACATAAAGCATACATTCTCTATACAGTTCAATTTTGAATTTAAATATTGTTTAAACCAACCAAAATCCTTTTTTACTTAACAAAGATTTTCTTTTACTAAAAAAACCTTTTTCGTTCTCAAATAGAGCTGACAACCCTGCTTGCTCTTATGTACCACGTTTGCAATGATAAACTATGGAGGCAAAATGATAAATAGTGAACATTAAGACAGTCTACTTGACAACCAAAGGGAAATGATTACATAATCCTTGCAAAATAATCTGACAATCACCAGCTCTTCTCATAAACAAAAAAAAAAATATGTCCAAATAGTTTTTCTAGGTGACTTATTTTGAAAATTTTAAAAGTGATTAAAATTAAATTTGAACATGTGTGCGCAGGACATGGTGGAGGTGAAAGTTTCGGAAGCTCTCTGGAATCGAACCGGTGGTCTTTGTGGACGGATGGACGGACACGCAACCAACGACCTTGAGACTGTGGAGGACAGTGTGATGGCCTACGCGAATAAGTGGCAATCAGACTCTACTTCTGGTTAGTATCTTTGAAATATCATGGTCTACGGATTTAATACAACTTGGCAGCTGTCACAAAATGTTATCACCTATTGCTTCACTACACTGACTGGTTTTTTTATACCTTTTACATACGACCGTTTCCGTTTTTGAAGTAGCCTTTTCAATTCAGTTTTTAGAATTAAAAATATTCACTTTAGCATGGTTTATTTATTTTACAACATTGTTTTTTTACTTTACGCCACTAGTAACGGACCAAGTGAGAGGATAGTTCAAGGAATGAAAGAAAAGAAGTAAAATTGTAATGCTTCGAACTCAACTTAATAGCTGTTAAGATTAATTTAATTGTTAATGAGTGGTGCATTGGTTGGTACAATGAGTCGTTGCATCACTATTAGTGGCAATGAGAGGTTATAAAAATAAACATAACAGAAGTTATGAGTAGTGATTGTTTTGTTAGTAATTAAAAAACGGTCGTAGGTATTGTAGTGTACGCAACTCGTGTAAATAGTCTTTACGCGAAGGAAGTATAAATTACTGGAGGAACTTTTACAAAATTTACTGTTTAGTTTAATATACCTGATATATTTGATAACTCACAAGAATTTTGTAGACAGTTATTTTGTCCCTAGGTTCAAGAGGCATCGTCATCTTCTACAGCAGCGAGTTTAAAACATGGCAAACATATAGTTCTTGTCTTGGAAAAAAATTTTAACACATTTTACACACAACCTTAGATGAAATATGATCCGTAGATGATGAGTTTTCACTTACATAAGCAAATTCTGATCACGAGTTTCTCAACATGAAGATTTAACGAGAGGAAAAATTCAAAGAATCCTCTTGTGGATGACTTAGTTCAGTTAATTTGTTTCAAGAATCAAAAACACATTATCTCACTTTTACTACGGAAAATCCTTTTCACTCTTGTAGTCCACGTCCAAGTAGTTGGAGACATAGTCACATTTCCTTCCGTAGCTCAGTATCTCGTTGTTGAAATGTTTCAACAGTTTGTCACAAAGCGGTGAGGCTGAATCACATTGTTTGGCCATCACTGCTACCCAGAGCTCTCCAGAGTTGACAGGGCAATCCCAGTCCCTGCCTTGATAAACATTCCCATCACCGTCAATATAAAAGTTGTAACAGGCCGATTCCTTGGCAAAGTCCTTGTAAGCCTTGATTAATTTACCACAACCAGGCTTTTTGTCACAGTTTTGATTTTTCCCCTGAAGAGTTTGAATTTTAACCTTCTCGATCGTAGACAAATTGTCACAATTGTACTTAGGATTGGGATGTGGGATGTACCAATCTTTTTTAGCGTAATCCAATTTCGTACATGTAACGTTGGATGGGTCAGATGAGCTGGATTTTGGAGATGTAGTTGCGGTTATCCAATCTGGGTCGATTGATGTGATTTGTGTGGTTGTGATGGTGTTAACACTGGTAGGTGTATTACTGATGTTTTCTCTAGCTACCAACACAGTCACCAGAAGCAACGTTAACACTGTGGAAACTATAATCTTATGCTTAGAAGGTTTCATATATCCACTATAACATTTTATCTTTGTATTTTTTCCTGCGAGAATCAGGTTGTTGTTGAACGCTGGTAGACCGGGACCTTTAATAACATAAAGTGGTTTGTCCAATGTGCTTCTTCTTTCCTCTGAAAACACTTCATCGTACACAACAACCGATTTGTTAGACTTCCCGATTGTTTCGTAAATGTTTTGTTCTTCTTCACCATAAATATAATAAAGGGATGACGGGTTTGAGACTATATCTGAATCCATGTTGAACTGTGCAACTAACTCGTAATGGATTATCCTGGTTTTGACTGAACCTGGAGATAAGATTACAACTGTTATCAGCTCTAACAAATTACAGTACATGATAGATAAATGGTATGTAGATTATACTTACTACTACACCATATCATACCAACAATGTATTTGGATCGATGCAATGTTTGTTACTACTTAACAATTGGGAAAATTGGGAATAAATATAGGGAAGGACAGAATGATTGGTTTAATTTTTCAGCATTAATTTACCTGGGTGACTAAGTGGTTGTTAGAAGGTTGCTGTTTAGGTCCTGTAGTTTTTTAAGGTTTGAAATTGAACCCAGTTTTTCTTAATCTTGGCTTTTAAATAGTCTTGATTAAAGAAACAGCTGATCTTAGTCAGTAACAAAGCTACACATCGCATTCTACACCCTTCTTGTATTCATTTTCAGCTTAAAATTTACACCAAGGTGTGTGTCGTTAAGAGTCCTTGGAGGCTAGCTGCCATCTTGGATTATTTCAAACAGCTGTTAAGGGGTTAATTATCATCCAAAAACATTTTTTCAAATACCAAAGTGATTGACTGATTGTAATTTAAATATCTAGTGAATTGTAAAATCAGAAACTTTCTTTGTAGTTTTGTATATTTTACATATAATAAGGGAGTCCAGTGGAGGCTAACGACCATCTTAGATTTGCCCGCCATAAGAGCATTGTTAATTTTGTTAATTTCAAACAGCCACTGAAGAGTTATTTACCATCTCAAAATATTTTTTTCAAATACCAAAATGATTGTAAATTAAATTTAGTGCACCAACCACACTGGCGGGTAATTGGCGGGATTTGAACCTGGAACCTTTTGGACCAAAAACCAGCTCGCTCCTAAAAGTTGAAAGGGTTAATAAATGCAAGTAAACAAGTGAATGTGAATGTTACAGAAAGATGCACAATTCCAGTGGAGGAAGACGCGTGTTTAGATTCAGCTTCTCAACAGAGCGCTCATCAGTTCTGCAACAGGCTTATGGTGGACAAACGCTTCGACGCTTGCAGAAAGGTGAACCTTGCTCAGTTGTATATTATTTATTTTATTTATTCATCATTAGCATATGCCAAACATAGTTTTATATGGTTAAAGGTTCAAAAGTACCTATATAACCCAGCTTGAAGGTTCGGCAAGTAGGATATACAAAAAGGACAGACAATCAACTAATCAAGAGATCAATTAAATTAATGAATTATAGTTATTGTTTGAGAAAGCCAAAGTTCCTGCAAATTACCGAGTCAAAACTCAAAAACGTTGGCAGTGACTTGTTTATCCCATTGCCTCAACAATGCAGCTCAGTTGTAAAACAGACTAATATCAGTGTTTAGTTTTTATAATGTTATAATTTTTAGTTGCCATGAAGTAAAGACTGTAGACAAAATACATGTGCAATTTGTGTACAAATTGGGTTTAAACTCAATAAAATTGACTCATGAGGATATTCTTGTGCGTCAAAATTTTTCTCTTGTTTGAAAAAATACCACTCTGCTCACGTTACGAGTACCTACTGATGTTGCAGATTTTGCCCACCAGACAGTACTACGAAGCCTGCCGCTGGGACTTTTGCAGCTGTAAAGATACAGAGCAGCAAACTTGTGGCTGCAGATCCATCAGCATGTTCGTACGTGATTGTCTGCAGAAAGGGGAGAAGTCAGTGGTCAATTGGAGGGACGAGGATAACTGTCGTAAGTAAACAGATATACAAATACTCTTTTTAAACACACTTGGTTTTTTTCAAAATTATTCTTTCATGATTTTGATGGAATTAGTTAACCCTATGAACTTGGATAGGATTCTCTTAATTTCTGACAGATGTTAGAATGATTAGAAGGAGTTTCAACAAGTGATGCTTTATTTGCAATTTTAAAATCTCTAAGGAAGCCTCAAATTCCTTACTTACATGGTGATTGGGTTTGGAGAGAAAGGGCTAATTGCCTGAGAATAGGTGTGAGAAAGGATAGGATAAGCAGGCTTACATGGTGATTGGTGATGGAGGAATTGTGACTTAGACAAAAAATAAATTTAATTACCGTACAGGGATATTGAGCTGTGTCCTTTAAAATCGGGGAAATCAAGTTGATTCACTTACTAAAGTCGGTGACGATTAAAGTGTCCAATTGAAATAAATCACCATTTACCATCTTATGTATATTACTGTCTTGTAGGGTACAGTTCTTTTGTAAATGAATATTTTAGGGATTATTTGGCATATTTTTATTGAAATTTCCCTAAAATATAAATAATAAAGAGGTTATCTTTCTTTCACAAAACTTTGTTAATTACAATTGACAAAATTTATTAGTTATCATTATTAATATCATTATCATTATCCTCAATTGAGATAGGGACACCACCTAGGTGCGTATTTCAACCCAAATATGAGTGAAAGATGAGTGTATAATGTTGTGGAATGATCTGTGTAACTTTGTTACTGACTAAGATCAGCTGTTTCATTAGTCAGGATCATTTATTAAAAGCCCAATGATAAAGGACAGCTGGGTCCAGTTTCAAACCATCAAAAAGCTACTCACTTTTCTCAGGATCGAACCAGTGACCTTTTGATTACCAGGCGAGGACTATATTTACTGAGATATATAGTTACCATGAGACATTCCAGATATCACATTATTGATGGGCACTTTTGTTGTTAACACATTTGTTATTGTCAATATACTTGAATCACTGAACCCAACCTTACTGTGAGAATTATAAACAGATAATCGGTTAATAACTTTTTCATAATTTTGGTAGATACTTTTGTTATGAGTTATGAAATAACATTTATCCTTAAAATATTAGTAATGTACTGTGGTACGGGAGTTAGGGGTAGGTGTTCCTGTAAATAACTAATAGAAGTTACATTTTAACTGCTCAGAGGGCCGCAAAGGGTACGTGGTGTTTACCGGACTAGGACATGGTGTATGCTGATGTGAGGAGACGGAATTTAGGCTGCGTCGGAAAAAGTGTGTGACGTCATGGTAATAGCCATGAGCTCCTTTATTTGGAACATCACCTGATTTCACATATTGCCAACATGAACATAGCTTATGGTAACATTATGGTACAAGTATCAAACTGGTAACATTATGGTACACATTATAAAATATGGTACAAGTAGAAGTGTACCTACATGTTCAACATGCATTCATCTCAAGTATTTCTTTACAGCTGTCAAATGCCATGGTGGAAGAGTGTATCAGGCTTGTGGTCCGACAGCTGTTGCTACCTGTATCACTGGTGAGCTTACTGTCTAGGTCAAATTATTATCCATTCAATAATTTTTATTACAATCATAGAGGCAATGAATATAAAAAGTAGTAACAAATCAAGTAAGAGACAAAGTAATTAACCAGTCAAAAACTATAGTAAAACTCCAATTATCCAAACTAAAATAATACAGATCAGTAATTATCCAGATCACTTGAATTACGAAAAATAAAATAAAATAAAGTTGGTCACAAAAATATAGTTCATTGTTGTTTGTTGCAGTTTGCATAGGCGGATTGTATCTTTCATGCAGTGAGTCTAATACAGTGTTGTATTGATCAGTGATGAGTCATCTGCTTAGTGCCACTGTCTTTTGAAATTTCTAATAATGTTTTCTTGAAAAATCCAACTACCCAGATTGTAGATGGGATCCGGTTCAAAGTGATCTGGATGTTTGAAGTTCTACTGTACTTTCAATTATTTTATTTTTGGTTTTGTAACAAATTGTCCGGTACAGAAAGCAACATTCTTTTGTTTATTTTGAGGACAAAAATCCCTCCTGCAACATACATAATAATCTGGAGGTAATTCAAAGCTGAACTTGCAACTCAATCTTTTGGTTTGTGATAATTATGACTGGCCATAAAATTGTTTATAGTGATAGTTATTGAAAACAACTCAATGTCAAGTAATTTAAATGTCGCCAATCTATCCTCAGAAGAGTCTGCGCTGGTGAGTGAGGCGTGTGAGGAAGGATGTTTCTGTCCACAAGGCATGAGGCTACACGAGGGGAGGTGTATCCCGCGGGAACAGTGTCCCTGTTACCTCCGGGGCAAACCCTTCCCTTCCGGACACAAGGTCGCTAAGGGCTGCAACACATGGTAATCATCTGTCCAGGAGATAAGTTATATAGATGACCACTATGTTGTAGTCAGCAACTCTCAAAGTGCTGATTGAAGTTTAGGTGAGTCAGTGGCTCAGTTGGTAGCGTCACGGACTTCGGGCTCAAGGCAGCAATGTCATGGGTTCGGATCCTGGTAACTGCCACAAACATTTTGTCAGTACAGTTCACCCTTGCACTGTACCGGCTCACCCCTTGCTCTGCTAGATATGTTCCACGTAGGCAAATTGTATAACAATCACAAATTCCATAGGCAAATTGTCTATGTGGACAGGCAAATGCAAAGTTAAAAGTGGCCGCCAAGAGTAACCTCTCAGCTGACACTAGCGCATTCTGTTACTGGCACACAGAACTATGTTCTTTTTTAATAAAAACTGGTGACAGTTGGCCCATATAGATAGAATTTCTACTTTGGTATCCAAAAATCAATGGCTGTAAGATCTCTTATGTCACATAAGCTATCTCAATATCAAAAAACTAAGGGAGAAAATAGAACTTCAGACTGTACACTCTTAGAGTGACTCGTTCAAGTACGGTGTGTTTATTTATAAACTAGGCTATAGCTGGTATTGTTATTGTCGCAGTGAGTGCGTCGGAGGTCAGTGGTCATGTACGGAGGTGGAGTGTCAGGCGAGGTGTGCTGCCATAGGAGATCCTCACTACGTCACGTTCGACGGCCGCAGGTACAACTTCATGGGCACGTGTTCCTACACACTGTTACAGACCAGCAACTACACTGTGGCCGCTGAGAACATCGCTTGTGATGGAAGCATCTCGGAGGTAAGTGTTATCTGGTGAAAATTACAGAGGAGCTGATCTAGTAGAGCGCGGGACCTCGGTCCCAAGGTCTGGCGTTCAAATCCCACCTTTCACGTATGGATTTTATCTAAGTGATGATGCCACAACTACTAGTTCTAGCCTGAAGTAACAATATACAGGGTGACAAAAAAGTCTGGAAACGGCTTGATATCTTTTTAACTAAATCCGTTAGAAAATTCAAACTTTTCACATCAACTTACATGTATAAAAACTACTTTTTCCAAGCATTTTCATGTTTTTACCTCCAGCAGGGGACGACCCATGAGGAGTAGGTACATAATCTTTAATGTAAGCATATGCACATCATTTTAAAGGTCTGGTCAAGTGGAGTTCATTGCCGGAAACCGCATCTCAAAAGGTTCATTCGTTACAAAATGGCGGCATTTCAAAGTTCTTGTGGAATATACCTTTACAGGCCTTAATATTGGTAAATACTCGTATTAAACATTATCTTGAGAGCTGAAACTGTATTTTAAAGTCAACTAGCTCATAGACTAAAGTTATTCAATCAAACAAATTTAACCGGGTTTCAGATTTCCCGGCTAATTTTGACTATGAGTATTTACCATTACTAAGGCCTGTGCAGGTATATTCCGCAAGAACTTTGAAATGCCGCCATTTTGTAGTGGATGAACCTTTTTTGACGCGGTTTCCGGCAATGAACTCCACTTGACCAGACCTTTAAAATTATGTGCATATCAACCTGCGCTTACATTAAAGATTATGTACTTACTCCTCATGGGCCGTCCCCTGGTGAAGGTACAAAAATGGTAATGCTTGAAAAAAGTAGTTTTCATACATATAAGTTGATGTGAAAGGTCTGAATTTTCTAACGAATTTAGTTAAAAAGATATCAAGCCGTTTCCAGACTTTTTTGTCACCCTGTATAATCCTGAACTAGAGCCTGTTGAAAAAAAACTAGTTACAATCACCAAGTCCCTTTTTATCCTAGGAGCCTAGGCTCTAGGATGGAACTGTTTTATACATTTCTTCAGGTAGGTCTTCAGAGGGTTGTGGTATTATCACTTAGATAAAATCCATTGTTCCGAGGCAAGATTTGAACATGGATGGTTGGTAACCAAAGTCCTGCATTCTATTACTAGACCAGCTTGCATGTATTAAATTTATTTTGTGTGTACCAGCCCGCAAATAAAGTAGAATCACAAATTAAATAGGTTTACGTACCTTTAGGTCGTCAATCCTATTGTAATTTCGGGCTATAGGATTGACGACGTAAACCTATTTAATTTGTCATAAATCAATCCTGGAGGCAATGCAGATTAAAAGAGAGTCATACCAAAATTAGCTGCACCTTGGCCTAACAGTTAACACAGTATTCATACAGAAAAATTTAATTTTTAACAGAAACCATCCAAAGTTCATAGAGCGTCTGTTTTGATAGTCCACAAGAGCTGTTTGAAACTTGCAACACAACTTGAGTTATGTATAAATTTGCGTTGTTTTTCAGAGTATGGGTTTCTCAATAGCTGCAGGATCATCGCCCTCGTGTACCAAGGCTGTAACTATCTCTCTGGGAGAACAGGTGATCAAGTTGAAGCAGAACAAAGAAGTGACCGTCAACAATGAGGATGTTGAGAGTCTCCCAGTCAGTGTCGGAGGAGCTTACATCAGGATTGCATCATCTTTGTTCTTACAAGGTACCAATCGGATCATTAGTTTGATTCTGTGAAGAGCCAGTAGCTTTTAGATGGTACACATTTTATAAAAGTTACTGGGAAGAAAGAGCCATGTGACCTTAACTTTGCCTGTACAGATAAATAGTTTTTAGTTTAGTTTTATTACAATCGACCCAGCTGTCTTTAATTAATTATTTTTGATATAAAAAGTGGTCATGGCCACAGAAACAGCTGATTACAGTTAGTAACTAATTTTAATTTACATTTTACTCCGTGCTACTCTTACCTTGAATTAATATTCAGCTTAAAGAGTTCAAAAGTTTGCCGCTGGCTTAAAAGATTGATTCCACCTCCGCGAAGCTTCGGGTTCGGATCCTGGTGCCTGTCACTAAATTTGACCAGTACAGTTCAACCATGTTCTGTATCGGCTCACCCCAGGTTTGCCACCTTTGGTTAGGGAAAAATCAAGTTGGGCCCCCTTCCCTAGGATAAACACACAAAAAATTTAACATGGACAAAAGGGTCCGAAGTCTGGACTGTCAAATAGAATCAGGACACATGGCAGCCCTAGCTCACCCCTTAATTGTTTTGCTGGATACTTATGTGGACGTGCTTAAGGTTAAAAGAGCGTTTTGTATGTAAATGTTCTAAATTTTATAACAGTAACTTATATCAACTAGTTTTTCTAGTATTTTGAAAAATTACCTAAATATAGTAACCCAGCAAAACTAGTTTTATTTAACCAAATGTTCTTGTTTCAGTGGAGCTGTCTGATGGTTTAGAAGTGTGGTGGGATGGGCAAACTAGGGTTTACATCACCGCTCCGCCCTCACTCAAGGGGAAAACCAAGGTAGCAACAGCAACAATTAGATCTGAAATATTAAAACATGTGTTTTGTGGTTATTAGAAAACAAATTTAGTTTCTTATAAAAAAACAACCTGTAGCTATTAAAATTGTTGAATTGCTTGATTAAAATTGTCAGTCAATGTAGGATAACAAAAAAAAATCACTTAACAAAATTGAAAAAAACTGTTGAAAACAGGAAAACAGTTGAAAGTACATATATAACAATGAACACATGAAGCATATAATATTCAGAAATACTCGCTCATTCTGCAGTTTTAGAGTTTTTGTTATAGTTGTAGGCTGTCAATTTGTTATCAAGTGTCTTCCTATATTCTCTCCTCTTGAGAGAGAACACAGAAATTCTTGTCCTTTTTGTAATTATTCACTCTCTGATTTACAGGGCCTTTGTGGAACTTTCAATGGGAACCAGAAAGATGACTTTTTGACGCCCGAAGGCGACGTGGAGCAAGACGCTGTTGCTTTTGCCAACAAATGGAAAACTCGAGAGGTTTGTGACAACAGCGAGGTCAGTGTCTCACATCCGTGTGACAAACATGTCGGGCGCCGTAAACTGGCCGAGAGTCACTGCGCAAACATCACCAGCAGTTTGTTTGCAGGTTAGTTTGTGCTGTGTAATACATTATTCTTCGAGAAAAGTGGTAAAATTTGTCCTACTGTGGCTCATTGAACTACTGAATGCTATTTTTTAATAAAGAATTGGCTAAAGCTGGTCCATATGTCTGGGGAATGCCCGGATATCTGTAATTCAGTGTGTGTACACACTTACCAATGTAATGAAGTGAAGTTGCTGTGTGATGTGTCTAGACTGCCACTATCTGGTGGATCCTGCGCCGTTCTACGAGGACTGTCTGTTTGACGTCTGCTCTTGCAGCGGACCTACACCCCAGTGTCTGTGCCCCGTCATGTCAGCCTACGCCAAGGAGTGCGGCTTCCAAGGGGCGACGATCGACTGGAGGGACAAAGTCAAAGAATGTGGTATGTTTTCTAGAAGACTCAGATTTTATGGATAAAACCAGCTTTATAGCTAGCTGTACACAGCAAAATAAGATTCAAGTTGTTATGATTGTTATGGAGAATTTTGAAATTTCACTACTATACACTTATTTACCTACTTACTCCCAAGGCCATGCATGTCCTAAGAGATATTTTGCTGCACCTACAAAGCCCCTCCATCTCCCTCAATCTTCTGCATCTGTCCCTTCTATTCGCTCTACATCTCTATTCATTCTACTCATTTAAGGAGTTTTACAACATGTAATTATAATTATAATTATAGTAATTAATTTTTCCTGTTTGATTTAGTTTATTTTATATAACCGACTATTTCTTAATTACTAATAATCAGTAATAAGCTGTTTTGACACCATTCTGTATTTATATATATATTTCATGTATATATTCTGTAAATCTTAAATAAAGCTTTTCTAATTCTGATTCTAAATACTCACAAACTACATCCGGATCCTTATACAACCCTCTTGTCCATCTAATCCATCTACTTGGTGTTGGCCACTAGACACCATCGACTAAGTGCTAGACTCTATAATATTACCATTAAATGCTTCCTCTGTGCCTTACTTCTCTGTACATGTCCAAGTCCCCCAGCAGACTAAATATTGTGTTATTATGTTTCCCTTTTGCATTATGGCCTACCTGGGCTTTTTCTATAATAAGAGGCTGCTATCCATTCGGATATTCTAAAAATAATCATTGAGAGTGTTTAATAACAGCATAAAGAAATAATTTAAAACATGGCAGGTATCCAGTGTCCGAGTGGTCAGCAGTACAAGGTATGTGGCAGCACTTGTGAAAGGTCATGTGGAGACCTGGACAGGCCTTGTCCCCACCATTGGAGCTGTGTGGAAGGCTGCTACTGCCCCGCCGGCCTCACTCTCGGCCCTGCTGGGGACTGTGTGCCTGTATCTACATGCGCCTGTGTACATCACGGTATGGAGTATCCCCCCGCTCACAAGGAAATACGACCTGGCACTAAGGGACTGCAGTTCTGGTTAGTAATGTTTGATTTATAATTCAGAGTTGTCCATTTTTTTTTTACTTATTACACCACAAAATTTAGCTGGCGCAAAATTGATAAGTGCTGGGATGTTTCTGTGTGAAAAGCTTCCCTTGCGTGTTTGTTAAAGTAGCCAAGGCTCCACAATGGACAATTGGGATATGGGTAAGATTTGGATTAAGATTTAAGTTATAGGTAACAATCGGTCAATTCATAATCATATTTCTTTCCCAGCAATGGCCTTCTTTGGTGACTGTGTCATTTTAAAAGTATGATAGTTATGTATAGCTACCTTTTAGTCTCATGGTATGTAAGGTTGCTAGAGATATGTTTTCGTAAACATCTACAATAAAGGACATGAAAAGGGATTTAACTGTTGAACTAATTTCATTCAATGAGACTGCAAAAAACGTAGTTTTAAAGAGGCCTACTGCTCACTATATAGAGAAAATACGGTACTTGCCCTGAACATGTGATCTATCAATAAGGGTTCAAAGATGTTAGAGATAGGGAGATGTTGTTGGAGTTAGAGATTGTGGAAGGGGTGGAATAATGATACTCTGAGTAAAAAAAGTTTAAAAAAACTAAAACATTCTGGAAATGGAAAGATATTGTTTCTAGAGGCTTCAATAAAAAGTTGTTATCATCCTCGACCATGCTATCTGATTGAGTTTATTAATTATCTTCATTCTGTGACAGCAACGCTTGTCAACAAGGGTAATTTTAGTTGAATATAGCAGGGTGAGTGTAGAATTGGATGAGATGATCTGTGCAGCTTTGTTACTAAGACCAGCTGTTTCAACTAGAATGGTTTAGTCCAACAATCAAAGTTATTTTTATAGCACAGACTGTTCCAACACTCACAATCTATTAAACAAAATCATTTACATTTTTTAGTGAGTGCAAAAACGGCAAGTGGCAGTGTTCGACTGCGTCTGCAGAACAGATCCGAGACTATCCGAACCAGTCGCTGGAGCTGAGGACTTCCTGCAGCGCCACGAGACATCAGGAGTTTACACACTGTGAGCCTCCGGAGCCTGTCACATGCAAGGTAAAGAGGTGGTCAGCGGAAGATTGTGCTGTATGTAGCATCAGCCAGTCTCCTTCAGCTTTAATTTTGTATCGGCCAGGCTTTTGGTTCAGTATTTGCTCACAAAAACAACTTTCTACAATAATTTACAGAGACACGTTATTGTTTAACTGTCTAGAAATGTTTCTAAGTAAATTTTTCACTTCCACGCAACTGACTACATGGTGCCAAACACCCTAGTGCCCACCAGATGTAGTGCTCTATTCCCTCTATTTTCCCCTCTTAGGCACATTTTCTGTTGCTTCACATTGCTACTGTTTTAAATTATATCAGTAAACTACACTTAAGATATAAATCACTTCTTTACGTTTTTTTATCGTAGGAGGCTAGGCTCTACCTTGGAATAATTTTTCACGTTATTTCAGGCTAGACCTAGTGGCTGTGAAATTACCCCTTAGATAAAATCCATTGGTGATCTGGTGGGATTTGAACCTAGGACCTTAGAAACCGAAGTCCTGCGCTCTGCCACTTAAGCTCGCTCCCCATCATATTAATCCAATCCCTAAAATATTTGTCCATAAATATATTTTACCTCTATTGAAGCCTCTGTTCACATTCGGTCCCTTGTATCGTCCCTGATGTTGCAGAACATGCACGCACCACCGCAGTCTACCCCGGCTATCTGCAGGTCTGGCTGTGTGTGTCGTAGAGGCTACGTTCTGGACTCTCTTACCAAGCAGTGTGTCAGACCAGCGCAGTGTCCGTGTCATCACGGAGGACAGAGCTACTCGGACGGTACCAAGATACAAGAGGACTGTAACACCTGGTAAATAATATAGCTACAAACGTTTTTAGCTTAATAATTCGCTGAACTATACAAATACTTTTTTTGTGTGTGAGTTTATTTGGTACAGGGTGTTTTTTCTTTTTGTTTTGCAGCCCAAATTACAACTGTTGAGACAATGCTAAACAACAAAACAAGCTCATGTGTTGGTAATTGGTATACCTGTTTTCTTCACTTCTTTGCTGATGAGCTGAAATGCATCTATGAGGTTTAGTGTTATTGGGAATTTATTGTAAATAAGATTAAACATGGTGTTTTGCTAGCTCAAATCTTTGGCTTACAACTACACATACAACTAGACTTTCCATCCCTATGTTAAAGTTGTAGTCAGTTTTTCAAAATCAAATTCCTCGTAGTTGATGTTAGTCACCAACAGATTGCGCTGATCTAAATTACTAATTTCTGTCGAACACACAATGTTTTTACCAAGCCAAACTGATGGAACGGCTTATTACGAGCTATAGCAACTGTTATGACCCACCAACTATGTCAGCAACAAAAAATAAGTTCGGAAATTGAATTTTAGACAATAGCACATTCTGTGACTGGCTCACACAACTAAATTCTTTTTCAGTAAAAAATTTGCGACAGCTCCCATATAGATGGGATGTCTACCTCTGTATCCAATAGTCAATGCTCAAATGCAGTATGTTATCACAGAAAACATACTACTATAACCCAGAATGCCAACCGCATGGTAAAAAGCATTAAGTGTTTTGAGAGAGCTTTGCCTGTCAATTCATAGGCAGCGCCACCAGCGTTGCCATGCACTCAGCATAGCACTCTGTATTTATGATTGTATCATATTTGTATTATTGTATTTACCAATCCTGCATGTCAAGACGTATCTTCTGGCATAATGTGATTGTCTTTTGTTAATTTTTTGCTAAAAGATATTGTTTACCAAATTCTTTAAGGTATTAAGCATAGGGTAATAGGAAATTCAGTAATAAATTATTTACCATCACATTCTAATAACGTCAACACTTGTGATCCGTAGCACGTGCGAGGGTGGTCAGTGGATCTGTAGCCAGCGTCAGTGTCCCGGGGTGTGTCGAGCCTGGGGCGATTCACACTTCCGCACGTTCGATGACCGCATATTTGACTTCCAGGTAGACCTAACCGTTACCTCATTGTAGTCATATTTTAAATTAATAGCTATGTTACTCTAGCAGAGTAGCTGGGTGGGCATAGCGCTCTACCAATATAAAGATTGCTGACTCAATCCTGAAAGAATTGAAACTTTTTGATGGTTCGAAACTGATTCTGATTCTGATTCTAATTCAAGACAACTCACTCCATTCATCCTTTACTCTTATAATCTAAATTATGACCACTATCACATCTCAATAGGAAATTTGATAATAGTCTCTACCTTTACGATTCAAACTAGATGACAATAGAGAACATAGATCAGTGGTGTTTCCATGAGGGGCTACAGGGGCTAAAGCTCCCCCCCCCCCATTGAATCTTGGAAAAATAAAATTTTAAATACATTTAGCTCTAAAACATAATGAAGGTTTTGGATACGGTTTTAGACGTTCAAAATTGCGTTAGAAATCCACCTAACTGCTTTAAAAAAACCAAATTTTTCTGGGGAGAACCCTGGACCCCCCTGTAAACCCAAAGGGCTCTTGACAAGGTCTTATAAGGTCCTAGAACCACAACTGATTTTGACTTAGTGTTGAAATGAGTAATTTGTGGAATTTTCGCTTGTAAAGATATTGACACTGTTTTGTGTGTTTTGTGAAATGTGAGGGATTTATATTTTGTTTGTGCTTGTAGGGAGCCTGTGACTACATGTTGGCGAAGGGATCTCTTTCTGACAGTGACTCGTTCAATGTTGCTTTGGAGGTGAGTATAAGTCTAAAATAGTGATTGTTTATATAAAGTTTTGCGGTTTTATTTTAACTTGTAAAATTGTGTCTCAAAATATTATTTTTTATTGTCATTACTCTGCAAGTAACACTTCACTATAACTTAATTCACTAACTTAATACCATGGCAAAAATATGGTTCGAATTCCACTATAAACTGTAGGTCCCTTAGTTGCCATTAGCTGTATGGGCTATTAATTAACAGCTGTGTCTAAGGAATGTGTCGGCCATAGTCACTAAAAAAACTTAACAATTGTGCTACTCATCCTACACTCATCTCCATTCATACTTGACTTAAATATCTACTTTTTATGGTTGCCATTTTAATGAAAAGTATTAAAGTATTAAAATATTAATTGGAAATAATCAAATCAATATTGTAATCTCTGTGTCAGGGCCAAAATATTGTTTACCAAATAAATTGATGTTTATTGTATACCTTATTAAAAGTGGCTAGATGAGCTACTACGATGAGTACACAACAGGTATTGTTTACAATTTCCATATTTACAATGTATGATGCTCAATTTTGACCGAGTTAAATTTTTCAAGTGAACTTTGTCTTTAGAACTTACAATTTGAAAAGAGTGTTGAGTTAACTTCTTAGCTAAGTTTTTACTGGTATCAACAAATCACTTTTGTCTGAGTTGTCAATCACTTTACATTTTAAAATACAACCTCATAAGCATTTCCGCTTTTGGAAACGTGATTTTCTACAGGAAACCATATAGTTTTTAGTTTTTTGATTTCCAAGATTAATTACTTACTGTGCTGTGGCGGTTTTTAAACTTTTCAATTCAAACACCAACAGATTGTTCCGTGTGGCTCGTCAGGAGTGAGTTGTTCCAAATCAGTCACTCTCTCAGTCGGCTCGGGAGACAAACATGAAACCGTTACCTTCAAGGCTGGCAAAAGTGTACCATCTGTTATAGGACTTAACAGGTTAGTTTATTTGTGTTGCAAAATATGTATGTTGTATTGTTCAAGTTAGTCACCATGAGACGTAGGAATTGGCTAACTCTGGAACTGGCTAACCGTCTAATGTAGTGGATAGCGCACCAGGCTGATGATTCGGAGGTAACCGGTTCGAAACCCACTGGAGTCATTAACTTTTTGACTCGAATTTTTTTCATTATCAGCAAGTTTGGTTGGTTTGGTTAGGTTATGATAATTTAATTTTATAATTAAAAATTATATAATTGATTTTCAGACATTTATAATTTTATTTTACGAAAAGAACAATTTTAGTTATTAGTAAGTTAAACCTTCATTCAAAGTTTTCATTATCAGCAAGTTTGGTTAGTTTGGTTAGGTTATGACAGTTAAATTAATTTAAATTTAACCTACAAATGACACGTTTTGACAGCTACAGTGATAGAGCTAACAATTACTTTTTATTGCAGTTGTTTATTTAATAAACTACCTTCTCATATTCGCAATGAATCTTCTGCCAAAGCATTTAAAAGAAAACTTGTTAACTATCTAAAGAGCCATATGTTTTATTCAGTAGAGGATTTCATTTTATATAGTAATAGTGGTTTGTAAAATGGTTCATGTGGAGAGTTTGTTTTCTCATTATGTTTAAGTTACATTAATTTAGTTTTTAACATTTTTGTATCATATTTTTGACATGTCATCTACCATTGAGGAAACTCCTCTGTATATGGTGTAATTTGTGACAATTTACATGAATAAATGAATGAATAAATGAATAAATTTCCCACGAACAGATCGGCTATGCACGGTATGATGCGTTCTGCACGGCGCGGTGGTAGGCGGTGGCGGTCTGACGGTAAGGTCTCGTGGTGCGCTAGGCTTCTGATTGGGAGTTAGCGAGTTCCGCCGAGGGGCCGAGTCAGCAAGTTCTGTCCTATTACGGAATCGCTAACTCGGCTCTAGAGCAGGCAGGTTAGCGGGTTCCGGAGTTAGCCAATTCCGAGACTGAACGAGTTAGCGAGTTCCGCTCATCGACCAAATTTGAAGATAGGACATTTAAAATGGGGTTAGCAAGTTCCAGAGTTAGCCAATTCCGCATACCCGTCACCATACGTGTATCGTCATTGTCTGCAGTGAAAATAAAAGCTGTAGCTCAGCCGTAAAGAATATTGACTAAAAATGGTTTAGAACGTTGATTTGTAATGGCTCTGTAAGTATAAAAAGGGGCCCCTCAGTTCTGTCAATTTTTAGTATAAGTTACATAATTTACTCAAAAATAGTAAATGATATATCAGTTTAAGCTTTTTGAGACCTTTGTTATACGACTACCACTATGTGTTTCAGGTTGAAATTATCTACAAATCCTATTCAGGGATAGGTTAGGTTGGAACTGAGACATAACCTAAAACTTTAAGTCAAAAGGTTATATAAAAACAGTATGTAGATTGAATGAAGTTTTACCCTAGCAATGTCTCATGCTCCATATTTCATTTAAGGAAAATCTCATGCTAAGACTATTCTTTGGTAGTATTATCTTTAATGCACTGTAACTGGAATTGTGTATTGTTACATACAATTTATGTTCTAGTAATTTATCGGGGAAAAATCCACTTTTTATTTTATGAAACTGTCATTCATCACATTATTATAAGAATGTTTCAGACCATATTTTATATTACTGATCTGTTTGGGTTTTCAGGATCACAGTGAGACAAGCAGGTTTGTTTGTTTTTGCCGAGGTGGCAGACCTGGGAATAGTTCTACAATGGGATAAAGGAACAAGAGTCATTCTGAAAGCAGATCCCAAATGGGAAGGAAGGGTAATTTAATTTTACTCGAGAGCATTTATTGACATTATTTTTGTTGAGTTTAAATTTCTTAAAAAGTTCTGCCATGCAATTACTGATGCACTGCAATTTTCACAAAGTAACTGTTTACATGATGCATTAAGATCCAATTTATTTATAAGCTTCTTGAATTTGATGGATTTCAAAAAGATTGTATTCTAAGAGTGTGTGTTACCTACAACGTAATTAGTTGACGAAAAGTTTAATAAAAAGCCTGTATAACACACAACAGTTTTTTCCCCTAATGTTTTGACAAGTGAACAGATGTACACTTGCAGATGTGTCCTTTCTCTAACATGCATGATGCATGCAATGTTTTCTGGACAGAAATTTTATTTTCTATTTTGTGTTCAAATCACAACATATAAACAAGAAGAGGTCAACGTATCTTGATTTCATCTAGTGATTTAATCCCCAAATAGAACCCAAACCTAAATCTGTTTTGTACTTTGAAGGAAAAGAACTCGTTAAGGTATAGTATCTACATTTTGTAATCATTGCAGCTGAAAGGTCTGTGTGGCAACTACAACGGAGATGAGAAAGATGACTTCCAGACTCCCTCTGGAGGGATCAGTGAAGTGTCCGCTCAGCTGTTCGGGGACTCCTGGAGACTCCAGCCTTACTGTCCGGACGCTCATCCTGTTGTTGTAAGTGAAACTCACCAGTACTGTAGTGTCCTTAGATAAATAGTAGAACTCTAATTATGTGAATTGCTTTTGCTAGTTATCCGAATCACTTACAGAAAGCATTGAAAACACCTAAAACTACAGGAATAAGAATCGTTAGTAAAGAACACAGAAGCCACGATCCCAGCAAAATCCTGAAGATCTCCCGTAGTCATATGTGGACATCATCATTGTCTCAGAGACATCTTCTTCCATATAATAATTTATATTCATATGTCATTGATGACATTTCAATATTCATATTCAATAATAATATTGCTACACGATGTAAAAATTGTCAAGAGCAATAAATAAATAAATAAATAATATTCAGAGAGTGTTTATTTCTACAGGATACTTGCAAATTGCATCCAACTCGTAAGTCCTGGGCTGTTAAGAAATGTGGAATCCTCAAGTCTTCGTTGTTCCGTCCTTGTCACTCAGAAGTTCCAATCGAGCCTTACCTTGACAGGTCAGTGTGTGTTATTGTTTATGTTTTAATTTGTTGAGTGACTAATTGATTTTTGATCTGTTCTGATATTTTTATTTTTATTGTGACTTATTGTCATACCTTGATTTACTTTTATCATGAATATATAGGAAGCACATCAACAAAAAAGGTTGAGAAGTAGATAGGTTTATATAGACACCAAAAGTTAAATCTTTGGTTATATGTTGACTGTTAAGGTTAAGGTAAGTTAGTGGAACTACAGTAAGTAACTGAACTCATACTGAATGCTGCAGTTCATCAAGCACCTTAAATTTGACAAGCTCTGATTCACAAGACCGAGAGCACAAAAAGCCCACATGAAACTGAAGCTCAAAGGGATTAGGTCTGCCCCTGCACAATCAATCAATCGACTTTAAACATCAGGCTTTGATAAGCAGCTGTATAACCCTACTCTTGCAGAATGTTTTGTGTTATAGACATTTCAAATAAGTTTCAGTAACTCAGTGGTGACAATAGCCTCTGACATGTTCCAGATGTATTTTTGACACGTGTGGCTGTGACCAGGGAGGAGACTGTGAATGTTTGTGTACGGCCCTTGCTGCGTACGCTCACGAGTGTAATGCTCACGGAGTCCACATCAAGTGGCGGTCACAACAGCTGTGTCGTAAGCAATTTTATTCTTTCAAAATGACTTGTATGAATAATTGTTAAAAAAATTTAGAGTAATATTTATATTTTGATTTGGTGTTTTATGCTTTATTCAATAGGGTAATTTATTTTTAATTGCCATCAATTTTTTTTTTTTTTTTACTGAAAATCATCATTTCTTTTAATATCCTAGAAGCAATATCACTTAGAATGTGCACTTGAATTTTTAATGTATAGGCAGTTTAACATCACTGAACGTTGACCGATATATTCAACCTTGTTGCACAAGCTATTATTATCTTAATGTTGCAGCTATCCAGTGTGACGAGACATGTTCAGAGTACAAGCCCTGTGTTCAGACCTGTCCTCTAGTCACCTGTGACAATGTCTTGATCTACAAGTCTCAGTCTGGTTTGTGTCAGGAGGACGTCTGTGTTGAAGGTACTCTACATCCTTGCAAATATCGGCGTTCTAATCATAGTTCTAATGTAGTTATTGATAACATAAAAAATCAACACAAGTTGAATCTTTAATTGAAGAAATAAGAAATCTAAAAGTTTTACTGGTTGAAATTAACTTTTTAACTTTTTTGAGTGTTAAAACAAGTTTATCTTGAAAACTAAATCATTTAAGCTGTTGTGGTGATTATTATTTTTGACGAAATAAATTACAATAATGCATTGTTTAAAGATGGAATAAACGCCTTTTCATTGAATATTCCTATTCACTGTAATACGGTAGCGAGTCTTCTCATTGCTCCTGTTTTTAGACAACTGAATTATTTAGCCTGGAAACACAAAGATCTGAAGACCAAAATTAGACAGTCTTCTTTGAAATTCATTTTTATAGCCCCAGGATTGCGTAATATGACATATAATGGTTAAAACATACCTCGTCAGACAATCCTTAACATGTAGTGTCGATGTTGCTACATATGTTTCGGCGGTTATTTACTGACCTCCGCCATCGTCAGGCAAACAACAGGATCCACTTGATGTGTCGTCAGAATAAATAAATAATACACACATTTTACAAAACACAAAAACGAAAATGATAGGCCTATCAATTAAATGCACTGCCGTGGACATGGCAGGAAGCAGACTGAACGTTATGTTGTGATGTCGACATAACGTTCAGTCTGCTTCCTGCCATGTCCACGGCAGTGCATTTAATTGATAGGCCTATCATTTTCGTTTTTGTGTTTTGTAAAATGTGTGTATTATTTATTTATTCTGACGACACATCAAGTGGATCCTGTTGTTTGCCTGACGATGGCGGAGGTCAGTAAATAACCGCCGAAACATATGTAGCAACATCGACACTACATGTTAAGGATTGTCTGACGAGGTATGTTTTAACCATTATAAGTCTTCTTTGATCGTGGAAGCCTACCTAGTCATATATATGATGTCTGTGACAAGCAAATTAAACTTACCAACTCAGGCTCACCCTGGCTACCGCTTCCCCAACATGCAGCTCCACTAACACAACGTGTCTGTATACAGGGTGTGATGTGAAGCCTTGCCCAGAAGGTCAGGTCCACCACAACACCACAGACATGACATGTGTGCCCGTAGCAGAGTGTAAGCCTGTGTGTATGACTGTGGACGGGAAACAATACTTTGAGGGGGACTTCATGGAGGGAGACGACTGTTACAGCTGGTAGGTTTATGGGAATATTTTTTAGTCAAATTATAAAACTACTTGATTAAGTATTAGCCTAGAATTTGTTTGTCTTTATTAATGTATGTTTTTTTAGGTTATGTCTTTTATGGCATATATTTAACCAAAATAAAATTCTAAAAGAAAAATCTGTGTCCTCCCCCTATATACAGTGTAGAAACAACCGGTAGTGCACTCCCTAACTGATGTCGTCAACTTCCACCAGAGCCAAACACCGTTTATTTCAGGTGGGCCCTCCCACTGGCTAATCCTCACATTATTAAGCTCAATTAGATTGCAAACTAACAGGAGTAGAACGTGTCCATGTAGAAAGATCTGAGCACTAAGCTTGCTTGTGCAATGCCTTAGCCACTGTGTTATTGTCGGCCGGCCAGGCAGAGTGGTACTATAGTTTGAATATCGACACTAGGGCTCGCAGGTGTGATTAATGAATTAATACTTTAATTCTTTTCAATGAAATGGCGACCATACAAAGTAGGTATTTTAAGCCAAGTATGAATGGAGATGAGTGTAGTACTTATTCCAGTTTGGATTTGGATTTAACGGCTCAATAAATCATTTGATTTTACTATAACACTCGCTTTTGCAGCTTCTGTTCCCGTCACAAGAAGACATGTTCGGGCCAGCCTTGCACCACGCCTCCCCCCACCACTCCCCCCACTGTCCCTGCGCTGGACCAGCCCGTGGCGTGTGTCCCAGGGTGGTCGGAGTGGATGAGCAATGATCAACCAATCCCGGGCAAGAAAGAGACCGATGTAGAGCCTCTACCGTCACTGCAACAGTTCAAATCGGTGGCCAGAAGTGTTAAAGGAGTCAAGGTGGGTTTTCTGAAAGGCAAAAACCTGTTGGAGTGTTTATTATTGTTATGAAAATTTATCGTGCTAATTTTAAAAATATTCCTTCCTATGAATGAGATATTTGTTAAAGTTGTAGCCATTTTTAGACTTGTAGAAAAAAGGTATGTTTATAGATCGTGTAAATTAGGATGACTTATTGGAGGGATGATGGAAAGGCTCTGAGAGTCACACCACTGGACACTATTGGTATTAATATTATATTAATCCAATGGATTGTTGAGGAGAGTATAAAATACCAAAAGCAACGGTGGTGGGAGAATATTCTTGTGTGGATTGGTATCCCACTTGCCGCTCTTAATTGACACTATCTATACTGAACAACTCTTAAAATAATTCACCAACGTTAACATATTCAAATGGTTGACTATCAAGAACTACAATTTCAGTATTTTGCAGCCTTGTTATGAACTATTTTTTAAATTTATAGTTTTGGTATTTCAAATATTTTTTTGTATTTTTGCTATTGTTGCTATAGGTTAATAGTGCTTTTACAACATATTTTCTTATTTTAAAATTTTAAAGAACTCAGCGAGCTCATACTAAGATCTGTGACAACTTCAAAGGATATTGAAAGGTAACAAATATTTTATACTAATAACCACAAATATGTGTTGTACTAACTGTCTTGCATTGTTTAGAAGACTGTAAGCAGTGGTCAATGTGGACTGGAGGCTATGAGAGACATAGAGTGTAGAGTGGTCGGCTCCAAGCAGCACTACAAGGACACTATGCAGGATGTGGAGTGTAGTCTGGAGAATGGACTTGTCTGTCGCGGAGACTGTCACGACTACGAGATCAGAGTGTTGTGTCAGTGCGGTGAGTAGAATATACGAGGACGGTTGAAAAAAAAAGTTTTAAGCCACTTTCCTACGCGATTGCCAAACAATTTGAGACACAATATTTATGGATGAACTTTGAAATTGCTTTTTCATATACAGTAATTCCATTTTAGTAGTCTCAGCGACTTTTTGACAAACAACTTGAACTCCTTGTGGTTAACAAAGCACTGTGGTACTAATAAAGTATTAATCATTGGAAATAAGTTGAAGTCTCTAAGAGCAAGGTCTGGACTGTAGTTTTGATGAGGGAAAATCACCCATTTGAATGAATTAAGGGGATCTTGCGTGTGATTTACCATCTGAGGTTGTGTGTTGTAATGCAAAAACAATATGTTGGACGTCATCTTTCCTATGCATTTGTTTTGAATTGCTCTCCAAAAGGTTGAGCAAAGTTTGACAGTAGTGATCAGAGTTCATTGTTGCACAACGTTCAAGTTAGTGAATTTTTGATGTGTTTCATGTTTCATCCACTAAGCAAGGCGAGCGATGCCTGAATCGCAGGTGAATTAATTAATCCCTTATCTCTAGAACTGTGTTTTCTACTGAATATAAAGAACTCGAGTTGAAATGATGAAGCCTAGATGTATTTTTCATAATTAAATTAATTTTTGCTGTTAAATAAACATCTTTTACTATGCAGTGAACAAGTTTTGTTAATTATTTATCTTATTTTATAATTTATGGTTTTATATTTTAATTTCCGAATTTGCAGGTCCAACAAGTACTTCTACAACAACTGTTACAACTACGACAACAACAACACAAAAAACAACAGAAGTGTTTACAACCCAGCCAACAACAACCACCTCTACTGTAGCTCCTACCACCATTCAGAAAGGTATACTTTACTTATAATTTGTATAATATCATACAAAAGTGTTTACTGTCTATTTTATAGTATTTATGTTAGTGGTTTACAGATCTTTTCAGGCTTTTAGCCGGTCTGTGGCAGGTATGCAACAAATAAAATACTGAGATATATATTATGAGGAAGACCAGTACTTATGAATATTATTAGGACAATGAGAGACTAATTGCCGTGCTATAGCAATCCTATGGTAAAACATTGCTGCCTGTAGGCCTGTGCCTTTTTTATACAGAATTATCATTACCGACATTTTAATGTTGGTTTTTTGTAATACATAATTAATACCTCTATTATACAGGTTTATTCAGATATAACCATTCATTATCATAATTCTTTAACTAGTTTGATTATCTATTCCTATTAAGAGACAGAGCGTATACAATGTACACTTTTTAGATGGATCCGTAAAGTTTGATAGGCTCCATGATGCAGACAAGTTTACAGTCCATCAGTAACAAATAACTTATCAATCTGAGCCTGTGGATCATGCATATGTCGCAATGCTGTTACAGAAGTGGAATTGGTGACGTGTGACGTACTGACACCGCTGTCAGCTCACCCTGAAGACTGCCGCAGGTACTACCAGTGTGTAGAGACGGACCGAGGACTGGAGAAGATGGAGCGAGAGTGTGCGCCGATGTTGTGGTACAACCCGGAGACTATGAATTGTGATTGGCCGGAGCAAGTGAAGCTGATACGTCCCGAGTGTCAAGGTTATATTTTCACAGAATTTATTTTTGTTTGTTTAAATCAATGTTTCGCAACCTTTTTTTCTCAGCTGTAAAACTTCACAAGACCAAAATGCATTCATTGTGTACTGCTTAGCCACGTAGAGGTGATTATGGGTAGAATATTTTCATCATTTTGCTAACTCAGTAAACAAATAAGATAACCAATAGCTAAACTAGCCAAACTATAAGGACAATGTGTTGTTAGCTATAGCATCGATTGTATCATAAATTTATCAACTGTCACAGTTAGAAAAACTGAGGCAGAAAACAGTTGACATAAGTGTGCTCTATAAGTGGATCATTTAACAATGTTCTTTTTCTTTTCAAATAATAAATTGCTATATAGATCCTTACCACCGTTCCCAAAACTGGTAGTGTTGACAAGCTTGGATTAGCTGAGTTGATATATGATGGCGACACTGTTTACCGACTTGTCTCCTAGATACTTGCTCATGTTGGAAGAGACCGGTAGCCAAGGGGAGAGATGTCTACTTCAGCATACAAAGGTCATTATTCCCAAAATATATTGGCTATAACCTTGACAAGCTTCAGCAATATCTCTATTTGTTCTGCAGTGACAGAGTCCAAGCCTAAGTGCGAAGACTCGTGGAGTGAATGGGTGAATGTCTCCCATCCTTCTATCGATGACGGAGACTTTGAAACCTTCAGCAAGATAGCAGAGGCAGGTATCACTCTGTGTCCTGGATCCAACGGGTTCATCAAAGATATCCAGTGCCAGTACAAGTCTGCTGTCTCTGCAAAAGTGGTCAGGTAAAACATTCAAATCCAATCTGATTTTCTTTACTTTTGCGGTGCACTTTTTTACACTGAACAGAGTCGCTTTTGAATTATCTTTCCAAAAGCTGCGTTTACACGATGCCAGTTGGCGAGCAGGTTACTTGCATCAGGTAACTTGAATTACATTAGAGGCAATTAACCTACCAGCTCTACTGGCTCTGGTAAACACAGCTTTAGAGAATATGTACATGTCTTAGAATATCATCTACACAAGGATGAAAATGATTGCCGCAAAATTAAATTGTCAAGGTGGAAAACTTGCAAGAATTCCTTATCTCTTTGATAATTCTTTCATTCAGGAAAGCAATTATGAGGAATGAAACCATAATATTTCTCAAACACAACCAAAAAAGTGTTTTGCCACAATGGTGATGGTTTATGTAAAAGTAGTTTGGTTACTTCAACTCTTTGTTTGGACTTCAAAAATCTGTTGACCCCTAAGAGTTGAAAAAGTGCTCTTCTCTTCGTGTAAGTTAGTGATAGCTATGCATTAACTTTGTATGTTTTGACATTTTTTATTCAGCAAAAAAGGAGGCAAGAAGTCAGTGAAGAAGGGCAAGTCCAGTCTGGTAGAGAAGGACTACCGAGAGTCCCCTGATGTGGACGTTGTGTGTTCTCCTTCTACAGGACTGAGCTGTCTCAACTACAAACAAGAGGACGGACGATGCGAGGACTATAGTATCAGAGTGCTTTGTGGCTGTGGTGAGTGTTAAACAAATGTCAAATATGCAACTGGAACTAACAATTATGTTGAATCTGTTCGGGAGTTATTTGGGGAAAGAGAGAGTTCAGGTATCTTAGCTGCAATAATTAGAGTCCAGTGAGTTTAAGACATACGAAAAGTCATAAAAGATTTATTTTTCACTTTTCAGTAAGCTCCTAAACTCCAATTTTCCCAGATATTCGAACTGTACTCCTTTTAAAAGAGCCTTATGACCCTTGAAGTTTCAAATCTTTTTGGCCATCCATAACTGCTCTTGTGGATAACAATTAGTAAAGCCGCTTTTACACAAGCTATCTGCTGCAAATAGTGTATTTACAGTTTTCTGATGCAGGTAACCTGCCTGGCACACTGGTCTCGAGCAAACACAGCTTAAGGGTGTTAGTTGGTCTTAATTACTTAGTCTTGGGACCAATCTATCGTCTACACTAATTTCATGGATGTTGAAGATTTGGCATATTTTAGCAGTTAATTGTCTTCTTAATTACTACGATAATGTATTGAATTTAGTGTTCCATTGCTCATACCGTTTTGTTATTTAATTTTGTTTAAATTTTGAAATTTATTGACAACTTTTTTTGCTTGTTTTATAACAACTGCTCTTATCTAGTTCCTCTCCTGAAATCTTTAGGAACATTTTTTTATGAATTACGCTAATATCATTGTCATCACTATAGTCCTACTTAAAGATAAATGTAAACATTGATCACCTAAATATAGTTTCATGTTTCAGAAAGTAAATCAGAAGAAACAATTGTAGAACAGGGAAAAACTGAAGAACCTGTTACAAGCCCTATAGGAGAAGGTAAAGTTACCACATGTTGATATCGTTACTTAGGCTTATGTAAAACACTTTAGAAGAATGTCTGTTGGGTTGAGGGCACGGGTTAACATACTGTCAAGAAATTGTTGTGTTTGTTTGCTGGACTTAACGTACAAACCATTTATGGGTAAAGTTTGATTACTGTGACTTTGGAAATAGTTTAAACCTAACAATTTTTTGTTGCTACCCATTTTTGACAAAAGACGTTAATCCAGTTTTTGCTCCCAAGATGTTCCAACAGAATTTGTACTAAGTATAGACTCGTTTGGTTGGTTTCAGGCTGCAGAAGTGATGAACAATGGATTGACTGCAATCTACAGTGCGATCAGCTGTGTTTGTACTACGAACATGTGATGCTAGTGGAAGGGAAGTGCACCACTGGCCGGAAATGTGTACCTGGTAATATCTGTTAGAATATTTGACACTAGAAATGCATAGGGTTTTGTCACCTATGTGACATTAAAGGACACTTAAGTTATCTCAACAATTTATTGTAAAAATTTAGTGAAATATCTCTTACAGTTGAGTGATTCTTGTAGTCCTATCTAGTCTGCTAGTGTTTGAGGGATTATTGTGGACAATTTACATCACAATTAGTAAACAATAGTCTACTTCAACTGTTTAGTAACTGTTTTTTTTTGTTTTTTTTTTATTGGGGTGGAAATGTTCACAATAATCCCTCAAACACCAGAAACCCACCATAACAAAAAAGATTAACCTCTATTTTACCCTTAGTAGGAGTCTTCTTCAGGCTACACAAGGTGTCAATATTAAATTAGACATTGTTTTGTAAAACACAAAATACCCAGACAATAACATGCTATCCCAAATATTAAAAAAATACACCTGCCGCAGCAAACCTGCCGACTAAGCGAATTTCCATTTGTCTGAATTGATTTTCAGTTAAATTATATTTTAATAACATTAGGTTTAACGAGTACCTAGGTTTGCTGCTACAAGGAAACAAATAAAGTGTGTTTTTGAGTAAAATATTGATAGCTTAGTACAAAATAAATAAATTTGACAAGTTTGATCAAAATATATTCATAAACAAGCAAACTACAACATTTGACAATATTCTCCATAAGAATAACATGGGAATTTTAAATTTACAATTTTTTAAATTTTCTCCGTTACTAATAATTGAACAAAAATACTTTTATATACTAAATTATTTTTTTTTAAGCTCTTTAAAAAGGTCTAAACAGAAATTGGGAAATTTTGTGTTTTGAGGGGCAAAAGTGAGAAAAACCAATTTTTACCCCATAAAACCCCCCGTAAAGCCCCGTTCCCATGGTCCGATCGTGCTGGTTCGCGAACTCATTCAAGTTTATCCCGCTTTACACCTTTAAACCAAATTTCATCAAAATCGGACAAAAATGTCTCAAGTTATCGCGTTCACGGACGTATATATATTTAAGTCTATATATATATATATATATAAATACATATATAAAAATTTGAACGAATAGTGTTTTTGGCCTCTGGGGACATCAAAATGAAAAAGTAAATCGGTCCCGGGTCTAGGTCTTACCGTGCCACCTACGGTAATAGCTACTTCCCTATAGGGAAATTCGCTAATAAAATGTGCAGGGATGTTTTGACACGAAACGGTCAACTGGTCTAGACTTGAGAATTAAATTTTTAATTCAATGAGAAAGTAATTTTTAATTCAGAAAAACAGAAAAAAAACTTCTCCATTATAATATTATAATCATTTTACAAATCGGAATTGTATTGTTTTAATATTTTTATCGTGTTTATGTTCTACAAACTGACATTTTGCATGCGCAGGATGTTGGCCCCGAGGATCAGTGTCGGGTTGTCCTGCTGGATTCCGTTGGCGAGAGTGGGGCTCTTGCGTCAGAGTGGACGACTGTACTTGTAGGTCTTCTACTGGAGCTATAGTAAAGGTATGGGAGACAACGTTTAAATACAATGATGTAAATCAAAACTCTACAAAGATTTATCATGTCTACAACCATATTCTAAAATACAGTAGAAGAAATTGATACAGGATAATTAAAGGACCTGTTTTACATTTTTGTAGCCTGGCGAAGTGATCCATGAGTCAGACTGTAAGGTTTGCATCTGTGAGAATAACCACTACACTTGTGACGACTCTGCCTGCCGTACAACCACGACAACCACAGAACAACCTACCACAACCACGACCACGGTTCCAACCACGTTGGTTGTACCGAGCACTGTTAGCCCACCACCACCATGTGATCAGGACAGGTAAAGTTTATGAATCATTGCGTATGTAAACATCAGTCAAAAATTAAAGTACTTATTAATTAAGTGAATGATTGATTAATTAATTAAGTGAAGTTGATGGTTAAACAGCTATAAAATAGTATGAGTTTGTATTTAATAAATGAGGATTAAAGGGAGGCATTATTTGTCAGTGTTTCTTGTGTGATTTGTATCACTGGTGCAGTTATGGTGCACTTATTAGTAACTATAGTCCAATAACAAAACAATGTTAGTCTACCATACATGTGTAGTAGTACCAGATAGTTAATTTAGCAATTTTAAACTGCCTATGAATCACCGACGTTTTATTTTCAAGGCTGCTACTCAGTAAAATTAGTCTAATGTAAAGTTTTGAACAACTTGAAGCCTAAGTTTCTGTTATAGGACCCAAGGAAAAGTAACTAAAGCCAAAATTATGTCTTTCTATCTTTTTAATTGCATTTGAAATTTCCTCATACTTGATTCAACACAGAGTGTGTATCAATAGTCATAATAAAGCTGAAAGTCAGTAATTGTTTTACGGTTTTAATAATTAACTCACCCGACTAAATATTAACAATGTCTTTTTCCAATTTTCAGGCTCACTCCACTGATGTCCAAGGTGCCAGGATCGGCTTTGAGTGCCTCGTCTAGCATGTCAGGATATGAGCCGGACAATGGGAGGCTGAAACTGGGAGGAGCCACAGCCGAATGGGAGGAGACAGGAGGTTGGCAACCTACTGAGAGTAGGGAGGGAGAATATTTCCAGGTAATGTCCAACCCATTAGGTAACAAACATAATCAACAATTTCACTCCATGCAACTCATTTAAAAAGATTGTGTTTGTGTCAATTACTTGATAAACTAATTATTGAAAGTGTGGTGTGGTTGTGTTCCTTGCTCATAGTTGGAGTAGAAGGGTATTTGTGATTTGTTTTTAAAGTCGTCCTGATACGAGAGAAGATAAGAGAAAATAGTACATAACATGATGAATACATAAATTCAACTAAAAAGCCTTATGAGATTAATACACAGAATCAACCAAAGAATACTAAAACTCAAAAGGCTGGGAAAATTAGCGCTGGGTTTGTGTACTGATTTTTTATGTTTGTTGCCCTTTGGTGAGATTGATGGTGTGAAAACTGATTATTGATTCTGTGGTGATGTGATGTATTGATTGTAATTAAGTGAAATGTGTTGGTAATTGGCTGTTGTGGGTGTTAGGGCCTGGAGGACCCTAACATGTTGCAATTAAGAAGGTGCTGTACTCTACTACCATCTTGAAATGACAATTAAATTGGAAACGTTGTTGGGGAACCAGAGGGCGGAAATCTTTACCCAGACCAGAAGCAGGCCAAGCCAGCTTTGATTACTTATTTTTAACTATTTAAAAGAACTATAGCTAACCTTCCAAACTAAACTGGTAGATAGTGTAAATGGTAATGAATAAAAAACAGGTAAATATCACTCCCTAACTCATTACTGAATCAATTTGGACTCATAAGGCGATTCCTGAAACAATTGATACTTAAGCCTTCAACGTGGTGATTTTTGCATGTCTAGGAATGATTACCTCGTTAAGCGAGGTAATCATATAATTTGGAATTTACATTTCTGCGAATGGGGCGAAGGCCTGCCGGCTTCCCCTTAAATAATTAAACTAGCCTATCATCCTGGTCTTAGCTCTACTTAATAATTAATTATAGACTCATCCTGATAAAACGAAGGCATGTCGATCTCAGTAAACGGACAATCAGAAAATCCAACGAAGGGGACGGAGGCCGGCGACAGACAAGACCGAGGAAAACTCGATTTCGTAGCTCCTTGACGTTTCTCGAAAAAAAGGCAAGCGGCAGACCGAAGGAGGCGCGCCGATCGCAAGGCCAGCGATTTAGTTGTGTGGCACTATATAAAATAGTGGCGCTGAGCGTCACAACCACCCCCCCTCAAGGTTTTTTTTTTTTTTTTTTGGTTAGGGAAGGAAAGTAGAGGTGTGTAGTGTTTCAAAAAGGAAGGTTGTCGCTCGAGTTGCTTCTCCGCATCATAATTTCTGGGTCCTCAGATACCTTTCCCGGTTTGGTTCAAAAGGTAGCCGAGAAATCGATGGGTGAAACAGAAAACCCCAAACCAGTCCGGCTCGACTTGGGACCTTGGGCACCTTTTTTTTTGGGGGGATGTGAATGTTTTTGTGATTGGTTGAGCCAAATACGACAGAGATCGGGATCCACCCCCCCTGCAAAAATGAGGAAGGAATGTGGGTTACGACAGCCATGCTATCCTGTTTGGGAAAACATTTGAGCTAGAATTGCATTTTGGAAACAATAAGGTTGGCAACTGCAAGCACAAATTTTTTTTTTTTATTATTTTTTTTTTAATTTTTTTTTTTATTATGCACTGTTTTGATTTTGTTTCTTGAAAGGGGAAGGTTTGGGAACACTGACTGTTCTGTTCGTTTTTGTGAGGGTGGGAGAAGGCACTCGCAGTTTGGGTTGGTTTGTTCCAGGCTGGCGGTTGTAGAGGATGAGTTGGCGCAGCTTGTGTGGCATAGGCTGTTGGTAGTCTGCTTGACGCTTCGCCGCAGTGACTGCTTCGTGGCTTTGTGGGCGGCGTCTTGGAGTAGACGGGTTGTGATGTCACTTCAGGAGTTCTGCGGTCTGCAGGCACTATTGGCCAAGGCGAAGCTGCTAGCAGTGCCAACCAGGACGAAGCTGCTGGAGGCTGAGTCTGGGTTGATTCACCAGTGCTGCGCACTCTTCTCCTTCCTGTCCACTGTTCCATTCACAGGTTGTGTCCACAGCGAGTCCATTTTGCCGGATTTGCTTTCGAGGCAATCGCACTGTTGTGTTACACTGGGACTTTCTTCTTTTTGAGGGATACCCACTTTAAAAAAAAAATATTGTTACTAATATTCTCAAGGTGCTTTTAATAAATTCATATATATATATATATTTTTTTGATTGTGCAGCTGCTATACTGTAAAAAAACTGAGGTTTTAAGTATTACCGAGAATATAAAAATAAAAAAGGGTAACTGTCGTGTTACTTGAGGGTGGTGAAGGGTAAGTAGCAGGGCGGTGGACCGATCACTGACGGAGTTGGCTGTGATCTGTCAGGGGCGTTGTGGATTTGACCCACGATAGGTGCCGGGTAACCAAGGCTGGACTGGTGTGGGTCGCGTAAACCGATTTTTGTCTGTGCTTTTGTGTTTGGAAGGTGTGAAAGGATACAAATTCTATATTAACCCCTTTTTTATTTATTTATTTATTTTTTTTTTTTTATTTTTTATTTTTTTTTTTACGCATGCAAACTGCAATTAGCAAAATTATTCTTGATTTCACAAGCATGCTGCTGTTAACAAAGTCCCGACGATACGGTTTCTCTTTGGATTCGTGCCGGTTTTGTTCTTGGTGCGATACACGGGCGTTGATGGGACGGGCAAAAATATTTTCTATTGGAAGCTTGTAAACCTATATATTAACTTAAATAATCTTTGGTTTTTCCTAAGACCTAACTACAGTTACCACTACAGACTACTTAAGTTAAGAAGAAAGGAAGAAAGAGATCAAGGGGATGATAGGAAAGAGTATAGTGAGAGGTTGTCTCCCAACACTCGACTGAATTCAAGGTCGCCACAGAAGGTGCCTCTACTGAGCCCTTTCCTGCAGGGTAAAATTAAAAAAATTAAACATAAAAGGTAAAACACCAGCAGGAAAGTAATTTTTACATAAAAAAAAACTCAAAACAACTCAGCAGGGGTGTCGGAGACTAGAAGAGGGGGTATTTGACCAACAGCGCATGGGGAAGGGACGTGTAGGGCAGCCCATCCTATGGAAGGATACCCTGAGACTCACTAGTCCCCCGTGCGTTGGTGGTTGAAGAGACAGAGGGTGGAAGACTTAACTTAGTATCACATCGGCACTGCGTTTCTGGTCTGGGTAAAGGGAGTATTTCAAAATTGTGGTTGGAAAAAACGCTTCAATTGAGAGATATGTGCATTTCTGATGAATTTACCTGTGGATGGGTTTATCAAACGTGCTGTAACTGGTGATGAAAATGTTTCTATAACACAAGGCTTTGACCAGACAGGCAACAGCTTTTGATTGATTGAGTCGGCAGCCTTGCTTAAATGATGTTCCTTAAACATTACCCAATCTCCCGTCTTGTAGGGATTGGGCAATCTGTTTAAGTCGTAGCCTTGCTGCCTACGTTGCCTAGCTTTTGTGAGGTTTTGTACCGCCCTTTCCCATTCCTCACGTGAGGATTGTGGGGAAGCATGCTCGTCAACCAATTTGTCCAGGTTCCAATGCAACTCCAAGGGGTGGTACAGGTTTCTACCAAGAAATAAACGGGCTGGGGAAACTTTGGTTGATTCATGTTGAGCGGAATTAAAGGCTATCTGAAACCAGTGCAAGTCCTGGTCCCAGTGCTTTTGATGCTGGTGATGGAAAATCCGGATTGCAATTTTAATCTGTTTGTTGACCCTCTCGGCATGTGAGGGGTTGGGATAATATGGACTGGTGTAGATGTGTTGGATTCCTAGACCCATGCAAAGGTTCCTTACGGTGACGGATTTAAAATGTGAAACGTTGTCCGAGACTAAATACTTGGGTGGTCCAAAAATAGAAAAAACCTGTTTATTGAGAACATTGGCTGTGGTTTCGGCCTTGGTGTTCCTAACGGGGATCATGAGGCAAAACTTTGAGAAGGAGTCAACTATGGTAAGAATGTATCTATTCCGATTGAGAGAAAGAGGGAGGGGACCGATGTGGTCAATGAAAATTTTCTCCCATGGGTTGGTCACAATTTCAGATGCGAGCTTTCCTACCCTGGTGTTTGGGGCTTGTTTGCACCTCTGGCAACTGACGCATGTTCTGACCCTGTTGGAAATGTAGTTCTTGAGGTCGGGTGACCAGAAAAAAGGTTCGATGCGTGATAAGGTTTTGCTGATGCCTAGGTGGGCCGAAGTGGGAGACTGATGATAATATTGAAAAAGGAGGTCAAAGAGCTTAGTGGGGACCACCACTCTTGGTTTGGTTTGGTTTGGCTGTTGGTACAAAAGAATATTGTTCTCGACTGAATAATTTGGGGGTTTTTCATTGGACCGGATTATCTTTCTGAGGTCGGGATCTTCCAGTTGGTGACTGGCAATGTCCTTGAATACCTCGGGAAGTGTGAAAAGGGAAAGGGCTGTAGGTTGCGGCGTGGCGGGCTCTATTTCAGTTGACTCGGAGTTCTCAAAAAGGCGAGAAAGGCAGTCGGCAATGACATTGTCCTTTCCGCGAATATGATAGATTTTAAATTTAAATGAATTGATAAAGGAAATCCAACGGCCTATCTTGCCCATCTGGCGGGGATGATTGAGAAGCCAGGTGAGGGCTGAGCAGTCCGAGTGAAGCTCGAACTCTCGGTGTTCCAGATATTGTTGGTATTTCTGCAAGGCAAAAACTATTGCAAGGCACTCTAGCTGCAAGGTGGAATAATTGATCTCATGTTTGTTTAGTGCTCGGGATGCGTATGAGACCGGAAACAACTGGTCATTGTGTGATTGTAACAGAACCGCTCCAATTGCTGACCCGCTAGCGTCGGTATGGACTACAAAGTCCTTTGAGAAATCCGGCATACGGAGAATTGTGGATGATACTAGCGCTCGCTTTAATGTTTCAAATGCTGCGATTTGGTCAGGGCCGAAAATGAAGGGAACTGCTTTCTTCTTTAACTGGTTGAGAGGCATGGTGATGGTAGCATAATCCTTAATGAATCGAGCGTAAAATGCTGTCATGCCCAAAAAACGAGACAACTGTTTTATGTTTTTGGGGGTGGGGTATTCGTCTATTGGTCTGGTTCTGTCTGGGTGTATGGAGATGGTGTGGTTGCTGAAAACATGGCCGAGAAATTGGATTTTGTTGGATGCTACTGTAATTTTCTCCGGATTTACGGTGAGTCCAGCCTCACAAAGCCTCTGAATGACTGTTCTAACCTTTTCTAAGTGATCCTCAAATGTGGAATCGCTGTAGATACACAAATCATCGAAGAAATTATAAATGTACTTAAATTTGATGTCACCAAAAATTTTGTCTATAAGCGAGGTGAGCACCATGCTACCTGAAGCAAGTCCAAAAGGGAGGAAATTAAATTCATATTGTGCCCAAGGTACGACAAAAGATGTGAAGGGCTTGGATTCTTCAGCAAGGGGAATCTGGTTGTAAGCAGAGTTTAAATCTAGCAATGTGAACCATCGCGCTTGGCCCAAGTGTTGGAAAGCGTGCTGGGCCCATAACCCAGAGGTCCGTGGATCGAAACCACGCTCTGCTACCATATGTTGCCCTTTGGTGAGATTGATGGTGTGAAAACTGATTATTGATTCTGTGGTGATGTGATGTATTGATTGTAATTAAGTGAAATGTGTTGGTAATTGGCTGTTGTGGGTGTTAGGGCCTGGAGGACCCTAACATGTTGCAATTAAGAAGGTGCTGTACTCTACTACCATCTTGAAATGACAATTAAATTGGAAACGTTGTTGGGGAACCAGAGGGCGGAAATCTTTACCCAGACCAGAAGCAGGCCAAGCCAGCTTTGATTACTTATTTTTAACTATTTAAAAGAACTATAGCTAACCTTCCAAACTAAACTGGTAGATAGTGTAAATGGTAATGAATTAAAAACAGGTAAATATCACTCCCTAACTCATTACTGAATCAATTTGGACTCATAAGGCGATTCCTGAAACAATTGATACTTAAGCCTTCAACGTGGTGATTTTTGCATGTCTAGGAATGATTACCTCGTTAAGCGAGGTAATCATATAATTTGGAATTTACATTTCTGCGAATGGGGCGAAGGCCTGCCGGCTTCCCCTTAAATAATTAAACTAGCCTATCATCCTGGTCTTAGCTCTACTTAATAATTAATTATAGACTCATCCTGATAAAACGAAGGCATGTCGATCTCAGTAAACGGACAATCAGAAAATCCAACGAAGGGGACGGAGGCCGGCGACAGACAAGACCGAGGAAAACTCGATTTCGTAGCTCCTTGACGTTTCTCGAAAAAAAAAGGCAAGCGGCAGACCGAAGGAGGCGCGCCGATCGCAAGGCCAGCGATTTAGTTGTGTGGCACTATATAAAATAGTGGCGCTGAGCGTCACATGTTTCGAGTGTTTTCTTACATGAGGACGAGATCCGATTCCAGACCCCAGAGCATTGTGAAAACATTTTTTTTCTAACAGCAATGGAATATGTCTGCAACAATCAATAATATAAATTCGCAAGCTTAATATATAATAATAATTAATAATTAATAATAATTAATAATAATTAATAATTAATAATATAGCTGCAAGCTTAATAATATTGATTCGTCATCACCAAAAATGAACTTCAAACAAAGAATTTGTGATCAATTTATCTTATACCATGTCTTTCACTATCTTATGTTTTTAATTTTTACTCACTAGCAAATATCTGTGGTCTCCTCAACCACATTTTTGATCTCCAAATTTTTAACTTGTATGTGCAGTAGACTCCCTCATATCCGGACAACTTTTAACCGGACTTTAACCGGACTTCACTCGGCCAGCACATCGGTTTAACCGGGCTGGATCGGCAGGAAGTTGGCTATACTGAAACGACATTTCTCGTGGCAAGATTGGAAACCAATGATCACATGTCTAAATAAATACAATGCTCTCCCAATGTTGAGTAGGTTTTTGAGTGATTCCCATGGCAACTGATAATCTAACGAGTTCTAGGAGGTGTCACTGTATTTGGTTAACCTTTTGAAGATTAAAAATTACTCTCTGATCTATGGGGATTTTAACAGATTGACCTGGGAGTGTTGGAACCAGTGTATGGTGTGTGGACTGCTGGCAACAAGGAACAACACATCACTAGCTACCAGATACTGTACAGCTCAGATAATGTCAGTTACAGCTATGTGTCTGTCTATGGACTACCAGAGGTAAGCTCTCCGATTGTCTTTGAATATATTTGTAAACTTTATCTCACGTTAATTCAGCATGAATTTTATAAATAGTGTAGAAAATAAGTGTTTGTTTGTTACTGTAGTTGTTCTGTTTCATCAATTTTTTGTAACTTTTCCTAACATACCTAGTTGTGTTTTTGTGTAAACAAAATTGAAAACCCCTACTTTATAATCTTGTTCATTAATCGTGAGAGCTTCACGATAATGCATTGTCTTATTGTCTTTATCAGAGTTCATGACAGAGTTGGATTAATGCAATTTGTACATCATTTATATACCAAAAAGTCAAAATCGAAAAAATAAATGTTAGTTATTGGGTGTCTGCAATAAATGATTCATAAATAAGTAAATATCTCAATAGCAGATCCTGGAAAATCATCGAGGTTTGTCGTCATTTCACTTTACTGAAGTCCCTTTTCATTAACAATATTTGAAGTTAAGTAAACCTCAAATATTTTGAAACGTTGTTAAGTGAGTAATGTAAGTTTGTGTTTCTCAGTGTATTTGACAAATACACTCATCATATTTTACTTATAAAATTGAAGATTTCGGTTTGATTATTACAAATTATTGATTTCATTACAGATATTCCGAGGATCTCTGACAGGAGAACCCCTGCTGCAGATGTTCTCTACTCCAGTCGAGGCTAGGTTTGTGCGAGTGTTACCTCAGTCCTGGACAGGCTCTATTGTTATGAAAGTAGAACTGCTTGGTTGTGGTGAACAGATTAACACACAACCAACCACAGAACCAACCACAACCACCACGGTCGTTCCTACCACACTAGCTCCAGGTATGTTGAAGAGTAAAATACGTTCTATTGAAGACGTTTTACAACATGTAGGCCTACAATATTATTTTAACCTAGCCTTGGAATAGGTTTTTTCCTAGTACGCTACGCACCAGCCCGGTATATTTTTTCACATTAATTCAGGCTAGACATAGGGGTTGCGGCAATATCACTCATACAAAATCCATTGGTGATTTATCGGGATTTGAACCCAGGACCGAAGTCCCGCGTTCTAACCACTATAGCTCGCTCACCCTAGAATAAAGATGTGAAAAACTCAATTTTTCATTTTCAAGTGAATTTTTATTTTAAAGCATTTTATATTTGCAGTGTGCACGGATGAGATGGGGTTGGACGCAGGTACACTGAGCCCCAGTCAGGTATCAGTTTCCTCCGCCAAGCAGACCAACTTCAACACCAGAGATGCTGCTCTGTCTGCTGAGCGGGGCTGGATACCTCTTCTTAGCTCTCCCAGCGAGTGGATACAGGTAACATAAAATGTACTAAACTTGTATCCCTCTTGCTACCTTAGCATTCATGCAACACTTTACATTACCAATTTTTACTACCAGAGCTTGTAGCGTAGATGTTTTCTCCCGACAATGGAGCGAGCACTGACTCGTCTCGGCAACTGAGCAATAATTGATTTCCTCCTGGCTCCAAGATGCCCAATGTGGGATGGTTGACTGCACCCCATTTTAAGGGCTCTGCTGGAGAAATATTCTGTCTGTATCTGTTTCCGCAGCATTCCTCTTTGCCTGCTTCACTCATTTTCTTCCTCTGAATGAGATATTTGTGATTTACCACTGAATTGGTGTCCAGGAACACCTTGTGGTGGGAGACCTCACAAGACAGAATTAATACATGTTGCGTGTGTTACAGTTTGACCTGACATCAGAGAGAGTGTTGACTGGAATCAAGACACGAGGGTCCCCAGAGGCTGTGGAAGGCATGTATGAGCCTGTGTGGGTCACTTGTGGCCAGAGACCTCACAAGACTGACGTAATACATGTTGTGTGTGTTACAGTTTGACCTGACATCAGAGAGAGTGTTGACTGGAGTCAAGACACGAGGGTCCCCAGAGGCTGTGGAAGGCATGTATGAGCCTGTGTGGGTCACTTGTGGCCAGAGACCTCACAAGACTGACGTAATACATGTTGTGTGTGTTACAGTTTGACCTGACATCAGAGAGAGTGTTGACTGGAGTCAAGACAGGAGGGTACCCAGAAGCTTTGGAAGGCATGTATGAGCCTGTGTGGGTCACTTGTGGCCAGAGACCTCACAAGACTGACGTAATACATGTTGTGTGTGTTACAGTTTGACCTAACATCAGAGAGAGTGTTGACTGGAGTCAAGACACGAGGGTCCCCAGAGGCTGTGGAAGGCATGTATGAGCCTGCGTGGGTCACTTGTGGCCAGAGACCTCACAAGACTGACGTAATACATGTTGTGTGTGTTACAGTTTGACCTGACATCAGAGAGAGTGTTGACTGGAGTCAAGACAGGAGGGTACCCAGAAGCTTTGGAAGGCATGTATGAGCCTGTGTGGGTCACTTGTGGCCAGAGACCTCACAAGACTGACGTAATACATGTTGTGTGTGTTACAGTTTGACCTGACATCAGAGAGAGTGTTGACTGGAGTCAAGACACGAGGGTCCCCAGAGGCTGTGGAAGACATGTATGAGCCTGCGTGGGTCACTAGCTACAGAGTCACATACAGCCACGACAGTGTCAACTGGAACGTCATACTGTCTCCCGACGGAACTGAGAAGGTAGAAAGATAGTCACTTTACTGGAATGTTGTATTATTAGGTTTCAAAGAATATTGAGTAATGTGTTAAAAAAATATTTACTCTTCAAAATTTTTTGACTGCTTCAGTAGATTCTTACTATTCCTCCTAACTAACTAGTACCGGACTAGCAGATAAAGGATAAGCGTAGAAGTTCTATTTTTGTTGATCGTAACAAACGTATTTAAGGTGTTCTTGGCCAACTACGACAGCGGTTCTATTTACACCAACTACTTTGACAAGCCTCTCCATGCACGATACATCAGAATATACCCCAACAGCTGGCACAACATTCCTGCTCTCAGGGTTGAAATACTCGGCTGCTTCTTGCCTTATCGTAAGTAACATTAAGAATAGTCTATTGAATAACAGTTAAATATATGTTTGGCACATTTCATTGTAGAAAGTAACTTGAGGCATTCCAATTCCAATATAATCTAAGTAAAAAATCTTCTATTGAATACAATGGAAAATTCAACAAACGGTGTATCCTGAAATAGACAGTTTGTACAAATATACTTAGATTTAGACAAATATTCAAAATATTCCTTCATTCTAATGATAAATTATTATATAAACTAAAGTTTAAACCCAGTATTTTGTAGTTGTTTGCTGTCTTAGCCAATCTACAAAAAAAGGAACATTAAATTTACTTATATTTCTAGTGTTGTGGTTATGTACATCAGATCCAAATGAAAGACTGTATGAAAGTTTATGCTAATATAACATATTAAGAACCATACACAGAAAAAACAAAGTAAAACTACCGTACCTACCTAAGTTTCTACGAACCGTACCCATAGAGACTTTCAGTGGTCTCTAAGTAAGTTTTATCATTACTCTGCCTAACGTAGCCTAATCTTACCTAACCCAAAACAAAAGTTACAAGAAATAAGTTATGTTAGATATGTGTATACATAAATCGCCTGACCTTATGCTGTATTGTCTGTAATATGTGTTGAAATCTGCAGCAACAGTGACAACAGTTGAGGTGCCAACCACGGCGGGGCCAGAGCCGCTGTGTAATGTGTGTGAGGGAGCCCCGCCTGTCACACCTTGTCCCTGTACCTCGGACAGTTGGTGGGATGGGGAACAATGCACCAACAGAACACTGTGTCCTTGCTACGTGGGACATATACCGTCAGTATAACATTATGTACACACGTTACTTTAGTGTGTGAATGCAGTAGTAGCCTCAGGGTTCAGTTTCGGGAGGGATGCCCCTCTCCAAATCAGTAAAATGTAAAGCCTGGTCCACAACTGTCACTGTGAATGTTATTTATTTATTCTTTTTTGCAAATCAAGTAAATAATTTTTCTATTGTATTACAGTAGGTATTATGACTGATTTTTATCATAATCTTCAAGTGGCTTATAAATATGGAAAGTGAAGACAGCAAGTTGTTGGCTAAAAATACTTGGCAGTTAGACAAGGTAGCCTACAAATGCTGTAAAAGAAGCTGGCATATATTACAGCCACAAATCGTCGTCTCTACTGTCAACGCCTCTACTGTAATCCTCTTCTTTATTATCTCGTTTTGTCTGACTCTATAACTGTAGTTTTTATATAAAAATTACATTATAAAGACATTCCAACCAAATATTCTGTAGGTAGGACATAAACGACTGAAGTACCTATTCAACATGAATAGGTAAGGTACAACTAAATTTAAAAGTAAAATTATTTATTTGAGTACCTAATGAAACAAAGCAGTAGTGTTTTGTGTAAGGTTAATTAATCTTATTCTGTCTTTATTCACTTTTATCGCCCATTTAAAGTTTTTTCTTTTGGAAAAAATTTGAAGTTGATTTTCATAATCATTGATTTACTATAGCACCCAGAATAAACTCCACATCGGATGGAACCAGCCACCTTTAATATTTAATTTTTGTGCAGCCTCGAATAACTCAAAATATAAATCTGGGATCCAACGATCCAGCCTTAAAAGAGGTGTAACAATTACTTGAGGTATTCAGGTATATTAACCTCTTATTTATTAAGAGCAAGATTTACGAATTGAACAATCAAACTTAGTTTCTACCAATATCCGTGTAAAGTAGCTGTATTTTGTTGTAGATACTCAGTTGGTGCCACTTACGACACAGAGGATTGTGACCAATGCATCTGTAGCCTCAACGGACAATCTCGCTGCTCCAAGAAAGTCTGCCCGTCTTGTCTTGAGGTACAGTTAGTACTGAAAACACATTGTGCACATAACTATTCAAATTTCTTTGTTGTGTGAAAAAATAAAGAGGGTATCTCAGAAGTACATGGTGCAACTGGGCTTATCGACTTATTCATTAGAACAAGAAAAAGAAAATTTGTCTAAAAGTTTATTAGAAATGCCAACCAAGTCTTGTCAGTCGAAAATCAGTTAGGTTAATTTCTAGCCATTATTTGTGTAAAAATGGGAACAACATTTGATGACAATGATTTTCTGAAAGCCTCATACTAGTTGTGAGTTTAAATCTTTTTTTCATTTTATGGTCAACATTAGATCACTCAAGTCCTTTTAATTGGAAGAGCTCTTACTTTTTTTGTCTTCTGCTAATGTTTCTCCCAATACTTTTTTGTAAATTTATATTATGTTTATGACACAACATTGTATTCAAAATTTTTGGCTAACGTTAAAATACCAGTCTTTCCTTCCTGTTTTCAACTTCACCAATTAAACTGCAAACTAAGTGAAGGTCTTTTAAGTTCTTAGTATTTGATCAAGTTCCCCCATCATTCCCTAGTGATGTGTTAAGTTATACTTGTTTAAGAGAACAAAATTGCAGAACTGGAAATGTTTACGTATTGGTTGATACAATCCATCACAACATCTTTTAAACACCTCTGAGACAAACTTTCACCTAAACAACACTTGGCATAAAAAATTCCTTACTTGAACTAAACGCAAATTGAAATATCATGAAAAAGCCATCCTACATAGGATAAAAATGTTTAAAGAACTGAGTGATAAAAATTGAAAAAAACTGTAAAAAGTTAATAAATTGATTTATGTGGTGCGGCTGTGCAGGGTCTCCAAGCCGTGTTGACTACTACTTGTGGTTGCGTCTGCAAACCCTGTCCCGAGGATACGAGACTCTGTCCTACGTCCAACGTTTGTATCAACAGTACACTCTGGTGTGACGGCATGGTGGACTGTCCTGATGATGAGGTTGACTGTACCACCACCACGGTCACTACAACTACTACAACAACTACTGCGAAACCTGTTACCAGGAAGATAACTACACCTGCTCCAGGTATTTTTTTTTTAGTTCTAGCCCGAATTATTTACCACATTAGGCCTACTTATGGCGATGCCTAGAGAGGGTTGCGGCATTATAACTTAGGTAAAATCAACTGGTGACTGGTAGCATTTGAACCTGGGACATTGGGGACTCAAGTCTCGTGCTCTAACTCTAGACCAGCTCGCTTCTCTGCTTTAGCCTACAACGATCGGATGAAACTAAAATTATGTCAAAAGAATTTATTGAATATGACATGCACAGAAGTAAACAAAACAGGTTCACATCACACAGTGTGATCACACAGTGTGAGAAGTATGTCAATGATGTGGTTTTGAGCAAAAAAATTTAAACTTGTTGCAGGAAAATACTTTAGGTATTAAAACTTTATGACCAGAAAAAGTAGCTAAGTATGTCTTTTTTAGACTTCCAATGAAATAAGAGTTCTTAAGAAGGACAGTTAACAGTATTTAAACGTGTTACCATCGATAAATTATTTTACATTTCAGTTGCCAGACTCAAGGAGTGTCCCAAAGTTGAGTGTCCAGAGGGATTCGAGGTAGTCTTCACTTCAAGTCAAACAGAAGCAGAATTCATGGAGCCCCAGTGGTCAAAGTGGAGCTCAATGTTTAAGGGAGTCAAAGGAGGGGTTAAAGGAGGGGTAAAAGGAGGCCGAAGACACCAAAAGCCCGTGAAAATAAAATCCATCCTGATCTGTCCGCAGTATAAATGTGTACCTTCTAAGCCAAAAGAGGAAAGTTGTCCTGTTCCAAAATGTGCTGAGGACTATGATCTAAAGGTATGTGGATATTGAGATTATTATTGATAACTGGGTAGATGGTTTTACAAAAGTGCATTCTAGTAAAATTATTTAAACTGTCATTTCAATGTATAGAGAAGATACGATAGATGAAAGGAGGAGAAGATAACATAATAACCTGTGATAATGAATTGTTCAAATGATGGCTACTATGACCTAAAGCCTCAATTCCCTTGTGTCCTATGAAGTTGACGCTCTTAGTTATCGTGCATTTATAATATTTCCTTAACTAGTTGATATTACTAAGCAATCCTATTTATTTTTTATCTAAACTTAATCAATGATTGGTTTAGTAAACTTTCTTTGATCATAATTTTTTTTAATGGGTATTTTCCAATAATTTCAACACCACAAATTATACTTTTTCCCCTAGGACACTAGTCACAAGCACAGGATTTTTTTCACATTATTTCAGGCTAGACTTAGTGAGGCGTAATGAAAGCAAATTAATCTTACCAACATTACAATAAATTAGAAGAGTCAAGATACCTGAAAATCACAAAAAAAATAAGTAGTGTATTTCTAATTATTTTTCTTTGTCTCACCTTTACATTTTAGGATGCTAGGCTCAATACTGCAATTGTTTTACACATTAGACATTACTTCAGGCTAAGTCTAAAGGGATTCAGTATTATCCCCAGGACCTCATAGACCAAAGCCTCACGCTCTTCCATTACACCAGCTCGCTCCCCAGTACACACTGTAGTAAGAAAGCATAAACATATGTTCCACCTAGATAATTACTATATTGTTGCAACCAGATGCTGGAGGCAGTGGCAGACAAGTGCCCAGAGTACAGTTGTGAGCAGAGACATGTGCCTGAAGGGAAATGTAACATCACTGGTCGTACCTTCGACACATTCGACGGCACCGAGTACAAGTACGACATCTGCGACCACACTTTGGCACAAGACATGGTCAACAAGCAGTGGCAGATTAAATGTAAGTGTTAGTTATAGGCTTAATTTTAGAGGGAAGACATCAGTGTGAACCATGCCCTCGTGCCTGCACCCAGACTAACGAAATGGAAGCGTGATCCATGCGCAGACCCGAGGAGCGGCTCACAAAACTTTACTTAACAAAATGAGAACCATGGATGGAGGTTCAAGAACAACACACAATTTGAGAGAAACTAGCTGTAATTAACCAATTAAATAAACACAACAACAAAATCAACAACAATACATGAATTAAAACTCTCAATTAAACTTTAAAAAAATTTAGATACCCATCTAAGCTGCTGACTTACAGTCTTTTCTTTTATTATTCAATTATCAGAAAGATTTAATAAAAATTTAACATTTAATAAAAAGAAATTACCAAAATTAACGAACTATAACAATAGATAAATTTCTTCTTAATCATTCAAAGTATAGGCTAATTTCAGTGAAAGTAATTTAATAAGCTTTATTTTTTTTTTACTAAAATATTATAAAATTGCAACAGTAAATAAATATATATATATATATATCTTTCATCTAGAATTGATAACCTTAAGGATTTAGGGGCCCCAAAATTGAAATTTAAAAAAAGGAATAATTTATGCAGTTTAAAAAAAAAATAACAAGTGATAAATCTCTTCAGTCAAAAACAGCAACAATAAACTTTCAAATAAAAGAATCTATAAATAAATAACAGTTAACAACAATAACAACAACTTGCGGTAGTTGCGGTTTTCCTTCATTCTATCCAGGTACAGAACACTGTAGAGCCGTTGAAGATGGACGGAGAGGGGCTGGCCAGAGTTCCAACAGAGGCCTCAAGGTGGTAACTTTTCTCCGCCATGCTTCCGGTGTTACAGTTTCACCGCACACATGGGCCCTGAGTAACAAACCCAGAAACATAGTAGTAACAGTCTAAGTTCAATACCGCAAGGTTCACTGTCACACAATAAAGATGTAAAAGGATGAATTATCAACTTGTTGTCGACAGGAGCGATGTCTCGGAGCCTCTGACACTAGACGGTCGGAGTAAGAAAAACAAGACTCACAGCCTTGTTCGGGGTCGTGGAAGTAACAAACGAAACACTGAACTAGCCTACTATAAAAAAACACTTTGACCATTGATCATGAGTCGTGACATTCGCCCGGTGGAAATAGTCACGGCTCAAGTGTTACAGGATTTTTTTTTAAATTTTCAAACCAATTATTTTTTAGGTTTTACAGTTTTGCTGTAGTAGACAATTTCCTATAGGGAGGGGAAGTTTGAGGATGGAGAGGGGAGGTCCCAGCTCCTGGTTGGTTCCCATTTTGGTACCTGAGACATTAGAAATCAGGTATAACAGTTTAATGTTTGTTTTCAAAAATGTTGGTGCTAAATCAAAAATACTATCCATATCTTTCACATTATTGTGGTACCTTGTAAGCATTCCACTTGATATAACTAATTTACTCATACAACTAGTTTGTTTACAATAATTTACAACTACTGCATGGATAAATTTAAACAATCACCCTAAACATTGGAAACTTACAATTTGGTATCAAAGTTTATGTACTATGTCAAGAATGTATTATTCTGGGAAGATAATGTGCCAAGTTAAATGTTACATTTTGTTTTAGATACAAAAATTTTGCTTTTTAATTAACTTGAAAAAAACTTTTCCTTGATAGGAGTCAGAATCTGCTGTAATCAGGAAAGTTTTGACCACTTTAGTAATGACAGTTTTTCTAATTACATTCTCTACTTTCAGTGAAGAAGATTTGCCCTTACGTGGGATCTTGCTCTAAAGCTCTACTGATTACCCAGCAGAATCACAAACTTCAGTTCAATGAAGATCTATCTATAACCTACAATGGATACAACTACAGCGTACCCCAGGTATTATACTTACTGTTTGGTAATTCCTTGGGAAAAGAATGAATAAGAGTTCAATTTCAATTGTTTTAAAGGTATCTTATAACTGGTAATTTCATGCTAATCTTGTGAGAGGACAAGGTTACTTAACTTGTAATTGGAAACATATTTTCTGCTTTCACAACTCTTTGCGAGGTTCAAATGGAAATAATATACATCATCTAGCTATTAGATTGAATCATGCAGTCAATCCTAAAAGTTATGTCCACTTTGACAATTTGTGTTACATTGTAGTTGTACATTCAAGTATTAACACAGTAATATTTTGTTTTACAGATGCAGAAAGTTGGAAGCCAGACTAGGGAGTTTGCTCTGAAGCAAGTCAGCAACAAGTTTATCATCTTTGGCAGCATCTTGGACTTCACGGTTGTTTGGGACGTGCAAGGCAACGTCAAGATAACGGTGATATTTTAGTCTTTAAAACTACCTTTGTGGTTATGTACTTCGCAAATTATGTAGGAATCAAATGTAAAGCTAATGTAATATTCTTGAGTAAGCTTTCACGTTCACATGCTGTAGATTTGTAGTAGCCTATTCGTCCAGTGATGGACAGAATTTTTCATAGATTTTCCCCCGGTTGTCGCTTGAGGATGTCATGAACATGCTTTATGGAAACATGAATTCTTATCAATCATCTTAATTACATACATTCTAGTCACTTTACACATCTGAAATAAAGGATTTTATTTACAAATTTCCCTGAAAGATTCTCAATAATTCAACAACTCTTCCACTGTTATTGATGATTGAGTTGTAGCGCTAACAATTGTAAATAAAATCACTCATACAATACTTATAAGTTATTTATGAAATACTTCAGAAGAATCCTCCACTAGACAAAGCCAAGATTTTGAGCGTATCTCAATGAGAAACTTAAAGAGTTCATAATCCAATACAATACAATACAATACAATACAATACAATACAATATTCTTTATTGTTAATTCGTCAAGAATTACAATAGTGTCAATACAATAGTGAATTGTACATGTTAATTTTCATAAAATTCCTTTATTGAGTAGAAGGGTCTTGCGATTAGCCACTTCTTCAACTCCTGGTGTAGCTTGTTGCCAGTCAGGTCTCTCAGGTAGTCAGGTAGATGGTTCCTCAGCTTGCAGCCGGTGTAGGAAGGTTTTTTCTCCCAAAGAGTTGTTCGGTGAACAGGTAGTGCAAATTTGGAGCCATGACGGGTGTTGTAGTGGTGCAGGTCTTGGTTTCTTGGGGGGTTTATTTCATTCACATACTTTATAGATTCAAGTATGTAGAGAGACACCACTGTGAGGATTCCTAGGTTTGCGAATGCTAGTCTGCAAGTCTGTGGTGGGACAAGGTTGGCGAGGGCTCTTATGGCTTTCTTTTGAAGGACAAGAATTCGATTCATATTTTTTGTTGAAGTTCCTCCCCACACTGTCAAGCCATATCTAAGATGCGACTCTACCAGTGCGAAGTAAGCTGTTTTGGCCACGGAGAGTCCGCCTATGTAGTTTATTCTTCTGACGACATATATTCCAGTACTGATTTTTTTGCTTAAGTGGTTGATGTGCTCTTTCCATGTTAGTTTGTTATCAAGGATAACACCGAGAAATTTTGTGTGGTTTTCTATTGTTACATCCTCTAATTGAGGGACTACGTCTTTTTTCTTACTGAAATTCAGAGATGTGGTTTTTGTGGGGTTTATTGCTAAGTCATTGTTCTTTGAGTAGAGGATAGCTTTATTTAGGATCGATTTTGAATTAAGGTAAAGGTTTTGGGCTGTGTTGTCCTTGATCAAAATGGTTGTGTCATCTGCATACATGATTGCAACAGCATTTTCACTCTCAATTTGTTTGGGGAAGTCATTAGTCAATAAGATGAATAGAATCGGGCCTAATACAGAGCCTTGTGGAACTCCTCTCGTCTGCTTGCTTTTTGAAGATTTGAAACTTTCTGTGACTTCATTTGATGAGTTTTTCAGTTCCACAACTTGTGGAAGTCCCGTTAGGTAGCTTTTGAACCATTCTAGCGCAGAGTTTCTTATACCGAGTCTTTCGAGTTTCTTGCATATCAGGTCGTGGCCCAGGCAGTCAAAAGCTTTACTGTAATCAAGGAAGATGGCGGAAATGTATTGTTCGTTTTCTATCTGGTCTAGGACGTACTCAATTAGTGCTGTTATAGCTGAGGATGTAGATTTATTCTTCCGAAAGCCATGTTGGCTGTCAGTTAAGAGTTTGTTATGATTAAGATGTGCCATTAATCTAGCCAGAGCAATTTTTTCTATGATTTTAGAGAAACTGGAGATGAGAGAGATGGGCCTGTAGTTTTGAGCATTTTCAGTTGGTCCTTTTTTATGTTTGGGGTATATTTTACTGACTTTTATGGCGGATGGGAATTTGCCTTCTTTAAATGATTAATTTATAAGATAAACCAGAGGAGAGATGAGTTCTTGAGAGCAGTGCTTTATCATCTTAGAGGAAAACTCATCTATTCCACTTGATGTTTTGGCTTTTAGGGAGTTTATTATCGTTTTAACTTCTTTATAGGATGTTGAAGTTAGGGTAAGGTGTATTGGGCAGACTGGTTCCTCTCCATTCAGCACTGTTTCAGGGTCTATAACGATTGCTCTGTTTTGGTCAAGGGTATTTTCTGCTATATTTGAGAAGAATGTGTTGAAGTGTTCAGCCATTTCTTTTGTGTCGTTTGTGAGTTTGCCATTTATTTCTAATTCTGTAAGGGTTTTCTCTTCACATTTTCCTTTTCTTTCCTTGTTTATAACTTGCCATAGTGCTTTTGGTTTGTTGTCAGCTTGTTCTATGAAGCTAGCTGTTGAGGACATTTTTAGGTTTCTTAGTTTCATGTCGTATATCCTTTTTCTATTAATCATTTCTAATTTGTCTTCATTTCTGTTTGTTAACTCAAATTTTTGCAGAGCTTTCAAAAAGTTCTCTTTAAGGTATTTTGCTTCAGGATCGTAGTACTTCATATGTTTTTTGTTTGTACTAATTTTAGTTTTCTTTAATGGGCATGTATAATCCAGTGCTGTTTGAAGAATATTATGAAATTGGTTGTAGGAGGTTTCAAGATTCGGTGAAGAGTAAACATGTTCCCAATTTTGTAGATGGAGGTGAGCCTTTAGATTGTTTAGGTTTGTGTTGTTTAGGCTTCTTTTCATTACAAATCTTTGGGAAGTGTCTTCTTGGTGTGTTTTCAGCAGGCATAGCTGCGCAGTGTGGTCAGATAGACCAGTATGCACAACTTGTCCAGTAATATACGCACATGGTATGTTTGAGCATATACAGTCTATTGAAGTGGCTGTGTCATGGGTTATTCTGGTGGCCTCTAGAGGAAATCTCCAGATGTTTTGTGTGGTTAACTCTTCTTCCAGCATGGTGTTTTTGGAATCTTGGGTGAGCCTGTCGATATTTATGTCACCGATGAGTATGAGGTTTTTCTTGTGTACTTCTTGTAGTTCTAGCGTGTCTGATAGGAGGTCAAGGGCAATTCTTGCATTTTCGATTGGTGGTCTATAGATTCCCAGAATGTAGATATCCTTTTTCTTTGTTGTCTGCATGCGAATCATTGCTGCTTCGAAAATTAACTCCTGGCATGTGTTTGATATGTTAATAGCTGATACTGTATCAGCAAGGGATTCCTTGGAATATATTGCAACACCTCCAAGTTTATGTTCTTCTCTACTAAAGTGGGTAATTAAAGAGTAGCCGGGAATTTTTGTAGCTTCTAGCTCTGTTTTTTTCAGTCCGTGTTCAGTCAAGACTAGAATGCTTGGTTTTGTGTCATTGAGAATATGGTGTAGTCTGTTCGTCTTTGTAGCAAGTCCTCTAATATTTTGGTGCATTATTGCTACACAAGAATTATTTGGAGATTTGCAGATTTTTCTTTTGCTTTTTTCAGGCTGTTTGTTTCTAAAAAAGGGGTTATAGTATGGGACACTGTAGAGTGATTGGATTGTTGACTTGAGTTGGGTTCCTGCAGCTGCTCATGTTTCTGTTCTCCTTGAGAAGAGAGGCAGTCCATCTCGGTCATGTTTAGTCGCTTGGTGTGTGACAGAATATTCTTTTTATATAGGTCTATATTTTTCCAAAAGAAGTCTTCAATGGTCTCTCCCGGCTTCAGAAGCTTGGCGGTGATCGGGGGTTTCCCTGTGTTCTTTGGTTTAGTTGATTTGTTTGGGGGAGATATAGTGCCCTTGAAAGTAGAGCAAACTCCTTTTGGGATTTTGATGGCCTTGGGTTCTTTAATATTTTGATTTAGTGTTTGTTGTGGTTGACTTTGGTGTTCTGGTGCTTCATTCCTCAACTTGCTTTTTGCTATTTGCAAGGAAACACTGAAATGGGTTTTCTTAGTAGTTGAAAATTTGTTTTTATTATATGAAACTCGTCTTGGTGTGTTAATTGGCTTGCAAGGAGTCTCCTTTTTCTCAGTTATTAGGTGCTGGGAATCTTCTACTGTTATTTTATCTTCTAATTTCTTCATTTTTGACTCCATATTATTCTGTTTTTCTTTTAGGGCCTTTAGTTCAAGTAGAATTAGTGTTTCTGTGTTTGATGCTTCTGGCTTTTTGTTGTCTGAAACTGTGGATTTGTTTGTGAGGTCCTTCGCCTCTGTAGTGGTTGTCTGTGTGCTTGTCTCTCTGAATGATTTTGTAGATTCTTCTCCGGTGTTTATTCTGCTGCATGTATTTTTTTGCCTAAGGCATTTAATTTCATTCTCCATGTCCTTTATTTTTGTGATGAAGCTATTAAAAGTTTCTTCCCTGTCTTTGTCATAATCTTCAAATGTTTTTGTGAGAGTGTTTCTTAGGCTTACTTCCTTTTCCAATTGGTGTTCTAGTTCAGTTATTGTTTCGATTAGGTTGTTGTTTCTAATTAGAATAGTATTTTTCTCGTCTTCTAGTTGTTCAATTTGAGCGTGGTAGCTCATGATGTCGATGGTTTGTATGTTTGTTAGTTTCTGGGCCAGACTCGAGTTTTGTTGAGTCAGGTTGAGTACTTCTTCTCTTAGTTTGCTATTTTGTGCTAGAAGTGCGTTTCCAACTTCTGCTGCAAGTGTTAGAGAAGTTTCTAAATCGGAATCTTCTGAGTTTTCTAGTTCTAGAATTTTGTTTTCAACCTCACCCATTTTGTTACCCTGACTTTCAGAGGATATTTGATTTGGGGGTGTGGGAGTTTGGTCTTCTTTTAGTTGTAACGCTGGCTTTCCAGAGGTGAGGGAAAAATCACTACAATTGTTACACCTCCATAGGGAAATGTCTTCTTTAGAAAGGTTTTTTAATTGTTTTTCTGTGATATTGACACACCCACCATGAAACCAGGAGTTGCAGGGACCAGTACATTTTATACTGGAATATTTTACACCGATGTTGCATTCACCACACGGATATTTTGAAACTTTTGTTTTGTTCTTTGACATAGTTCAGGTGTAAAATTGTATCAGTTTTGAAAAGTTTGGCTGGTTCTTTATGTCAGGGGTCTTGAAGTTCAGGTGTAAAATTGTATCAGTTTTGAAAAGTTTGGCTGGTTCTTTATGTCAGGAATCTTGAGGTTTAGGTTAAAAATTCTAACAGTTTTGAAAAGTTTGGCTGGTTCTTTATGTCAGAAATCTTGAGGTTCAGGTTAAAAATTATATCAGTTTTGAAAAGTTTGGCTGGTTCTTTATGTCAGGAATCTTGAGGTTTGGGTTAAAAATTGTATCAGTTTTGAAAAGTTTGGCTGGTTCTTTATGTCAGAAATCTTGAGGTTCAGGTTAAAAATTATATCAGTTTTGAAAAGTTTGGCTGGTTCTTTATGTCAGGAATCTTGAGGTTCAGGTTAAAAATTATATCAGTTTTGAAAAGTTTGGCTGGTTCTTTATGTCAGGAATCTTGAGGTTCAGGTTAAAAATTATATCAGTTTTGAAAAGTTTGGCTGGTTCTTTATGTCAGGATTAGAACTATTTAAATAAATAAATAATTTTATTTCTGTTGTCAAAAATTTGTGTAGATTTATGAAGAATACAGTGTTGCACTGTATTACTGGTTGGTAGTAGGTTGTAGACACTGTTAGAAGTGGCAGTGTCTGTGGTCAGTTTGCTGAGCGTCCAGTCAGCAACTCTCAGTTCAAACACTCCCAGGCAGCAGGTGTCGTGTTGGAAGTGATGAATGTGTAAAGCTGTGAGTTGGCTGTGACGTCACTGCTTGGTTGTCAGTTTGATATATTTGCAGAGTTTAATTAAAAGAATTTGGGCACTTGTATGTAAAATTGAAACTTTTAAACTATGCAATGTTTACAAGATAACCATCTGCTCTATGAATTTTTGAGGTAAATGTTATTTTTGGTGTTAAACTTGTATTAATAACTTACAGTCATGTTCAGTTAGTCATATTGGCTTTTCATGAGATTTTCTTGAGGGTCACTTAAAATCTTGATTGTCTTAAAATCTTGATGAGTTGTTGTTTGTATGTGTGTTGTTTAATTAGTAATTTTGTTGTTTTTTACCACTAAACTACACTTTAGATATGGGAGCACTTTGCAGGTGATGCTAGATGTCCGCCATCTTGGTTTTACAACATATACACTTGAAGCCTAGAATACCTTTGAATTGACTTTCTCCAATCGAAGCTCAGTCACAATAACCAATAACTGTGACAGGTGCCGGGCAGTGCTAGAGGCCAGGTGGATGGATTGTGTGGTTACTTTGACGGACAAGCAGACAACGACCGACGTCGCCCGGACGGCAGCCTCGCACGTTCCACTCAGGAGTTCGGAGACAGTTGGGGAGACACCAGCTGTGAAACACACGTCTGTCCTCTGCATGTACAGGACCAGGCTTGGCAGATGTGCAGTGTCATCAAGTGAGTGGGAACTTAGATTTGTTATTTTTATTTGTGGATACAAGGAGCGTTTTTTAAAGGCCATTCATGCTTATAGCTCCGTAGTTTGCGTGTACGCTGCATCCTAGCATCATTTTGTAAACAGAATCACGCCATTTGCAGCTCTGTAGTTTTAAGTGTAATGTGTGTGTCTTAATTTTTAGCGAATTTCCCTATAGGGAAGTAGCTATTACCGTAGGTCTCATGGTAAGACTTAAGCCCGGGACCGATTTACTTTTTCATTTTAATGTCCCCAGAGGCCAAAAACACCATTCGTTCAAATTTTTATATATGTGTATATATATATATATATATATATAGATTTATATATATATATATATGTGTCCGTGAACACGATAACTTGAGTAATTTTTATCCGATTTTGATGAAATTTGGTTTGAAGGTGTAAGGCGGGATAAACTTGAATGAGTTCGCGATCCAGCATGATCGGACCATGGGAACAGGGTTTTATGGGGGGTTTTATGGGGTAAAAATTGGTTTTTCTCACTTCTTACCCTCAAAACACAAAATTTCCCAATTTTTCTCTAAACCTTCTTAAAGAGCTTAAAAAAAACTAACAATTCAGTATATCAAAGTGTTTTTGTACGGTTATTGGTTACGGAGAAAACTAAAAAAATGGTAAATTTAAAATTCCCATGTTATTTCTTATGGAGAATATTGTAAAATGTTGTAGTTTGCTTGTTTATGGATATATTTTGATCAAACTTGGCAAATTTATTTATTTTATAGTAAGCTATCAATATTTTACTAAAAACACACTACTTTATTATTAGTTTCCTTGTAGCAGCAAACCTAGGTACTCGTTAAACCTAATGTTATTTAAATAGATCAATTGAAAATCAATTCGGCCAAATGGAAATTCTCTTAGACGGCAGGTTTGCTGCGGCGGGGGTATTTTTATCATTGATTCTCCTGATGCATGCGAGATAAGGTCTGTTATACATTATTTGCCTGCAAGAAATATATTGACTGCTCAAAAATTCATCGCCAGATGGCTGCGTAGTTTATGGCACGATGAGTTTGTGACTTGGGTAAAGTCCATAAATGAGATATGAAGTTTAAAGGGGGCAGTGAAAACAAGAAAACACCCAGGAAGAAGAAGAAATATAAGAAAGTAGGAAAAAACTCTGATGTCAGAGCTACTTGTGAGAAAAACGCAAAAACTTGTGGGAAGTGACTGCAGCTTTCAATGCCTACTGTTTGACAGGATATTCTAGATTGTAACTATGAGGTGGTTGACAGGAAGGAGCCGCTGGCTCAGTGTGAAGGCGCCATCTCTCTAGACAAGGCGGTCGCTCAGTGTGTAGAGTCAGTGTGTGCCTGTGAGGAGCGTAACACCTCCACCTCCGCCGCCTGCAGGTGTGAAGCTCTACTAGGGGTGGTCACTCAGTGTCAGGCGGCTCGGCCAGACGTACAGCTACATCAGTGGCGTCTGCACCACGACTGTCGTGAGTAATTTTTTTTATGAGTTAGATTTAGCTTGATGGAAGTGTTAGCGATTTTTTTTTATTACTTGTATTAGTTGTACTGATATTGAAATACAAAATTAACTGCAAGTAGGGATTTATTTAGTGTACAACCTTGAAGTTAATGGAAGTATTGTTTCTAGTTGTGTAGTGGCTTAAATTTTTGGATTTGCTGAGACAGTGTACTTTTTACCCATCTATTCTGCCATCTTCTGTAATTAATAATTACTGGTATTTACTATTTATTTATCAAGTTGAAAAGGGGGGAGTTATTTTTGCTGTTCTTGGAAAATTGAAATTGAAATGAGTGGTGCTCAACCTCCACTAGGCACAGAGAAGAAGCTATAGAGGAATTTGCTTATGGGACGATTGTGCGCTTTCAGCTCTAGTATGTTGTGCGTGTGGGTACGCACACAGTAGAGAAATATACTTGTGTTGGGTAAGGAAGAATTCGACTGGCGAGCACTGTGTGAATGTTCTTATCGCACAGTGCACAGGATCTTCCTTCACCATGTGCGTTGTAGTACATGAGGGCGAAGGGGACGGTATTTTACTTTTCCCTAGACACCAGCAACTAGTTTTCTAGACACCACTTAAATATACCGTTGGATGTTTCTTCTGTACCTTAATTCTCTATGCCACAGCTCAACCCCAACTGCCCTGCACCTGAGGCTGCAAGTATGTACAAGAATGGCCTCTTTATTAACTCGTGCTCAGTTTCCAAACGTAGGAGCCCACGTAGTAACAATGAACTGTTGTGTTGTCTGTAACTAATGTCTCATTTCCCCCGCCCAGCTGTGGAGTGTAGTGCCCCGCTGGTCTACCAGGAGTGTTACTCACGAGTGTGTGAGCCTAGCTGTGCTGACCTACTGACAGAGGACCCGTGCCCCGCTGTCCCCGCCCAGTGTTTCCCAGGCTGCTACTGCCCCGCTGGACTTGTCAGAGAAGGCAACCAGTGTGTCAAACCAGCTGATTGCAGAGATTGTGAGTGACATATGATTAATTGTGAAATTCTATGATTTTACACAACATTTTTAACATTTTCTCTGTGAATTATATCAGAGCATGTTATAAAATCTTACACATAAATTTTAGTTTGAGTATTCTTACAGAATATTTTATACTTTCAAAAAACTTCTCCAAATTGTAGGAAAAAGTTGTAAAAAATTTCAGGTTTTTTTAGCTACCGATTTTGACTGCAGAATTGTGAGTGGCTTCTGATTTTTTAAAGCACTTCCTTATCAAACCCAGGACAGAAAATGCCCATACTTGTATCTTGTGGGTTCAATTGGTGCCAAAAAATGCATTTGTATTTTAGCAGCAAGGAAAATTTTTACCTGTTAACCTTAATTTTGGACTTTTCCAGGTGTTTGTGATGGATTTGGAAAGACAAGGTTTGTCACTTTCGATCGTGTGGATTTCACCTTCAACGGTAACTGCACCCACGTCCTAGCAAAGACAGTGGATAACAGCCAAGCACCCAAGTTCAAGGTAAGAGCAGAAGCCTCTACACTATACCATTATGGAAATGTTTTCAGTTTAAAATTTCCTTCTAGTCTTTATGGAGGGTAGAAAAATGATTTTACGCACACAGGTGGCCAGCCTGTAGAGTGAGACTCCTGAATGAATTAAACTTACTAAAAACCTCCTCTACCCTATTGGACACAGACCTGGAATTGGGATTGTTTGTCACATTTCTTAAAGTCATACCTACACATGAGACCTAAATCAAAGGGCTCGCACCATTTCTGACATTAAGCTCTTTTATCACTTAAACTGTACAAACCTAGACAAATGGGATGACCGTGTCCACCAACAGCAGTCCTACATTGTATTGGGTCTCCAGGTGGGGCTCCATACAATGTAGGCTCTATACCTGTAGTAATTCAGTGATGTGTTATGTTGTAGGTTCTGGTGACAAGTGGAGTATGTGGAGATGACTCGAGTGAGACTTGTGTCAAGAGTGTCACAGTTCTCTTCCAAGACCACACTGTAATGCTGGGTGGCTCCAACACAAACCAGGTAATTGATACATTAAAGTTAAACAATAATTAGGTGACCAAAAGTATGTCTGTGACGACATCATAGGCATTTGCTGAGGCTTGCACTCTATGTGGTAGCAATAATAGGTGTAATAGTCCAACTGCAAAAGTTGTCGTTTGTTTAGCAGTTAGCACCAACCAGAAAATATGTGTAGGACTTTTTGCTACGGACACAAACAACACTTTACATAAACATACCAGTATGAGTCCTTTCTGATTCAGTTTGAAAAATGTTATAGTTCTCTCCCATTACACTTTGTATCTCCTCTGAATGGATTAAAAACAATTCAAAATTGTTGCTTTATTGTTTGACTTAAGGCAGGTGTAGATCTAAAAAACAGCCTTAAGGTAATATGGATGGACTATTCCTACAGTTTCATGTTTTAACTACACTACGTTATTGAGAGTTAAGGAAACTCATCCTTTTTTCATGTTACTCAATATCATCATTTACCTAACCAACCTACCTTACCCAATTTTTTTTCATCCCAGTTAGGAAAGGTTAGGTAGGCTAACTAATTCGGTAAATTTAAAATTTGGGTCACTTAAAACAGGAGGAGTTTCTTTACCTCCTGAAACATAGCGTAGTTAAAACACCTAGCGATAAAAAAGGCCCATCTATGATACCTTGAAATCAAAATTATTATCATTCATTAATACATTTTCTAAATACACCAGTACCAATCATCAATACCAATCTTTATAGAATGTAACAGTCAATCCTTAACCACAACAATTTGTTGCAGACGGCTCTAGTGGACGGCGCTAGTATACGTCTGCCTGTAGATCTAGGGTGGGCCGGGCTGGGTGTGACGGCCAGCAAAGACATGACATTGGCCATCCCTGCGGCCGAGCTGGACATTGTGTTCTACGGAGTTGACCTCGGCTTCTCACTAAGACTTCCTTCTCATATATACAAGGGCAACACTCAAGGACTGTGTGGTGAGTCCAAGTTGACTTTTGGATATTCAAGTAGACATCCGATCTTGTCAATTTTTTATTTTAAGAGAACATAGTTTTGTGAGCCAGTCACATTTTAGATTGTGGGCGTCACATCTGTTGTCTAAGGCATTACACTAACGAGTATACCATTGAGGTCTTTTCACGTGGGTTTGAATCCCGTACATGTGCAATCCATAAGCTCAATAATTTGTAGCTTAGCTTAGGAAGAAAGCCACCTTCAATAAGGTGAAAGCACACAACACCTGTTTTGCTTCTCTTTACATTATAGTACAGAGGAGGAAGACTCAGATTGTTTTGCATTTAATTTTAGTTAAATATGGACATATCGTGTCAAATTTAATCTATTATAAAAGACATGAAATGAAACAACAACCTAAAAAGTTATTAGCAGAGAAATACAACAACTAGGTTTAGGACTTAAAGTGTTAATCCTATTTTTATTCACAGGTAGTTGCAATAACAATCAAACAGATGATCTTACGACAAGTCTTGGTGAAATCACTGAGGACGCAGACAAGTTTGGAAAGAGTTGGAGAGCAACGGATCTCCCCTCAGGTCTGTTATGTTTTCATAAAGTAACTTGAGTAACAAAATCTATACATTATTAGTTCCATTGAACAGTTAAATATAGTTTACATGTTAACTAAATAAAATGTTAGTATTGTTCATGTTCAAGTAAATGGGGTTTCCAGGATCGTGAATTATCTTTGGAAAAACCTCATGGTTAATATCATAATTAATTTTTTTAATACATTTGCTACCAAGTGTCCGATGTGTGTATTTGGACTATCTCTGAGTAACAGACTTGTACTCAGCATGTACAACTGACAACAACATGAATAATGTAACGTACCCAACGACTGTAAACATTTTGATGTGACAAAAAGTCATGTCAAATTATTTAAAAATTAAAATTATAAATAACTATTTTAGTATTTGGGTCATTCACAAAGTCCTAAACATGTGTTGTCTCGGTTCAGTTCTAGGTAAGGAGGAGCAGTGCTCTGTTGTTGTCAACAACAATACCTGCACTCTTCCCCCGCCGGAGAATGATTTCTGCCTTAAACTTATGGATGAAGCCATCTTTGGAAGGGTAAGTAATGAGGAAATAAGAAATAAATTGGGTACAGATTCTATTTCTTTAATTGTGAAGCTGCTTGAATAAGTATTGAAAATTAGGTAAATATTTGATTCCATTTTCTGATTTGATTATGGGATTGTTGTTGAAGTGTTGGTTTTTCCAGTGTCATGCTGTAGTAGACCCCTCGCCCTACGTAGAGTTGTGCCACCAGTCCTGGTGCCGCCATAGTCTCGCAGGATGCAAGGACCTGGAGCCCTACGCTAGAGAATGTCAGACTGCTGGTGTCTGTGTGCCGTGGCGCTCCCACCAACTCTGCCCGTACCTCTGTCCTCCAGGTATGAATAGTGAATACAGTAGAAGTCCGCTAATCCGACCTTGGCAAGTCTGAATCCTTCCTTAATCTGACTGTTCCATCGCCTATTGGTAACAATGTCATCTTCTTAATATCGTGACTATTTGTTTTTGTCGTGTGGAGATCACCGTCTCCCGCAACCACTGCAAAAATCTTGTGTATCCCTCGAGATCAAAGTAAAAACCATCAACGTTTTCTGCGATCACAAAAAACATTTTATCGTCATCCTCCACGATCTTTGCAAAATCTCAAACATCCCTCCACGGTCGAGTAGACATCATCATCATCTCCAGCAATCAACGAAACTTGATCGATATTAAAATCGATATATTTAATATTTTTTAAATATATTGTACTGTTTGGAGCATAAAAATACACATGGACACGAACCAGCTGTTTTATTAGCCAGGATCATTCATTGAAAGCCCAATGTTAAAGGATTTAACTGTCCTTGCTAATGAAACAGCTGATTGTAGCCAGTAACAAAGCTACGCAATGCATCTCCCTTCAACACACACTCTTCCTTCACTCATATAGTTTATGTCTAATAACTTTGCTGTCCGCTCTAAGGTCTGGAGTACAAGGCTTGTGGTTTGGGCTGTGACATCACCTGTGACACCGTGGAGTTGTTCACCAGAGATCCTGCGGCTTGTACAAACCCTCCCTCCGAGTCCTGCGTCTGTCCTGACAACAAGGTTAGTTAACTGGTCATTAACATGAAAAGTAAAATATTGTTGAAACATACTTTTGTCCTTATACAAAACACATAATAGTTATTTAGATGAATTTGAATAGAAATACTGAATAAATTAAGTGCAGGCTAAGAAGTAAGTAAGTAGGGTGGTCCTTTGAATGAGCAACCTTTGAATTTTAAGTCAAATACTTTCCTCTAGGCTACTAAATCAGATATTTTTTTGGTAGATTTATTGTCTTGTGTAGTTTAATCAATTTGTGTATTTACTTTCACATATATTAAAAGTGTTATTTACTACCATAATGGTGGTTGTAATTCAATGGAAAGCAGTAGAAATCAGACATTAATTTCATAAAATTTTTTGTAGTAAGGGATTTTTGTCCCTCTTCCATTGAGGAAAGTTTAGTAGGAGAAGCATTAATGCTCCTACATTTGCTACTAACTTTACTCAGCCCTCAGATACTGGGGAGTGAGACGATTGGTACGGAACATGTTAATGTTAAGGACAAATTTTGGAATATTTTTCTCTATAACAACACTCCTGTTGAACCCCCACGCTTGTAATATACAGAATGTCCCAGACCACCCAGCTGGCTTCTATAGCTCCAATATGAAAGCAAATAGAAACCTAATTGTAACTGGAACCCCCTATTTTGCCCCAAGAAATCATTATACTAAATACAAAAATTGTAGCTAATTTTAAGGGCCACCCCCACCCCCAAAATCTGCCCTTTGGGGTGCTTTTTTGGGTTTGAAAATAATTTAACTGAATTTCTTGGGGTCAAAATAGGGGGTTCCAATTGCAATTAGGTTTCTATTTGCTTTCATATTAGAGCTATAGAAGCTGGCCGGATGGTCTGGGACATTCTGTATGTAACGGACAATCAGCTTAGGATACTTAAATGAAACATTGTACGGCACTATGATGAAGACTATGCTACTGTCACGCTCCTTCTGGCTAGATTGCAGCACTAGTACTCAAACCTTTGAAAACAGGTCTTCAAATGTAAAAATATTTATTTATTTTTATATTTGTTTGTGTTTCTCTATCAATCAATCAATCAATCAAAATAACTTTATTCATATTGCACATTTTGTACAGAATGGAGCCAGTAAAAAAAATCAAATTTCAGGAAGTTGGAAAAAATCTTTTAATTTATACAAGGTCTGTTGGTGAGAAATAATTTCAAACGTTTTTTAAATTAATTAAAATTACTTATATTTTTTATATTGTCAGGTAAGCTATTGAAATATTTAATTTATAGATTCTAGCTCAGAATTGTTTTCCACATTACTTCAGGCTATGTCTAGAGGGGATTGTGGCCTCATCACTTAAATAAAATCCATTGGTGATCTGGCTGGATTTGAACCAGGGACCTAAGGGACTGAAGCCCCTCCGACTACTAGACCAGCTCTCTCACCAGTATATAGTAACATCAATGTGTTGTAGGTGTGGAAGAACAACAGCTGTGTGGCCGTGTCAAAATGTCAGCCATGTGATGTGGAAGGTCACTACCCTGGAGACACCTGGACGCCTGACATCTGTACCACCTGCACTTGTCAGGTACAAAGAATCTTTACACTTACTTTTACATTACTTTTCTTGTCACTTAACCGTAAGAACTACAACAACTGTGACAAATATGTACCAGCTCACAGGTAGGTCCAGTCTGCCAATGTCTGCCAGATCTAGGGTTAAATTACCGCTGGTTGCTAACACGACTAATGTGTTCTCAGGTTGGCAACAGTGTCCAGTGCCAGCGCACACAATGTCCTTCAATGGTCACGGTGTGCGAGAGAGGGTTCAAGTCCATCGTGGTGCAAGGAACAGAAGCTGAATGCTGTCCCAAGTACATCTGTGGTTAGTTGATTTGAATAAAAAGCTTAACTTAACCTTCAACTCTGTACAATTTGTATATCAAGAGTGAACAATTTAAGTTTTAACTTTTCTAGATTGTGATAAATATTTGTTCTCTCTCTATCATCCTAACCAACTGTTGGTTGGGATGATAGAAAAAGTAAAGGACGAATGTGTATCATTGAATGATTGAATATAAATAAGGATACGTTGATTTGAAATTTGTAGTTTACTAGGAGGTTAACACCATTGTCAAAAAAACCAAGAGATTAAACATTTAGTAAAGGTTTAGCTTTAAGTTTGCAGTTTTTTAAAACTATTATTTTAGTTTATTTATTCATTTTATTTCATTTAATCATTTTCATTTTAGTTGGTGTGCTAGCCAAGCAAATAAATTCTTTTAATAATAGAGATGATAAAAATATTCATTTAAAGTACTCATCTGCTTGGAAGAACTTTATTTAAATGTTTTTTTTTTTATTTTAAGGGAAATTTACAGGTATGTATATTAATCCAAGGGATGTTTTGACAGTTCCAGAGCCCAAGGAGCTGCTGGCTACATGTCCTCCTCCTCAACAACCCGTCTGCGGCTACGGTCAAATACTGAAGATTGAGACTGGACCTAGTGGATGTCAAGAGTTCATCTGTCGTAAGTCTCCAACTAAACTGATAAAATACATTCTCACTGAGAAATAATTAAAATCGGATGGGATTGGGAATTAGATTGTTACAACTAGTTTATAATGAGATATACATCATGGCTGCATCAACTGAGATAGAGGTATAGGTAATGGACGTCCATCAATATGGGATGGGGGGGGGGCTTGAGACCCAATGTTAACCATACTAACCAAAGATTGTGGGACCAAGTGGAAAAGAAGAAGCTGGGAGGAAGGAAGGAATAAGCAAACGATAGAGATGAATGGAGGCATTGTGTTCTGGAGGCCTAGCTCCACTTGAAGTAGCTACAGCAGCAGTATGTTTCCAAAATTTAAAAACAATGCAAAAAACAATAAATTGATAAAGCAAATCTAGATATAAGAATGTGTAAAATAAACCATTTTGTACCCGATGTTAAAAAATTTTCAGCCGGGGGCTGTCCTATAAATGATAAAGAAATTATACTTCTCATAATTTCAAATCAGAAGACTTTTGATGTGTGTTTCATGTTGGTAAACCTAACATTTTGCCAGAGTGTGTGCCGATTGACGGAGTTGTAGTGAAGATATATATTTTATTATTTTTGACAGAGTGCCTGCCGAGTGATGAGTGTCCCGACATCAGCAGTCTGATGGTGTTTACTGCCGAGGCTGGGATGCACGCTGTCCTCAACAACTCAGGCTGCTGTCCTCGTATAGACGAGGTGTGTCGTGTTGAGACCTGTCCGCCACCCCCCACCTGCCCCGCCTTCATGGAGGTGGCCTCCAGAGATGTGGAGCGGTGCTGCCCACAGTACAGATGTGGTGAGTTTATCTTACCAGGTAGCAAATACTGTAAGCTGTTTAAAGTATTATGAATAAGGTATCAATTAGCTTATCTCAGCTACACAGGAAAGAGCATAGAAACATTTCCACTTATAAATATGTGAATTTGGTTGGGATAAGATAAGAAGTAAAGAACTTCTCATTTCAATTTCAATCTGTTCTAAATAATGTTACTGCTAACTATATTTAATTTAAAAGAAAAATTTCCTTGTTCAGGTAAAAGTTGAAATAACTTTTACTAAGGTAAAGTTTGTGCTTGAAAGTTTAATCCTCACTAACTAGTAAGATTTCTCAATACTAAAGTATCAAAATAATATGTAAAATATACCAGGAAGTTTTTCTGGAGAAGATGAATTTTAAGAGTTCTATATTGACTTTTATAATTAATATGAAGGAGCTTTTTGGAGTGTTAATGAGAGTGACTTTGATAGAGGATAATGTGTAATGTGTTATACTTCCAATGCAATATTGAATTACTTTTTTTTCGTAAGATCCCATCTGAATTCAAGTTTGGTAGTCTTTATTTTCCAGTTAAAGGCTTAGATAACCAAATCCAACATATCTATTCCATGATGCTCATTGAAAGGCAATACAAAAATACTTAAACAACTTTACAAGAATAACACTACTAAAATATATTTCACACCATGAAGACTTATTTTTAATTTCAGAACCACCAAAGGAAACGTGTTTATATGAGATGGAGTTTATCGAAGATGTCGAAGGAGGTGAGAGGAAGAGGTCAGCATCGGAAAAGTTTACTGTGGCCAAGAAAGTGAGTCATGTCTAAAGTGTGTTAATGGCTAGCTAACATCAGTAAACTTATAGTTTACGATGTTTTTCATCATGCTATGTTTTTAGTAAACCGATTTTCATCTCATTTCTGCTTGGCTGTAGTATGGAAGTGTTAGAACGTTTTGCCGTCATACATCTGTTGACAGTATTGAACGTAACATGTTGTCTTGTTCACCAGGAAGGAGAAGTATGGGAGGACGGACCGTGTCGGACGTGCACGTGTGAGAGTCATGGCTGGAGAGCCAAGTGTTCCGTGCAGCAATGTCCAGCAGCTCCGGACACAGAGGACTTTGTCGTACAAGCTGTGCCGAGACCCAAGCACTGCTGTCCCGAGTACCAACGCACCGCTTGTCGCCACGGAGGAAAAGTCTATAAGGTCTGTAGAATATATAGGCTATTTGGATTCCTTGAGAAATAATTTCTATAATAATTTTTGTCAGGATTATTATTTTTTTGTATTGTATTGTTGTATTTTTATCAACTTTCTGGTATTGGTTTTGTCTCCTCTCCCATAGAATGACACTAAAGGCGTGTTATCTCAGCTTCCAAATACCTCTGTGTTCCTCCTTTTTAGGCAGGACTAAGGCAGGAGCATTTTCTTTGAATAGTGATATTCAATTATAGACTGAGCTTACAAGTCAGTTTTTAGTAGTCCAATTTCTACAGTTTGTCATTTAAGGCGTTCTTGAAATATGGATGTGTCCACATACCTAAATTCATACCCCACAACTAGTTTTACTGATTATTGCTCGTGCTGAGACAAAGAAACGCTTTGAAATTGCTAAATGACAAGAAACCCAGTTTAACCTTGTCTTAGTAGTGTAATTTAAAAGATTTTATACTTTAGAGAACTTAAATAAGTAACTGAACTGAAACTAAACTGTTTACAATCGTTAGCATAAAGTTCATCTCAACTAAGAGTTGTTACAATTCACCTCTGTCTAAAATAGTCGCCTATGTCGCTGCGGGTTGCGGCACTGACTGATTTTGGAGCAGTTTCTTGTCTCGCAGCCTTCTTTCTTAAAATCCAGAAATTTGGTGCCTGGGAGAATGCTTGTACCTGAGTATTGAGTTGGTGCTGAAAAACGCAGCTGTAGTCGATAACAAAATTGAAAAATCCTAATTGAATTGAGTCCTTAAGTGTCTGTTGTGTTATAGGAAGGTGAAGTGTTCCCAGTGTCAGATGGAGATCTGTGTAAGAACATCACTAAGTGTCTGTTGTGTTATAGGAAGGTGAAGTGTTCCCTGTGTCAGATGGAGATCTGTGTAAGAACATCACTAAGTGTCTGTTGTGTTATAGGAAGGTGAAGTGTTCCCAGTGTCAGATGGAGATCTGTGTAAGAACATCACTAAGTGTCTGTTGTGTTATAGGAAGGTGAAGTGTTCCCTGTGTCAGATGGAGATCTGTGTAAGAACATCACTAAGTGTCTGTTGTGTTATAGGAAGGTGAAGTGTTCCCAGTGTCTGATGGAGATCTGTGTAAGAACATCACTAAGTGTCTGTTGTGTTATAGGAAGGTGAAGTGTTCCCAGTGTCCGATGGAGATCTGTGTAAGAATATCACTTGTCTGAGGACAGAATCTGGAGACTTGACATTGTACGAGACAGCTGAGAGTTGCAACAAGGCCTGCGCTATGGTGAGTGCTAGAATTAACTGTTGTCAATTCTATAGCATTGTAACAAATGATTTTCAGATTTTCAAAAAATTTGCTTGCCTCATAATACTCAGTTTTTTATTTACAATGGTTAAGTGACCTGCAAAGTAACCCTTATTTTGCATCGACAATTAGTTTTGGTTATTGTATTATGTTTGATATTGAAGCTTAGTACAATTACCACAGTAAAGTTTAAGTGACCTGATGAAGCCCCTGGATCAAATTAAGATAGCCTACTTAAAATTGGTGTAAGTACCTAATTTTGAGTAAAGGTATCATTTTAAAAATACTTGGATACCCATCTAATGGAGCTTCAACTGAATATAATAAACCTTGTGTTTACAGTGCAAAAATTACAATACAATACCACCTAGTTTACAATGATATCTCAGTAACCTCAGGGTTGTGTTTGCTAGGGTTGGGAATACACAGAGCCAGTGTTCTCCAATCGCTGTTGCGGAGAGTGTCGTCCAGTCGCGTGTGTGGTCAACGGAACTCTTCACGCGAGAGGCAGTTCCTGGCAGAGCGGCGACAACTGTACGACCTTCACTTGCGACATCACCGGGAAACAGGTGAACATGTCAACAAGTTGGGTCAGCAGTTTTGTTTTGGGTTTGACTGTCCAAAAAATTGGAATGCATTTAGTGGTTGAGCGAATTGAGTTTTTAAAGGGCTTTTTATGTTTTGTGAAATTAAGCCCTTCATTCAGGCTTGTAATCAAATGATTTGCCAATAATAAATGGCTCAGATGGAAGAAGAAATGAGTATACCAGTACCCAAAGATTGATGGATTGAAAACTCTAAATACCATAGTGTAATTTATTATAACACTGACTCAACAGTGCAACTTTTGAACTTTCATTGACTGTACCTAACAAGACTTACCTAAACATGTTTATTAATGTAATACTTGCAATGTTTAGGTCCAGGTGATAACATCGCAAGAGCAATGTCCTGTGATAGACTGTTCAGAAGATAGACAATACAAAGATGGATGTTGTATCAGGTGCAACATGACTGTTGGTGAAGCTAAAAGTAAGAGCTGCTTGCTTTGTACTACAGAAGATAGTAGTTTGTAGATTACTTAAGATATAGTAGTTCTCACCAGATATTATGCTGACTATGTATATACAGTAGAACCTCAATAGTTCTACACCTCTCTACTACCTCTCCCTTAGTCTACACTTTGTCGACTAAGGGAGTGTTGAACCATTGACTATTAGATACTGAAGTAGACATACCATCTGTATGAACCAGCTGTCGCCAGCTGTTACGAAAAAAGAACGTAGTTGTCTAAAATTGAATATTCTACCTTATTTTTTGCTACTGATCCAGTTGATGGGTCATAAAAGTTGATATAGCTTACAATAAGTAATTCCAGTAGTCTGAATTGGTAAAAAGGTTCCAGTATTCGACAGAAATTAGTAATTTAGATCTTTCGGTGGCTTACATCAACTACGACAATTTTTATTAAAAACCTAGCGACAAATTTAACACGTGGATGGAACGTCTAGTTGTATCAAAAGGTTGAACTATCAAAATGTCAAACTATAGGGAGTATATTGGTCATTTAAACACAGGGAGAATTTTAAACACAAGATCGTTTGATTTAATTTCCATTGTAGCCAAACAAATTTTCTGCTTCCTATCTGCCTTTTTAATTTAAATAAACAACAACACAGTTCAGTTAACTGATTACGTTTTATGCGACCAAGACAGAATAGTGTAAAAAAAGTGCAAAAGTGTGTAATTCCCGCAGAGTCTCAAGCAAACTGATATAATGTAACATGATCAATATAATGGTCAAATTGTTGAAAATGCAAAAAACTAACATTTTTGTAAAGTGTTGATGTTTTTTGAGAGTTCTGTGTTAACAGTTTCATCAGGCACTATTTGTTTGTCAGGTTCATGCATGCCTGAGCCGGTGCCATCCAATGAGACGTTGAGGCTGGTCAGAGTGGTGCTGCCATCTCACGGGATCTGTGAGAACTACAACGCAATCAACGGCTTTACCGAGTGTCAAGGCACTTGCGACTCTTATACATACTACAGCAGAGGTAACATTTCTTTTATTCTGTACTAAACCAGAAACAGCATAGCTTCCAGTTTCGTCTGCTATCCTCAGTGTATAAAAAAATATATGAGCACTTGTTTTATTAGTTGGGCTGTTATACGTGATCCTAAAACTGTGAAAGAAATAGTATAGGAACTAGAAAACAATTTCTTGTCTTTTATATTCCTAAGACTCTGTAAAACCCATAGAAGGATTATACCAAAACGCAGTGCTCGATTTGTGGGGGAACGCGGTGGAACTGAGGTCCGGTACCTCCCTTTCAGAAAGATAAAAATATTGGCATAAATTGGTACATACATAGGTACAAATTACAATTAATAGGTTACAGTTCCGGCACCTATTTTTTTTACAAATCGAACACTGCCAAAATGTAATCCATACCGATTGATAATTGATAATTGGTAATTGATCCAAATAACCACAAGAATTTTTTGATGTTCCTTTTTTTGGAAAGTCATAAAAACTACTATCGTGTTTCAAAAATACTTTTATTTTTCTAGAACAATGTATTCTCTTCTTCAATTGGTCACGTGATTGAACTTGTTTACAATAAAAAAGTTAAACTATTCTGTGCAAAACGAAGTAATTCTTTTGCTGCAATTTAACTATCATGCTTTTGAAGCTCGTGGTGGCTTCATTTCCATGTTCAGGAAGATATTGAGCGTTGTCAATCTTCTTTAACACAGACAATGCATGATGTCTTCTTAAACTTGAAAATGAAGCCAAGAGATTTGAAACTAATAGTTCAACTACAGCAAAAAATCACTAAATTGACATTACACAAGGCAAATATTTTTTCCATGGTATTCAGAGGTGATCCAGAAGCAATGCCAAAATATAGTTTTGATGTAGTATTAGTAATATATTTGATGTATATTGTATATTGATGTAGTAGTATTAGCAATGCCAAAATGTCTTTGTTTCTTAAATAATACAATACCTAGTACTCAGCAAATATGTGCTGCACATATAGGCACATGAGAAATTGAATATATTACTCGTATAATCATTGGAGCACAGCTATGATATTACCAAACTCCTTTTGAAGGAAGAGACGGAACAATATCTATATTTCCTTATATGAATTTACTTCATGCCTGCTAGGTTCTTGAACTACGATGAAGTCCATACTTCAAGAGCCTGGCAACCATATGGTAAATTTTTGTTTTGTATTATTGATATTGTTAAAAGTGCAACTGATATGATATGATTGATATCCCTTATCTTGATACTTATCTAGACCTTTGTCTTGTTCCAGAGAGTGACAAGCATGAGAGCCAGTGTAAGTGTTGTCAGGCTGTTCAGTATGCTACCATCAACGTTAACCTCATGTGTGAAGATGGCTTCTTCGCTGAAAAGGTATTTACTTTTGTCTTCACTAGATATTATTTTACACCGATGTGGTTGCCTACTTAATGCATGGGATGGGTACACTTAAATTTGCATTCAGTAAAACACACATTTAGTTGGCTACAATAATCTATTATGCATAAAATGGTTGAAGCCACTGATGCTTTGAAGGTTATGCACACTAGCAATTCTCATCCCTAATGTAAGTCTTGGTAACCAATAATTAATTACGAAGTTTGTCAAACTCATGAAGACTGACCAAAAGTCTTTTGATTTAAATCAATATTGGTAATATGTGCTAGAGTGACCAAATCATTCCAGAAAAAGACTGGGACATATTTGTCCCCCTGTGGACCCCCAAGCCTCTGGCCTAAATGTGTCGTAGTAAGTTGTTCATTGGCTTCAAAAACAATTTAATTGTTTATGTACTTTTGGGATTTTTAAGTAATCCAAGAAAGTTTTGTGCTATGAAAAAAAAAACCTGGAAGATCCTGGTTTGTTCACCCTATTCTGTAATGAAGTGTATTCTTGTAGAAAATATTACCAGAAACTAAAAAAAAATTCAGACATGTCTAAAAAGATTACTGGATCCTTAATTGTTTTCTGATTTCTGGTAAAGTAGGTCTACTCAATGCAACTATTTCTACAGTATTTTTATAGAACTGCAATATTATCCTCTTTGTGTTCTAATCTCATCTCATTGCATAACAAATATAGTTAGACTAACATTTAAAATGCCTAAGGTTGGTATAACAAGAGTCTAAATAAATTGTGTATTTAATACATTGTACAATACAAACTTGTGTTTTGTTTCCTGCAGGAGGTGTCAGTTCCTTCAAAGTGCAGCTGTGAAAGTTGTGGAGAAGCTACGAAGACTAAAGGAAAGCCATCTAAATATGTTAAAGCCTGATTATTTGGTTGAATTGTAAATTATTGTAAATAAAAAACCCTAAAATATTTTAAAGACGTTATTACTATCTCCTGAAACATTAAAATTATAATTTCTTAATAATGAACCATGTATATTGTTAAATTTTTTTTATTACCTAGTTTAGAAACTACCTATAGTGGCCTATTGGCCACGAATATAAGAGCAGAAACCAGAACCAGAAACGGTATGGATCATAAACCTGCTGGCTCAAATCTTATTCTAATAACATTAACATTTGATTTTCAGATGTTTTTACAGTTCCATTTAAATAACTACCCCTAGCATTATCATTTTCGGGCGAGTGTTGTCATTTGTTTATGTTTATGATCCATGTTTCTGTTCTTACATTTTTGGTCTCAATTTGTTCCCATAAAATCTGAATGATTAAAGGAAAGATTTCTATGAACAATTATCATAAAAAAATATGATAGACCAGATTTTGTAATATTATTGATTAGGTATCTTGAAGGTATTGTAATACGAAACAGTTTGTAGAAGATCAAATTGGTACAATATTTTAATTTTTTTGAAGAAAATTGCTATAAAAGGTATCAAATGTAAAAGAACTGTACTGTATTGCAACCATGGGTTAGGTAGTTCCAACAAAACTCGCTAGAGGTACAAGCATTCATAGTCAATGGTACAAGTAACACTCAGTTAAGTCGGCAAAGAAGATTGTAGTTCGCTTGGATACAAAACAGGCTGCGCCGCGCCACTAGTGTGGATATTGAAGCATTTCATTCAGAGTTGTGATTATCTCCTCGTAGTCAAGACAATACCGTTGACTGCAAATCCTTTTTTACAGTCAAAGGATTTACAGTCAACGACAATAAAAAGGTTTTTCAAAGGTTGAAGAAAATCTGATCCTATAGCAGCCCCCCTGTCCGGGGAGTTCCGGCTTACTGGACTAAATATCACAATATTTGTTTATTTGCACAGGTATTTGTCAACATGTCCGGGGAGTTTCTGCTTCCTGGACTAAATATCAAGATAGTTATTTATTTGCACAGGTATTTGTCAACATGTCTGGGGAGTTTTGGCTTCCTGGGACTAAATATCACGATATTTCTTTATTTGCACAGGTATTTGTCAACATGTCCGGGGAGTTTTGATTTCCTGGGACTAAATATCACGATATTTCTTTACTTGCACAGGTATTTGTCAACATGTCCGGGGAGTTTTGGCTTCCTGGACTAAATATCAAGATATTTTATTTTATATTTTCACAGGTACACGTATCCATGTTACTGTGGATTGCATATAGTTTACTTTCTTTAAAAAGCCGAGAGTCGTGTCTCTTACCTGAGACCGATAATTTGCTTATAACAACCATAACCAAACGTAGTCATAATTTTTAGTAATTAGTAGTCAAATTTTTATTTTTAATGAAAATATTACAATACCAATCGAATAAGGATTAAGGAATCATTTTTTTACTAAAAGCTGTCATAGATTTACATCTTTTTTATATTAATTTACAAAGATGTTTTGATAATAGTTCGCTCAAACACCACCGTAACTACCGTCGAAGTTCGCAACAGTTCGCCTAGTCTCCGCTAGATGTCACTACCGTCGAGGCCTGCAACAGTTAACCTAGTAACTGCTAGATGGCAGTGTAATCGAACATACTCAATCCATCCAAGTTTATTTATTTACTAATATTTTTGACAATGCAAACGGTGTAAAAATAAGAAAAAAAATGGGTTAGGTTGAGAAAATGTAAGCTATACATTAGAATTAGCTTTTTTTTTATATTTAAAGCATTGGTATTTGACGAAGACACATTTTCATCACTTGACACTCGCAGTGATTTTCAGGTAGCTTGAGCTAGACTACCTCGTCGATGTGAACAAACGCTAATAAAGTAGACCAAGGAGTCGAGTTTTACATTCTTTGAAAAGCCGAGAGTCGTGTCTCTTACCTGAGACCGATGATTGGCTTATAACCACTATAAACTAAGTCACTTTTTGCACTCCCTTAGACAGGGCTATAAGGATTAAGGAAAAATCGACAGCAAATATACTGTATATTATTTTTAAGAACAAGCAGCCCATTTTCCGTTAGTTAAAAAAGTACAGAATGTCTCGTAAGTAAGAACAAGAACTTTTGGAATAGCCTAGGTTTTATGAATCAAATTTAAAAATAAAATCAAGAAGACTTCCTACCACAAGTAGGTATCCGTCATTTTGTACAATTACATAAATTAAAACATGTTTGATTTGAAAACTAGATATCTTTATAAAACTTGGAATAGGATGGAAGCAATAAACTATTTGAAAAAATTACAATGTAAAACATTATTATTGAGGGGGGGGGGGGTAAAAATGGGGTTTTCTCATTTTTGACCCTCAAAACATAAAATTTACCAATTTCTCTTTAAATATTCTTAAAGAGCTTAAAAAACAAATAATTTAGTATATTGAAGTGTTATTTTATAATTATTATATAGTTACGGATAAAATTCAATAAATTATACATTTAAAATTCCCACGTTATTCTTATGGAAATAAATAAGTAAACTGTTATAGTTTGCTTGTTTGTGGATATATTTTGACCAAAATTGGCAAATTTATTTATTTTACACTAAGCTATTAATATTTTACTAAAAACACACTTTATTACCCTCCCCGTACCAGCAAACCTAGGTACCAAATGTTATTTAAATTTAAGTGAAAATCAAATCAGGCAAATGGAAATTTGCTTAGTTGCAGGTTTGCTGTGGCGGGGGTATTTTACTTTGAGCAGCCTACCTGCAAGAAGAGTAAAATGTCAACTAGTGAGTGATAGCAAATGTAACATTCGGTAACAACAGAATAGATCTTTCCGAATGTTGAGGTACCGACAAAGGTGGAGTTGTTCTTCGCAAGAGAAATAAGACTCTTTCTTTGAAGAGGAAGAATTTCGTATTTGGGAGGATTCTTACGCCACAAAGTAGGCATACAGATGGCAAAAAGCATCTGGATCACCCAGCCTTGGTAGTTGGTACCCGCAGTCTCTGTACAAGTCCAGTTTTTCTCAGGACCTTGCACAACACCGGGTGCAGCAGACGTCCTGCATGTCGTGTCCTTCGGTAACGGTTGTCCAGGACACCATAGCACCTGCCGCTGCAATAGGCCAAGGTCTGGGAAGTGATATGTGGCTGGTCTTATCACGAATGAGGAAAATCATGAATGATAAAGATGACATTTAGATTGCAAGGTTTCAACGAATGGTATTGTTTCTAGTATATTAGACTGGTTGGTCAAAGAAATCAACAGAAATGTGTTATTGTCATTCTGCAGCGAAAATGCTGTTTTCGATACATGCGCTAATGTACTTTTACTCCCTAGAGCGAAATAGAATCACCTGGAAGCTGGAGTCGAGGACATCAGCTGTATATTGTTATACCTTCCAAATTCATCCACCGATCCATCCCAACAAATAGTACGAAATAGCAAAATTTTAGACATTGTACCTAGTACATTGGTACCAGGGGCTGAATAAGGTATTGTAGCAAAAGCCAATCATGAGCCATTGAGCTGGTTTATTTGTCTAGTTGATCCCAACATAATACTAACAGTGTGTCGATTTTAAGCATTGACAACTATGAGTTGTGCAAGTGCCCCCTCTATTTTTCTAGCTCAGTGGCTGATCCGTGTCCCAAAAAATAGTCTTCTGATAAAATCAACACTTTGAAAATTCCAAATCAGTATTCTTTATGAAAAAGCTAACTCATTCGACTCCCAGAGTCCCAGACGAGTGGACGATGCCGAGGAGAGATAGTCGGGTGTGGTCTACTGTATTGTATTGTAGGGTGCTGGGAGGTCGAGGTGTCATCAGGATCATAGGACATCTAGGTCCAGGTAGAAACACAACACAACTGTGGCGCCGACTGCCGAGGGGCTGATAAATAAATCAGTAGGGCGAGACCTTTCGGCTCTCTGTGATATTTAAATACCCCATCACAATGCCTTTAGTTTTTTGCCGAGCAGAATGCTCAAAATTAGAATCATAAGTGATTTATAAACCTAATGGAGTCAATAACTTATCTAGAAATAGTTATGAAAACATTCATTGAAAGATGTATGAGAAGTATGATTTTTTCGTATACACCTTCAGCTCAGTTTCTTTTTGAGAGTCTTGACAAAATCGAATAGATGTTCCCACAAGATGTTTTGGTAGAGAAAAATAATCACATGCAGCTGTGTATTTATATTACTGTATAAAATTCTAGATTATGTCTCTGGATGGCTGGGTGGTTACGATTTCGAGTATTGTAGTTATTTGCAGATAGTATTGGAATTATATACTTAATTTTTTTCAATTCATACACTGTGAAGATATTTAACTTGCCAAAGTGTTTTTGCCGTCCCAGTTTTAAGAACTTGAGTTAATTTTATCTTTTGTTGTTGCCTGAGTTCTTGTAGATAAGATGTTCGTGTCACCCACCATAGAATTTCGTCAACTTGTGTGACGTCTTTAGAGTGAAATCTTGTATCAGTTAGTGAAAAGAAGATGAACCTAACCGAATCTTGAATATTTACTTAGAAATACTATCCTACATGTTCTAAATCGTATACATCGTAGTGCTTTTGTCTCGTTGAAAACTACGTTTTTTGAAAACACATCGAAATGTAGACTTGGTATTCAACGCTTACGGAGTTAATTAATTATTTTCATAGCGTTAAAACTGCATGAAGAAAGATTACTAATCTGTCAACAATACTTAAAACTTATCTCAGTAAACAGAGGATAGGCAATCTTTGTTTATCAACAACGCCGCAGCAACCGGCGAGAGTGTGAGACAGGGATTGTGAATGTGTGTGTGTGTGTGTGAGTGAGGTAGAGATTGAGGTTTGTGTGTGTGTGTGTGTGAGTTAGGTTGCGACAGTGGAAGTCTCAGGTGTTAGTCTATTGTGTGCACGTGCAGGCCGGCGCCAACACTGTCTGCATACCTCCGTACCTGACCACCGCCGCCATCTTGAATCACACGTTCATGCTCAAGCTCATACACAACTCACAACTGTAGGTCTTTCGACGTATAAGTG